TTCCCTTCCCACAGGAATTTGGAAATCTCTCTTTGCCATATCTTGAGACAACCTGCTTTGCCCAGTATTGGAATCATTTGAAATAAAAAGATTAATTTTGGAAGCACATTCATCTTTATAATGGAAATCCTACCCAGAAATGTTAATTTTAGTTTACTCCAGGTTACAAAGTTTTTTCTAATCTCTAACCAAGTTTTGGTGTAATTATCCTGAAATAAGTTTATGTTCTTGGGGGTGATCCAAATACCCAAGTATTTCGCTTTTGAGGAGATTTTCAGGCCCAATATTTTTTCTAAGTCGTCCTTTTCTTCTGTGGTTACATTTTTAACAAGCATTTTTGTTTTTGTTATATTCAGCTTAAAGCCTGCCACTTCTCCAAATTCTTTAATCAATTCCAGCACTCTTTTCAGACTTTCTTTAGGGTTTTCAGTCATAACAAGTAAATCATCCGCAAAAGCTTTAATTTTATATGTTTTGTTTCCCAGAGTGATGCCTTTAACAAGCTGATCCTTTCTTATCTGATTGTTCAAGACTTCCATCACCAAGATAAATATCAGTGGTGACAGTGGGCAGCCCTGTCTAGTTCCTTTGTTTATTTTGCACTCCTCAGTAATTCTTCCGTTGATGATCAGTTTTGCATATTGTTCCGAATAGATGGCATTTATTCCTTTACAAATATTTTCTCCCAGTCCGATTTCTTCCATTAATTTTTTCATAAACTTCCAGGACACATTGTCAAAAGCTTTTTCAGCGTCCACCAACATAATAGCTGCTGGTTTATCAATTTTAATATCCAAATATTCTAATACATTAAGCACACATCTAATATTGGATTGCATAAATCGTCCGGGAAGAAATCTGGTTTGATCTTTATGAATTACCTCTTTCAGCACCATTTTTAATCTATTTGCAAGAATGTCTGCGAATATCTTGTAATCGTTATTTAGCAGTGCAATGGGTCTGTAATTGGCCATGTTTGAGGCATCTGTTCCCTGTTTGTGGATAAGAGTAATAAAGCTGTCCTTCCAGGTTTTCGGTAGCTTTCCATTTGCCAGAATATTATTCATTAGGTCTTTCATGGGAAGAAATAATGCTTGTTCTAACTTTTTATAGTAATTAGCTGGGAGACCATCTGGGCCCGGTGTCTTTCCTAATTTTGATCTCTGTATAGCTTGTTGCACCTCCATAGCTGTTATTGGTGAGTTCAAGATTTCAGTTTTTTCCTTAGGTATTATTGGTAGTTTATTTTTGCCCAAATAATCAATTATTTTTCTAGAGTCTCTGGACCTTCTTTATATAGTTTTCCGAAAAAACTAGCAAAATTTTTACTAATTTCCTTCGGTTCTTGAATCCATTTGTCTTCAATTTTAATTTTATTGATAATTCTATCTTCCTTTTTCTTCTTTAATTGCCAGGCCAGAAGTTTGCCAGGTTTATTTGCAAACTCAAAATTTCTATGTCTCAACCATTTTATCTTCCATTCTATCTCTTCATTTATTATCATGTAGAATGGCGTCTGTAAAATTTTTATACTTTGCTTAATTAGTTCATCATCTGGTTTTTGGAAAAGGATCCTTTCTTTTTTTCTAATTCCTCCCAGATCTCCATTTTCTTCTTCTCTTTTATTTTCCTTTGGAATGCGTTTTGTTGGATAAAGAAGCCTCTTATGACGGCTTTACCCGCGACCCAAACTATCTCTAGATCCACTCGTTGATTTAAATTAAACTTAAAATATTTTTCTAAGATTTGCTTGGCCTTCTGTACAGTTTTTTCATCGTTTAGCATACTCTCATTAAGTTGCCACCTTTTAACCTTTTCTTCTTTTCCTTTAAAGTTAACCCAGACCGCGCTGTGATCTGAAATTGTCCTTGGATGGATTTCTGCTTTTGTAATATTATTTAATAAATCCTTTGTTGTCCAAATCACATCGATTCGTCCTGCCGATTTATGTGGCTCTGAATAATGTGTAAATTCTTTCTCTCTTGGATTCTTAAACCTCCAAGCGTCAAACAAATTCAGGAGTTCTATTAATTGGAAAAATGTAGTTGGGAGTTTGTTCTGCCTCTTTTCTTTCTTCTTTATTGTTCTGTCCATGTTTGGATTGACTACTCCATTAAAATCTCCTAATAATATAATTCCCCCCCTAAATATTCTATGACTTTTTCTTCCAGGAATTGATAGAATTCGGATTCTCTTTCATTTGGTGCGTAAATTCCAATAACTATAACTTTTTCATTATTGATCTTCACCTCTATAATCACTGTTTGACCTTTTTCATCATTGTAAAGCAGTTTTGGCTCCAGCTGAGGTTTTACATAGATTACTACCCCTCTCTTTTTTTCTTTACTTCATGTAATAAACTCAAGCCCCAATCTTTTATTTATTAATACTCTTTTATGTTTTTCCGCTACATGGGTTTCTTGCAGACAGATTAGATCATATTTTTGCTTAACCAGAATATGTTCTACCTTGTTCCTTTTTTATTTTTCATTTAAACCATTTATGTTCCAAGTAATAAATTTATAATCCATACTTTATTTCTTATGATACGTCAACGGGTTAAAAATAAAAAATAAAAATAAAAATTACACATTCAAGGTCTCAGTATATGTTTAATAAATTCCCTTCTTAGATCTGTCTCTTAACTCTCAACTGTTTGTTCAATTTCCTAACTCAGTGTTTCTCAAATGAATCTTCCTAGGCTTCATATGCTCAGCTGTCACCTATCACGTGTGCCCTAAATGATTACACTATGCCACCAGGCCTGAATGAATCCAAAGGCTTAAAACTTGCTTTTTAAAAGACTTCGTATGAAAAATTCTTGCAGTACTGGAGGCAGCTACTATGTCTGGTACAGTGGTACCTTGGTTCTCAAACTTAATCCATTCCAGAAGTCCGTTCCAAAGCCAAAGTGTTCCAAAACCGAGGCACACTTTCCCATAGAAAGTAATGCAAAATGGATTGATTCCAGACTTTTAGAAACAACCCCCAAAACAGCAATTTAACAGGAATTTTACTATCTAACAACACCACTGATCCATAAAATGAAAACAATAAACAATGTAGTGCAGTCACACAATCAATCAATCAGTAGCTGAACTGAGTTCCACTCAGTCACAAAAACAAAACAAAAAGAGCTGCCAAAAATAATGCAGAATAAATAGCAAACACAGACAGACCTTAGCCTAACACTCAGTGTGGCACTCACAACGGAAGTGTGACACTCAAATCAGAAGTGTAACACTCAAAACGGAGCATGTTCAGCTTCTGAAAAAGTTATCACACTTACTTCCATGTCTGCAGTTTGGGGGTTCCAAGTTGTTTGAGTACCATGGAATTTGAGAACCAAGGTACCACTGTAAATGTATGTTTCTGCATCTTCACACAGGAACCCACAAAGTCTTTGTGCCTCCTAGGTGGGTCATAAGGAAAGGGTTAAAATGAGTGTGATCTGATTGGCCAGTGGAAACTGATAGGAGGAGTTAGAGTTAGAGTGGGTGTCACTTGAGAGTGAGGAGTTGGAAAAGGAAGAGGGAGGATATGTCTGTGGGTTGGTCGAGTTGTGTTGTGAGGGAGTGAGAGGAACTGTTAGGTGGAGTCAGATAGATAGTTGGGATAATCAGTTTGAACTTGTTAGGAATGTATAAGACAGTATAGAAACTAAGATTAAGAAACTGCCAAGAAAAATTCACTGAAACCATAAACGTGTTCATGCTTATAAAAATAAACTTGATTATTTGTTAATGTTAACAAATGTTGTCAGTTACAACATTATTCACTATCGACATCGCTTGTTGTTCTGAATATATTGCGTCTATTCCATTTGTAGTAAAGCTAGTATCATTTAGAAGCTGTTCCTTGGTCAAGCAATGAGAGTGAGGCCTTGTGGGTAATCAACAAGCCGCAAGGACCATGGGAAATAAGTTCTGTCCCTTTAACCCCAGACTAACAGGCACCCAGGGTGTGAAAGTTTTATTATGGGAGAGGAAACCCCTGATTTAATGGAAGGCCTGACACCTGGGTCCAAGTTCTGCGCATTCCGTTAGCGATGTTATCTGGCCTTAATGGCCTGGGAATGTGCATCTGCAGAGGCGCTACGGAAGGGAGGAAAACCTTTGATTTAGGCTCTGGGTTCTTAATTGGCCCAGCTGCCAGAAGTTAGATTGATTAGCCCACAAGCCGGTCATTGGAGAATTTAAAAATAATCAAGAGTTATGATTGGTTTTGGGGGGTTCCGATGCCACGTGTGAATTAGGGATAAAAGATCTGGGAAATGGCTGAGAAAGTGCGCTCTGCAATCCGCAAATCGCCCGGCTGCTGATGTTCCATCTAAGTAGCTGTCTTTACATCCTTTGTGATGGAGAACTGCGAAAGCCTTTGAACTGCGGAACCTTGAAAGGACTCTATCTATTTCTTTTGTGCTTTAGTTGTGAGTATGCAAGCTAGCTAGATTTCACAATGTTTTTATTTTTCTGGTCTGTAACTTACTAAAGATGTGCCTGCTATTTTAGCATGTTTTCTTATGTTCTTTTAAAATAAATTTTAAATAAGAAACTGTTTTGGTTTGTGTGCCTTTCCGGGGGAAAAGCTAAGTCCTAGCCTTCCGCTTAGTTACGCTCTACCGTAGAATTTCTGTCTGCAAGATTGTGGATTCAACTTGTGGAGTGGGGGGTAACCAGTAACAACAGGGCACAGCCTTCTCCCTGGGTTGTGACTCTAGGTTCCCCGGAACAGAGGGAGTGGTGGCAGCTCTACCGGTGTGATTTTGTCCTGCTTCTGTATAACGTAACTTTGCCTGCCAGCCCTGTTCAAGAAACCTGATCTGGCCGGAGAGCAAAGACAGGTGAGGGAGGAGCGAGCGGCTGGGGGCAACTTTACTACATGGTGGCAGCGGTGGGATCGAGCTTCCCTGCGGAAAGGCACTTTGATTTTTTTTAAATTGGCACGCATCTTTTGGGAGTTACAGGTAGTTTATTTTTTTGGATAGAGATAGTTAGGAGATGGATGCCGCGACGTCGCAGGAATCCATGATGCAAACGTTAGACCAGTGGGGATTGGTGGGAGGAAGCAGTTCCCTTCCTGTGGAGACCAATCCCCCCCAAGCTTTAAGTCCCAGAGCGGAATCCGCCCCCTGGTTTTCGGAAGACCCTGATTCAGAGGGGGAGCTGGTGGATGCCAGCGAGTTAAGTACTGTCCGGAGGGGTCGGCGAGAGTCCTGTATTGCGGAAAGAGCAAGGGGCACGCCAGTTACCCAACCCCTATCTCCTCGTGAGGAAGTGGATGCCTCCACACGTCCGAGGGGGAACTATCTTGTTTACACAGAGCCTAAAGAGATGGATTTCTCAGAGGGTTATGATGTGGAGTGGATGCGAGATACGGTGAATGGTGGATTCCGTTGCCGAGAGAAACATCCAAAAATGGGCCAATCCATCCTGATGGGGCCGAGAGTCAGCCGGATGGCGTATGACTACAAAGATCTGCCGCACCAGCTGCAGGAGGTGACTGTGGGAGACTGCCGCCGAGAAGCGGGCGCGCCCGACGTCCGCCGGATGGGGAGACAGCGGTCACTCAGTCCGGGTAGAGTCTACTCGCCAGTCAGAGCTCAAGAGGTGTACGTGCCGGTGCGACGGTATGTGGCAGAGGAAGAGGAGGAGTTTTTTCAGTGACCCAAGCGTGGATTCGCAACGGCAGCTGAACCGTTACGCCCGGAGTGGCCGGTGCTTCAAAACCCTGCACCGAGGTATGAACTTGTTCCAGTGAGGGGGAGAAATCACCGCCAACAGTCCCCTCCAGGACTGACTTTGAGTACTCTTAATTGGAGGGTATTCCCGAAATATCAGCCCCCCACTGACGTTCTGAGTTATCTGACTCTTTTTGAAGTAACTTGCAAAGATATGGGAGTTGCGCCAACTATGTATATGGCTGTTCTGCGCCCCCTAGTTTGTGGTGACCTGGCAGAGCTTATGGGTCACCTGCCCTCATCTGAACTCAATGACTATGAAAGTTTCAAAAAGTTAGTCATGCAGAGGCATGGATTGCACCCCGAGAATTATCGAAAGGCTTTTCGAAAAGTAGAGAAGTCGGGGCTCAATGATAATATTGCAGTTTTCTCAGCAAAAATGGCTCAAAACTTCGAACTGTGGCTTGCCGCCGAAGGGGTGGGGGACTTTGAAGGATTCAAACAGCTTATATTAATTGAACAACTGATGCGTTCCCTGCCCTCAGAAATTGCTAGTCTGGTTGCAGACCAAAAGCCACGAACTCTAACGGAAGCCACCACCTTTGCTGAGTCTTTTAGGCTTAACCGCTCCCATTGGACCAACAAGGGACCAAGTAATGTGTACAAACCAGCAGTTTCGACGGGGAAGGTTGCTCCCCCCATTAAGGAACAAAGCAAAGGTTTCCCGACGCCTGCAAAAGACTCTGTTGTAGTAGGGGGAGAACGTACCAAATTGTCCCCAACCTCTGGACTGTGTTTCTTTTGTAAACAACCGGGGCATGTAAAAGCGGCTTGCCCCCAGCTGGGTAGCCAAAAGCCTCCTATTCTCACTTCCACCCCTGCCGTGCACCTGATTCAGCGGCAGGAAGAGGACTGGGAAGAGGAACAACAAAAAGCCGGAGCTGGGGAAACCCCGATCCTGGATGGGAAGGGTGTGGCAGCTCCTGACGTTATGGCTCCTGGAACAGCTGAAGCCACTTCTAATGCTGTTATAGTGGGACCTGTGGGTACCAGTGCTGATCCAAATGCGCCGCATGTGAAGTGGGCTATTTCGAAGTTTACAGCGCCCATTGAAGTCAACGGAATTGCTGTGAACTCTTTCAGAGACACGGGGTCGGATATTACCAGTGTGTCCCGTGATCTGGTTATGCCTATACAAACGCAGGATAAACCCATGAAAATTAGTCCCTATGGGGTGAAAGAGATTTTTCAACCTACTGCCATTATTCCAATTTCGTATATGGGTTTTCAAGGAAAAATGTTAGTTATAGTGCATGACCCAAAGATGTGTAAAAGTCCTGTCTTGGTTGGTAATGATTTGGGATACCGGGTTCACCAGCAACAACATACAGTCAACATTTGTTCCATTAAAATTTCACCCACCCAGGTACAGGGAATGGAGAACTGGGGAGCAACATCTCAAAGTTTGAGGGCTGAGGAGAACCTTGTCCCGGATGGGGAAGGTGGAAGTTTAGCGCCTGATGCTATAACTCACGAAACTACTGGGACTGCTGAGACTGCAGCATCTGAGAAATTGGTTGGGAGGAGGGTTGGCTTAATACGCACTGCCACTCCCTATGTTAATTGGCCCTGCTTAGCGCCTGACGTAATCCCCAGGGTTCATCGAGTTGTTGTGCCTTCTTTTCAAAGTATGGACTCTGTTACCGGGACTTTACCAAAAGACTCAGTTTTGCCCCAATGGAACCAGCCTGACTTCCAGAAGAGTAATCCTGGTGGTGGAAATTTAATTCCCCAACCTGCAACTGTTGATGTGTTTACCTCCAAGGATTTTATGGGGGATCTTTTTGTTCCAGTTCCTGAACCCCAAGTTAGTGCAAATTTTACTTTTGGGGGAAATGCTTTGAAATCTGCAGTTCCGTTGCAGCAGCTTGCAGAAACTCCCCCTGGTGAGACTGAGTTTATCTCTGTTGGGGCTGACAAAGAATTTCTTTGCCCACAGCTCAAGGACTTTAAAGATCCTGATGATGTGTTTACTGCTTGTCAAAAGATGTTTTATGATGCAAATGTTTAGGTAAAGAAGAAATTGAATTTGGTGGGTCTTTTACAGAATTTCAGTCCTAGGAAACAGGATGATGATGTTATGAGCAAAAATGTTTTCAGGTTTGCTTGGAATTCCATTTTGCCCAAACCCTGTGTTCAAAATCTGTTGGGAGTTTTGGTTGAAATCTACTCAAGGAATTCAGAGTTTGTGTTGGGTTTTGGCAAACCCCTAGAAGATTCCTTGGGTATGCTCAGAGGAAAATGGGAGGGATTGGAAGAAGTTAAGTTGATTTTTTCTGATTTGTGGCCAAAACGCCTTAAGCATGTGCAGAGTGTATTGGCCCGATTGCAAGAACCAAACCTGACCGGGAAGAAACATAGATGCCAGTTTGCTCAAGGAAAAGTGATTCTATTGGAATTCAGAGCGGGGTCAGGAAACATCAAATCTCTAGAGGCCAAGGTGCAATGCATTCGAGATTGGCCCCGCCCCGTGGGGAAAAAAGATGTGCAGTCTTTCATAGGACTGGTGAATTATTATAGGAGGTTTGTCAATCATTTTGCCACCCTAGCTGCTCCTCTTACCAACCTTTGTAAGAAATCCTTGCCAGTCAAAGTAGATTGGACTGAAGAGTGTCAAAGGGCTTTTGATCTGTTAAAACATGCCCTTGTGAGTTCCCAAGTTATGTTGGCCCCAGATCAGAGACGTCCGTTTGTGGTGCAAACTGACGTCAGTCAGACTGGGCTGGGAGCAGTTCTGCTCCAAGAAGATCCCGAGGGAAATTGGCGTCCCGTGGTTTACTTGAGTAAGAAACTGATAACCCGGGAGCAAAATTATTCAACCATTGAGAAAGAGTGTTTTGCTTTGGTCTGGGCTCTGACCAAATTGCGTCCTTACCTGTGGGGTAACACCTTTGAAGTCCAAACGGATCACTCCCCACTTTGTTGGTTGGAGAGAGTAAAGACATCCAACCAGAAATTGCTTCGGTGGAGTCTGGCCTTACAGGATCTCCAGTTTAAAGTCACACATATTGCTGGGAAGGACAATGTGGTTGCTGATACCCTGTCTAGAATGTACCAGTCTGTTGAGTGAAGTATTACTGTGTATTTTGCCTGAATCCTCAGTTGGAAAAACTATTGGTGATTATTGTTCTGTAACTGTGTAAATATCAGACTGGGGGATGCTGCTAATGATTTTGGGAGCTGCTGCCCCCCCAGACTGGTCTAACTACCTCAATGTATATATTTTGTTGGATGAAATTGCGGGACTTAACCCTGTAATTTCATCTTGGAGGGGAGGGTGTAGTAAAGCTAGTATCATTTAGAAGCTGTTCCTTGGTCAAGCAATGAGAGTGAGGCCTTGTGGGTAATCAACAAGCCGCAAGGACCATGGGAAATAAGTTCTGTCCCTTTAACCCCAGACTAACAGGCACCCAGGGTGTGAAAGTTTTATTATGGGAAAGGAAACCCCTGATTTAATGGAAGGCCTGACACCTGGGTCCAAGTTCTGCGCATTCCGTTAGCGATGTTATCTGGCCTTAATGGCCTGGGAATGTGCATCTGCAGAGGCGCTACGGAAGGGAGGAAAACCTTTGATTTAGGCTCTGGGTTCTTAATTGGCCCAGCTGCCAGAAGTTAGATTGATTAGCCCACAAGCCGGTCATTGGAGAATTTAAAAATAATCAAGAGTTATGATTGGTTTTGGGGGTTCCGACGCCACGTGTGAATTAGGGATAAAAGATCTGGGAAATGGCTGAGAAAGTGCGCTCTGCAATCCGCAAATCGCCCGGCTGCTGATGTTCCATCTAAGTAGCTGTCTTTACATCCTTTGTGATGGAGAACTGCGAAAGCCTTTGAACTGCGGAACCTTGAAAGGACTCTATCTATTTCTTTTGTGCTTTAGTTGTGAGTATGCAAGCTAGCTAGATTTCACAATGTTTTTATTTTTCTGGTCTGTAACTTACTAAAGATGTGCCTGCTATTTTAGCATGTTTTCTTATGTTCTTTTAAAATAAATTTTAAATAAGAAACTGTTTTGGTTTGTGTGCCTTTCCGGGGGAAAAGCTAAGTCCTAGCCTTCCGCTTAGTTACGCTCTACCGTAGAATTTCTGTCTGCAAGATTGTGGATTCAACTTGTGGAGTGGGGATAACCAGTAACAACAGGGCACAACCTTCTCCCTGGGTTGTGACTCTAGGTTCCCCGGAACAGAGGGAGTGGTGGCAGCTCTACCGGTGTGATTTTGTCCTGCTTCTGTATAACGTAACTTTGCCTGCCAGCCCTGTTCAAGAAACCTGATCTGGCCGGAGAGCAAAGACAGGTGAGGGAGGAGCGAGCGGCTGGGGGCAACTTTACTACACCATTCATAAAGGTCTGTCCAAAGTCCATCATTTCAATTATTATTTTTTCATATACGTCCAGGAGACTCTGTGAAATGTCATTCCTCACCTCCAAATATTCCACTACATCCAATATATTTCTTATATTGTCTTTCTTCTGTCGGCCTGGTAAAAACCCAGCCTGATCTGAATGTATCAAATCTGTTGACTTGCTAAATGCAAGATGGTAATTTTAAAATTAGATTCAGAAGCAATACAAATGCAAATGAGTGAGAAGATTACAGGTTTTATTCCAAACAACAAGCAAAATATATATTATCAAGCAGCACTTCAATCTGCCACCAAGAAGCCCTGAAGAAGTGGCGAAGTGACCTCCAGGTAGCCTTCGATGCACAGTACTGCGGCAAAGGAGGCCAAAGATTTAATTCCCCAAGGGATTACTAAACTGCACATAGACATCCTAGCAATGGTTGTTTTTTATGAAAGTGTTTTCATGGATAACAAAGGAACATATAGCATTTCTGTTTTCCATCTTTTCTACAAGTCAGTTACATTTGGTGTGAGACACTGCTGTCGTAGGCATTGTGAGTTGAAGGGGAGAGAGAGGGGTGGGGGAGAGAAGGGGAAGGTAGGGAATGCTTTCCAGGGTGAATTTTGTTAAGAAATATGGGAGTGACATATCCCAACAGAGGCTCCTCTGTCATTAGTGCTTCTCTCCCCTTTCTCTATCCAAAGTGAATAATTAGAGATAAGAAAAACTATCTAGAAAATTCCAGCAGTACAACTACTAACTAAGGGAGGATTCCAATCTAGAGAGAAACTAATCAAATTAAAGTTCACAACTCAGGGGCAGAGAGGAAGAGAGAGAGAGAGAGATTAGACCAGAAACTGCTGAGGGAGCTAAGAAAAGGCAGCACTCTATCCCAGAGCAGATAGATCCCAAGGCTGGGAAACAACTGGAATTGGACCAGTTCCTCATCGGAAAGGAGTTGGATATCACCACAAGTACTTTTTCTACCCTCAATAGGCATGCTGTGCTAGAACAAGACTCTGCTACATAGCATGATGAAGCAAGAGCAACAAAGAATCTTAGCCGCTCCTAAAACAACGGAGGAACACCCATGGTCACTGACAGAATTAGAAAAGGCAAGGTTACTAAGCAAATCTTTCTTATAACTGAGACTGTGATGAACCTGTATGAGAAATGGAATCTTAAGAAATCTTGTAGTGCTTTTCATCAACACAGATTGACAGTGATGGGTTCTGAAGGAATATTTCACATTCACATATAAGTCTGCATTAAATCCATTATCTCTATGTACATGCGCTGTGGGGCATCATAGCCTATGATAAAATCCAGATGTTGCCATTCAGGAATATCCTTGTGGTAAACTAAGTTTGGGATCTGAGGCAGCAAGAGGGCCATGTCCTTTGAGTCTGCAATCCAGTCGTTACCACCACTCCAGACAGCTGTTGGAAGAGTCATCCGTTGTACACTGTAGAAAGGTGGTGTTGACTAAAAGAGAGAAGATAAAAAGTTTAAAAACAGTCTTCAAAGACTTCCTGATCAAAACACACACACACACACACACACACACACACACAGGTACAAACATGCAAAACACAAACATATTTCTTATTTGAGGAGAATGCAGGTTGAACTGTTAATGTGCGTAACAACTGGGCATTGTGCGCATTCATCAGAAGTTGTGCACATAATCCATCCATGGAGAAGAAACTGTGCAGATTGTCTGGTCAATCTACATCTCAGGGTTTTGGCTTCAAGCCTCATGCTGGGCAAAGGTGTCCTGCATTGTATGGGGTTTGACTCTATAATGTGATGATTCTATGATTTTTTGAGAACCTAAACTTTGTTCTTGTCCTTACTGTTACTAAGCAACTGAGCCTAGATAGTAACATCTGCCAATTTGTTTGTTTGTTTGTTTTTAATATCAAGTGGCCAAGACCCTGGGCTGCAGGCCGCTCTGCCTGGCTGTAAATCCAGCACTGATTGTCTGGATTTACTGATTGTTCCAAAATAATGGGATGGTTTACATGTAGCTTTAAGCCAAACTATGACTGAGCATGAATGTGCACTCTGCCTCAAAGGAATGCACAGACACTTTGACCCTTCTCTGGTCTCCTTACTGCTGCTTTAGCATGAAGGACAAACCCAGGCTCATGGTTTGTCTCACTCCAAACAAACCACAAGATGGAACCAAAGTTTGTTCTCGTATTTACAACTCATGCAGTGTCTGGAGAAAGACAAGCCACATGCCTGGGTTTAGCAACTTGCTAAACCAAACTACGGATTAGAGTGCAGAAGAGCAGCAGCAGGAGAGTCAAGGGAAGAGTGAAGTGGCCAGATCTCCTCTCAGGAAGCTCTTCCACACCAGCATTCATGGCAAGCTTTGATTTGGCTTACCGTCACCTACAAACCAGCTCAGTGTCTTTGACTCATTATTCCCAACTATCATCACTGTGATTCTTCCTACTGCACCAGTTTTGTTAGCACTGAAGAAACATGATTGCAGTTTCAAGACAGACTCTTCTGGCAAATTTCAAGTATGGCTGTTAGAACCAGACATATCTTAGTTAGCTAATCTATACAGGGATAAATTTGAAAGAAAGAATGGAAACAATCCTCATTGGTGTGATGTATTGCTTCATAAAAAAAAATGATCTTCATTATAAGACAGGGGAGTGAAGATAGACACCTGGCATATGGCAGATTTGTCAACAAATTCACATTTGAGATACATTTTTTGGCTATAGAAATTAGATATTATCAAGGGAATCTGGAGACCATTTGCTATAGTAAATGTGCATCTAATTTAAGAGATATTTTGGCATATCCTAAAGTAAAGGGACGTGGGTGGTGCTGTGGGTTAAACCACAGAGCCTAGGACTTGCTGATCGCAAGGTCGGCGGTTCGAATCCCTGCAACAGGGTGAGCTCCCGTTGCTCAGTCCCTGCTCCTGCCAACCTAGCAGTTCAAAAGCATGTCAAAGTGCAAGTAGATAAATAGGGACCACTCTGGCGGGAAGGTAAACGGTGTTTCCGTGTGCTGCTCTGGTTCGCCAGGAGCAGCTTAGTCATGCTGGCCACATGACCCGGAAGCTGTACGCCAGCTCCCTTGGCCAATAAAGCGAGATGAACACTGCAACCCCAGAGTCGGTCACGACTGGACCTAATGGTCAGGGGTCCCTTTACCTTAAAGTAAATCCAAAACCTCTTTAACCTCCTAGATATTATCAAGCTGGGCCAAATAATTCCCATGTGGGAGTTGTAATGGTGGTAAAATGAATTCCTTGTGCAATCCTGATTTAAACCAAATTTACCACCTTAATGAAGCATATAACCACAATACTCAAGGGAGTGATTAATGATAATGCCTTTATACATTGGCATTGCCACAAGAAAGATTAAGATCTGGACATGGGAATGCAAAAGTTGCATAAGGACAAAAAAACCCCTCAATGTGTTATTGCTTAAACACTGTATAGAGGAGCAACGTGATACTTAATCTAAAATATTGGTGCTTTGAGAACATACATGGTTCTGAGAAACAATTGTAAACACAATTTAAAAGGAACGAAATCAGAGAGATCTATAGATTAAGGACAGTAGCATCCGGTGGACTTAAGGAGAACCTAAAATGGGTGTCTGCTATGCAAGAAATTAAAGATGTATTTTTAATGGAAATTGTGTCACATTTATTGCCATATCAGTTATTATTGTTGTCACTATATTTACATAATGCATGGAATTTCTATGAAATGGAGCTAGAAACCTGATTATCAATGCAGGTGCTATAGTTGGTAAAGTTGTAGCAGATCCTCTTACATGAGTTGAACCTGTATCAACTGAAGTTAACTGGCTTTTGACTTCACATAAGCAAAGGTGATATTTGGATCTGATTTGGTGAGCATACTGTGACAAAAGTCAGGTGCCCATCCCTCCAACGGCCGAGTGGTGGCAAGAGTGGTGTTAAATGTTCAGAAAAAGTCAGAAGCCCAAGGCAATATAAGTTTGTCAGCTAAGTTTATTCAACATTTGTCAGTGATGTTACGGTAAAATCTGGGTGCGGGGTTACTCTGCCACCCAGCTCGTCGGACTAAGTCCGTGGGTCCCTGCGGAAGAAAATGAGCTCAGCCGGAGACAGGAGCAAGCTGCAGAAGATCCAAGTTTATTGCGCAACAGGTTCAAGGCGAGATTGAACCCCGAGAAAGGGGTGACAGGAGTTTTTGAAACTTCCCTCCATGTCCCAGAATACAGTGCAAAATACATCATAATTGCATCATGAATACATTAGAGAGAGGTTGGGTTACACAGGTTACATCATGAATACATTAGAGAGAGGTTGGGTTACACAGATTAACATATGGAGCAGGGAGGGGGGGGAATATGCAGAGTTGGAGATATGCGCAGATAAGCGCTTCCTGAGTACCGGTGATGAGAAGACAATAGTCCAAGTATGCAAAGTCTGTCACCTGGCATTGCCCGGAGGAAAGGTTGGGCAGAGTGATTTGACCGGATTAGGGTCTTCCTGAGTACGTGACTCCTCGCTCGAGGGATTATGGAGGGCGAGGAGGTGTCATGGAGTCCTGAAGAAACTGAGTCGATCGACACCAAAACCAAGGAAATCGGAGCTGTGGTTGATTTTATACGAATTTTAGAAGTTTTAGTCCGTTCTAGTCCATTCTTATATTAATAATTGAAGTCGGAAACAAAATGGATACATTGTTGCAAGATTTGACACTTTTATGAGTTCACGAGTTTCGATTCCATTGTTCTTTCAGCGGGGAGCCGTCAGTAGCTTGTCAAGGGGTTAAATGAGGCGTGCAGAGGCTCGCTGAGCTGATTCTGCAGAGCGGATGCATGGTTCTGATTGGTTAGAACGCGGGCCATTGAAACAAATGGGGAACGCAGTTTGATACGGTCGACCCATGATAAAGATGGAGCGAGAGGGAGAGAAAGAGGCTTGAGAGTTTGGGCTTATTTCGCCCGTGTAGAAAAGGGAAAGGCACTTTAAACTTGGGGTTTGGATAGAGTGTGGTGCTTGTGCAACGATGAAGGGGCTGAGGGGGTGAATGTACAGTGGGCGCCCTTGAGTTCATCGCCTCGGACGCACCAAAGGAGGGGGTGAAGGAAGGCACCCCCCCTTCCCGTATCAGTGACAACAACTCACTCATAGGAACACAAGAACCAAACTGACTGGACAACACAATAATAAACCCGAGCATGAACACTGAAAGTTGACAGCTGAAAGTACATGTGCTTACTTGTCATTAGAACGTTCGTCTACCAACGCTTATACGATTGGTTAGAACGTGCCTTGTAACATAAAATGTGATAAACCCAATACATAACACTCATCCCCCCAACTTCCTAACAAAAGGAACAAACATAGTGATAAAGGTGTGCCGGCCTTTTCCGCTCCCACTTGGGCCATCGCGGTTCCTGTGCCCGAGTGGGTGACCTAGGAGGTTCTTCCGGTACCCGCAGTCTGAGTGGGGAGCTCAGCAAGGCTGGCTCTGAAGTGGTCCCTGCTGATGGAGCCACTGAGGATTCCAGCCTGAAGTCGCCCTGCTTGGGTAACTCAGTCACCGGTAACCCGTCTGGTTCCCACCCTGGCCTGGGCACAGAATCTCACTAAGTACTCATTTCTCTGTCCTCTGGTTCAACTTGAAGTTCCGTGTTCAGAGGTGCACTGGCTCTGATCTGATTGAGGTGTCTCTTCCAAACCAGTCCCCCCTGTTCTGTCCCCCAGTTCCAAACCAGTTCCCCCTGTTCTGTCCCCCTGGTCTCTGTTCTTCTACCTGCTTCTTCCTCCCAGCAATCCTTGCTCAAAAACACCCTTTTCCTGTCTCCTCAAATACACACTCTATCACCTTGGCAACATCTCATTCTCCAGGCTAAAAGATTTCTCTCCCCAATGGGCCATCAACACTTTTTGTCATGTTAACAGGTTTGGTCTTCACTAAGCCTGCCAGTCAGGAATTTTCTGTCTGGCACAGCTCTGCAGCTTGTACTTTAATACTTTTTAAATGAAAGGTTCTCTGTATAAAGGATGCTATATAACAAAATAGTTGACTGATAAAGCTCGGAAAACTTAAAAACACCTTGTAGATGGATTCTTTTAATACATGCTCAGTCTATGGATTTACTTAAGCTACCCACTATCTACCCTCATATAAACGCCTACAGAGAGAAATACTGAATTTGTGATAAATTCCTACCTGGTTGTGGTGAGCCATGTTTGCTTCCTTGCTTCCCCAGTCAAAGCCTTTGAACTTCCCAGCCTTCACAATCTGAAAAAGAGGTGTGCCATACTTTGAAAAACCACATGGGAAAAGCAGATGATATAGAATTGTGTGATATGAATAGACCGTGTGTCAGGGGTTCAGGGACAGAGGCACAGGGTAGGCAGGAGATGGAGAGCGATGGGGATGAATCCCAGGACAGCGAGGAAGAGGATGACAATGACTCAAGAGATTCCATGAGTCTTTCCAGCGAATCAGAGGATTCCCAGAAGGGGCGCCAGTGGTCAAGGCCAGGGAGCCCCAGGGGGACGTGTCAGGAACAGGGGGCCAGCGGGGATCCCAAAGTGGCAGCTGGGCGTCAGGACCAGCCTCCCCGCCAGAGTGCAGCGAAGGGGTGGAGGTTCCAGTGTATCAGGGAAGCAGCTCCGGCAGCAGAGAAGGGAGGGAGGTCGGAGCAAGCCACCCTCCCGGAAGGGGAGGGGAGTAGTGAAGGGAGTAGTGTAACTGTCAAAAGGAAGGTTAGAGGTTGGGCGCGTGCGCCAAGTTCAAATGTAGAGGCGCGTGGAAGTACAGGGAGCCCGGAGGAGGGGCCAGGTCCCAAAGCCCGCAGGAGGGGGGGAGAGCAGTCTGGAGATTCCGCGTCAGGGGAATCCAGGAGGGGCGAAACCCCAGGGGGCAGGAAGACCCTGCGGAAAAGGAAAGAGAGGAAGAGGTGGAGCAGCGCAAGGCTCTTAAACTGGTGCAGGGGAGGGACTGACTCAGAGGGGACTTCAACGGTCTAAGCGTACAGACGTGGGGCTGCGCGCCTCGGATATGAAGCAAGCAATGAACTGCAATAAACACTTTTGTATATAAGAAGAGATTGGCGTTGGTCTTTTGTGAGCTGAGACCTGAGGCAGCCTTGACACCGTGGTACCAGCATAAACAAGGATGTTGAACGTGTCAAAAACCATGCTATGATTAAGGCTATGCAATAATGTCTAACTTCATCTTTAGTGAGAAGAACAAAAGTTAATGTAAACATACAAAAAAAGCTACACAAAGCTATTTGAAAGCAGTAGACCTGTTTTTTAGTACTGCTTAACCTTCTACGTCTCCTCAGTGTATCTGATATCTTGAGAATGTTTGACATGTGTCCTACTAGATATGAGTTGTCTGTTTTACACCTACCTAGAAGCAACTCTCATCTAACTTAGGGGGACTTTAGTATACACACATAGGTTTGGGCTGAAAATTTCTCTTCTGATCTAATATGAATTATCCTCTCTGCCTCTGGGCATCTGGATTAAGTTGGGTGGTTGGATAAGTAGCCCAGGTATCCCATTGCTCAGAAATCAGAATATTGTGCAGGGATCAGGAATTTCCACTCCACAGTCCAACTTAGTCTGCCAGGGGATTCAGTCTCACCCAAACACTTTCCCACAAAGACACCCAATTGCCCATTAGCTGATCTCACTCATTTAAATTCTGCTCTGCTTGGCAGTATTCCAGGCAAACCTCTTCCTGATGAAGGAAGGAGTTTGCATTGGAAGTGTTACTAAAGTGAATCAGGAAGAGGTTTGCATTGGAATCCAGAAGGAGCACCTTGCAAAGAGCTTTGACATCCTTGATCGTTCTAATAGGTTCCTGGAAGAAAGAATGGCAAAAGAGGCTTGAGCCCAGGGGTCAGCCTCTTTTCTTTTGGCCTTAGGCCCACCCCCGGCCGTCTGTCCATTGTCCTCCCTGGCCGAGGGTGGGTCAAAGGCCAGCTCAAGCAGGTGGGTGGCACCCGCCCAGGTGAGCCTCGCTTGGTGCCGCAAACCCCACCCACCTGTGGGGAAGGGAGGGCGGATACCGTCTAATCATGTCTATTAAGAACCATTCAATTAGACTTATTCCCAGGGAAGTGTTTCTAGATATCCAGACTAAGTCACAGACTCAGAGTTAGAAAACAGCAACTCCATCCTAAAGATTATTTCACACAATTGATCCAAAATAGAGAGCAGCTTCAAGGGAAGCAGTGGCTAGGAAGAAACAACTCGATTGTGGGATATATGAGCCTCAAATAACCAGCATGTTTAGCTCTATGGGTTAGCATGTTGGGTTTAAGACAGTCCAGCGAGGCTTAACTAGGTCATTCCCCCTCACTTTGTAAGGAAAGATTACCAAAGCCATTATTCATTTTCTTTTCCACCATGTATATCCGATCAGAAAGGACATCTTAGCTAGATGCTCCAAGCTTCTACTGTGTGGCTTTAGCAAGCCATCTTTGTGTTTCTATACAAATAATTCAGATGACACTAAGTTAAAGTGCCGGTCTAGCCTGGAGCCATCCTGATGCTTTGGACTCCAACTCCCATCAGCACAAGGCAGCGTGGCCTGGCTGATGGGAGTTGTAGTCCAATCAGGCGGGCAAAGCTTCCAGTAGCACTGGGTTCTTCACTGAGACACAATTCAGTAAAATACCACAGAAACGTAGTATTTTGTCCATCTACATGCAGAGGGACTATTTTGCCAATAAAAACAAATCCATTGGGGATATTATTGTATCTGTAGCTTTTGAAATACTCCTGTTTGGAAACATTTAAACACAATAAAACTCTCTCAGCTTTAAACCCTTTCTCATAAAAACAAAACATATTTCTGGAGTCTGTAAAAAGAGAGGCGGAGTTATTAAGAATTTTTCTTTCAATCATATTTATTATTTTCATTCTTAAAAGTCTTTGTAAAAGCCTGTCCTGATTGCCCATTCTTCAATCGATACGGAAACCTTTTTTTAAAGAGAAAAGAGGATTTCGGTGCTACCTGAACCCAGTGAAGCATGTTCTGGATAGATGTCCCAGCTGGGAAGTGTGATAAATAAACATCGATTCGACTCTGTAAGAAAGCGCAAAGTGATTAGCTGAATTTATCACAAATTGCAACAGCCACTTCCCTTCCATTTGGTTTGTTTGCACAAAAGCAGTGCACCAGAGCTCAACATCGGGATATCACACAGGAATCCATGTTTACATAGTAACTACACAGCTTGACACTCTAAACTGGTTACTAATCCCAATATGATGTTACAAAAAAACCAAACAAATGAAAATTAGCTTAGAGCAAGGCATTTCAATTTTAACTGTCCCAGAACTTAAATGCATTTTTTTTACATTTTATATATCAAATTACTTGCAGTGCTATTCTATGCACATTTACTAAGAAGCAAATTGTACTGTGTTCAACCAGGCTTCATCCCATGTACCTATGCAGAGGAGGAGGAGGAGGAGGAGGAGGAGGAGGAGGAGGAGGAGGAGGAGGAGGAGAAGAAGAAGAAGAAGAAGAAGAAGAAGAAGAAGAAGAAGAAGAGTAGTTTGGATTTGATATCCCGCTTTATCACTACTCGAAGGAGTCTCAAAGCGGCTAACATTCTCCTTTCCCTTCCTCCCCCACAACAAACACTCTGTGAGGTGAGTGGGGCTGAGAGACTTCAAAGAAGTGTGACTGGCCCAAGGTCACCCAGCAGCTGCATGTGGAGGAGCGGAGAGGCAAACCCGGTTCCCCAGATTACGAGTCTATCGCTCTTAACCACTACACCACACTGGCTCTCTGGTTAGATTACAGCCTAACTATAATGCTTTTCATCATACAGTACAACTAGAACCAATCCAGGTACGGTTACTAACAATGATTGATGCAATAGGCATTGCATTGTGTATGTTCCTCCTACAGGACATGAATTCACCCTATGCTGCTTGAGTACCAAACCTGGCCTTGGTGTGCACTTGTGGCTTCTCACTTCATGTTCCTGGGCTGATATGCACCATCTTTCAATGCACACAAATGTTCAGTTCCATTTTACAAGCATATGCACACAAACCCATATACATATATTGGACCTAACTGTGTGATTAAATGATTGCCTGTTTTTTGACTGCTGTTTATTGTTGTAATAATAATAATAATAATAATAATAATAATAATAATAATAATATTTATCTCCCGCCCATTCTGGGCAGCTTACAGCACATATAAAAAAGTGTTGTTGTTGTTTTTTAAAAAAGGTATCCCACCCACCCTGTGACCACCAGGTGAAATGTAGAATGTAAATAATGAATAAAATTTAGAGGAATATTGGCTGGAAAGGAAGCAAGAAAGGGCAAAGACTAGTAAAAGCCTTTTACTAGTGCCCCAGAATCTGAGCTCTCCTTTAAAAAATAAGTCTCTATCCATCATAGACACAAAGTGATGGGGCAAAATGTGTAGGTATCTTCTATGTTTTGTCTGAATGTAATTAAGTTATGGATGGCACAAGTAGTAATCACTTCAGAGAAGCCTCCATACACCTACCTTTTTTTTTAGAGCACACTCCTACTAAGTAATCTTACCGCATTGAAGTTTAGCACATTAAAGCCATGCAACAGGAAGAGAACACTGCCACAAAGATAATCCATTGGGAAACGGTTACACAAGGAAGTAGCACACCATTTCATTGTTCTGTCTTGAGCTAAAAACTGCTTAGTTCCAAACATTTTCTGCCAAAACAAAAATATTAGTACATACACCATTTTGTTAGTCAATTCTCTTTTTTCCTATGGATACTTCTAACGAGTAGCAACAAAATACTACAAAAAAAAACCTGTTATGAGAATAGAATACCCATTCAAATCCCACAAGCACAGTCAGACATAATGACCCTCTGGACCCTCCAAGTGTCCCTATTTTCCAGCGGCTATCCCAGATTTACAGAAGCCATCCTGGTTTCTGATTTGATCCCAGAAAGTTCCACTGTTCCTTAGGATGTCCCTATTTTCACTGGAGAAATGATGAAGGGTATGGAGCTTTGCAGCCCCCAAGACAAGGAGATAAGTCACTATACAACCTTTAGAAGGCATCTGAATGCAGCCTTATAGAGGGAAGTTTTTTAATGTTTAATGTTTTGTTATGTTTTCATATATGTTGGAAGCTGCCCAGAGTGGCTGGGGCAACCGAGTCAGATGGTTAGATGAACACTAGTTAGGTAGGCGCCCACATATGCAAAAGACATGAGTTATGCAAACATAGCCTCTAAGGGCATTGGTTTCTTTATTTTATTTTATTTTATAATATTTTTATTATTATTTTCCATTTTTAACATTATTATAACATCTTATTTCCTTTTACTAATTCATAGCTCCACCAAACCACTCGGCTTCCCTCCATCCCGTTATCTGGTTTTTGTATAACTACATCATATTTCCACACATTTATACCATCTCAATCCTTTACTTTTTTCTTGGTTATTTTACTCTTAAAGCACAAGTAGAAGGTTCCTTCCAATGAGCGTTGTGAGATTTATCGCAGTCTTGCAAGTGTCTTTACATGTTTACAATAACTGTCTATATATTGAATAAATTTACTCCAATCTCTCTGGAACGCTTTGTCACTCAGGTTTCAGATTTTGCCGGTCAGCTTTGGTAATTCCGCATAGTCTATCTTCTTCATTGATTTCTAGACTTTTGGCGTCCTTCTAAAGTGGTTCAGGAACAAGCAAGATTATAATGGTTCCCACAACATGAATACTATTTCAGTAGGAGCCCAAATATACAAAGGACATGAGTTATGCAAACATTTTGCCAAATGTCCAGTAGCTAAATAGATGTGCTTGAAATCATTCAATTCCCCAGTAGTTTCAGCAGAAGTGTCTTACTGCTCTATTGTATGCCTAGTGACTTAATTTGTCTCCTGACTTGACCCTAGGCTAAAAATACAAGAGGTAGCTATTCCTCCAATCTGAAAATGACAGGAGTGTAGCATAGCAACCAAGGGTGACTATAACATGGGGAGAAAACTGACCATGCTCCAATGTTGTTTTATGGATTACAGAGCTAAAAGCAGCAGGGTGGAAGAGATAGACAACACAGAAGACCCAAGCAAACAGCCTCCAACATGATCAGTGAGTTTCTCTGAGCCCTAAAAATGGGTGCTTGTGCCTGTAATTTGATCAGCATGGCTCTCTTCCCCTACAGCCATTCCTTGTTCGTAAGGAAGTAAGTCCGCAACAAAGAAAGAAAGAAAGAAAGAAAGAAAGAAAGAAAGAAAGAAAGGGGACAGGGTTTCAGGAAAAAGGGCTTTGGCAATCCCACCTGCCATTGAACCCCGTAGGTTTTGATTCTACTTGATTTTGGCTTTAAGCAAGATCCCTGGAGCATAGGCTTACTGTACTGTAAAGAAAGCAATACTGTAATTAATACATTCCCATGTAACTGCTCAGCATTACAGTGGTACCTCTGGTTACGTACTTAATTTGTTCCAGAGGTCCGTTCTTAACCTGAAACTGTTCTTAACCTGAAGCACCACTTTAGCTAATGGGGCCGCCACCATGCAATTTCTGTTCTCATCCTGAAGCAAAGTTCTTAACCCAAGGTACTATTTCTGGGTTAGGGTTAGCATATCGACATGGTCAATCACGAACTTCTGGACCACCGCCTTGCTGACGTGGGGATCCAGGGCACAGTCCTTCAATGGCTGCGCTCGTTTCTCTCTGGTCGGGGACAGAGGGTGGCGCTTGGGGGGGAATTGTCATCGCGCCACTCCTTGGTGTGTGGAGTACCTCAGGGTGCGATACTCCCCGATGCTTTTCAACATCTTTATGCGCCCCCTCGCCCAGCTTGTTCGGAGTTTTGGGCTGGGTTGCCACCAGTATGCCGATGACACCCAACTCTATCTGTTGATGGATGGCCATCCTGACTCGGCCCCAGACACACTGACCAGATGTTTGGAAGCTGTGGCTGGATGGTTACGTGGGAGCCGGTTGAAGCTAAATCCTTCGAAGACAGAGGTCCTGTGGCTGGGACGGGGCGATATGGGATTGGGGGGGCAACTACCATCTCTTGCGGGGGCGCAATTAGTGCCAGCACAGTCTGTTAAGAGTTTGGGTGTAATCTTCGACACCTCCCTTTCCATGGAGGCGCAGATTGCAGCTATAACAAAGGCGGCATTTTTCCATCTCCACCAAGCTAAGCAGTTGGCTCCTTACCTCTCTCACCCTGACCTAGCCACTGTGATCCACGCGACGGTCACCTCCAGACTGGATTATTGTAACTCGCTCTACGTTGAGACTGACCCAGAAACTCCAGCGGGTGCAGAATGCTGCAGCGAGACTCCTTATGGGGTCTTCGCTGCGAGATCACATTCACCCGGTGCTATACCAGCTGCACTGGCTCCCGGTAGAGTACAGGATCAGGTTTAAGGTGCTGGTTTTAACCTTTAAAGCCCTATATGGCCTAGGACCCTCGTACCTACGGGACCGCCTCTCCTGGTATGCCCCACAGAGAAACTTACGGTCTTCAAATAAAAACATCTTGAAGGTCCCAGGCCACAGAGAAGTTAGAGGTCCTGTGGCCTCAACTAGAGCCAGGGCTTTTTCGGCTGTGGCTCCGATCTGGTGGAACACTCTGTCACAAGAGACCAGGGCCCTGCGGGACTTGACATCTTTCTGCCGGGCCTGCAAGACAGAGCTTTTCCACCAGGCCTTTGGCCAGGGCACAGCCTGACTCCCTCCCTCGGCAATCTTCGCGGAGCTCTGGCCCAATGGTTGCCAGTGGCTTGAATTAATTAATTTTATAATGAATGATTTTAGAGTGTTGTTTATGCTGTACTTTTGTACTGTTTTATTGTTGTTAGCCACCCTGAGCCCGGCTTCAGCTGGGGAGGGCGGGATATAAATAAAATTTATTATTATTATTATTACATGTAACCTGAAGTGTATGTAACCCAAGGTACCACTGTATTGCTTTAAAGGCAACTGAGGTACCCACAGGTGTGATCTGCCACCATACTGACAAGATTCTCATGACAATTTTATTAGGAACCGTAGAGAATTGCGCCAAATTCTTTAATATGGGCACTGAATGCAAACAGTATCCACAAGTATAGAGCACCGACAGCTTTCTTTTTCAGCGCACAGCAGAAACTGGAACCCATGACACATATAGCAAGGGAGAAAAGCCAGCCCCTCATTCTTTTTACCCCCAAAAAGTTCTGGCACAGAAGAGCCAAAGCGACACTGTGCTATCAAGTTGCAGCATTGGCTAGCTTGAGCTTTTTAGATGTCCAAGAGCATTATGAATGGCCTCAGGTAAAATGAAACAGACATTCCCAAATACTGTACTTAGCTACATCCTGCAATATTTGCATTCTGTTGTTTGAACAAATATTTTGCCCGAAATACATACTTTGAGCTTAGGTTCAGGAACCATTGCAAGTTTGGTCAAAGCTGTGTTGGTCAAGTACTTTACAGTGACTACTGGTGCCAATGCAAAGAACATCTTGATCTTCTTGGCTAGGTGTGGCATGGTTGAAAATGCAATGAATGCTGTGGGGTGGGGGGAGAGGAGAGAAATGAATAGAGTTAGCAATGCAGTCTTGAAAAAACCCAATAACAAAATCTTAAACCGAATTTTTGCATAATGCAAAAGCAATCAAGTACACAATGTTGTATGTCCTGTGGGGGACCATTTATGGCCATTTTTCAAGTCAAAATGAACTGTTATTTATTCGTAATTAAATCTGAAGTTTGCTTTTAAATTCAAAATCACTTGCAAGATTAGTGAAATAAACCACAACAGCAATAATTGTAGCTAAAACTGAGGATGAGCAAATCTCAAGTTGAGTTCTCCATGTTTCCACAGCAATTTGTTAAGTGCTTATGAAAATCATTTGTATCATTTGTATCATTTGAAAATCAATTGTATTATTGTGTGCATAATTTGCCTGCAATCTTACCTAGTACCCACAGTTTTGCAAAGCACTTTTTCCAAAAATAATGCTTTTGTATGCTATCTCCACTCATGCATTTTTACCCTAGTTTATACATTTTTGTACACATTTCTTGGATGCAGAAGTTCATTTCAAAATCTGGAGAAGTGTGAATTTGGAAGGATGGTTGTGTTTCAGCTCACATATTGTTTTGCAAAGTGTTAATGAAGTGGAATAGGAGCATGAAATCATAGTGAAAAACTGACAGAATAGAAAGGCTTGAAGCTTAAAAGAGAAGCGGCAAACCAGAACTCTCTAGGAATTAGGGTTGCCAGGGCTCTAGGGCTGACCTAGTCTCCAGGTTTGCCTGGTCCCCTCCAGGAGGATTGCAAGCTTCAGCTCAGCAAGAGCTGGCTGTAAATTGTAACATTGACTCTCTTCCCTCCTTCATTCCTACCCTCTCCTCATTAACCTCCATCTCCAGGGCTTTGTAGTGGGAAGGAGTGCAGAGGAAGAAAAGGAACTGGGCTGGGCTCAAGAGGAGGAGAGCCTTAAGAGTGTGCATGTGTGGTTGACACAAGGTGTATTGCTGCAGAGCACATGAAGAGTAACAGCCATAGCTGAGACTTCCTGCCTTCCCCCATGCAAAAAATCCCCAAAACAATTCTTGGATGGCTCTCAAATAAGTCAGAGGAGGCAAAGGCAAAAATTAACAGAAGTGGAGACTAGAGAGTCTTGACCAGGAGTTGTCAACTTGCTCCCTACCGCCCACTAGTGGGCGTTTCAAGATTCTAGGTGGGCGGTAGGGGGTTCTACGGCACAAGCTGAATCCTCCTTCCATCGAGCACTGGTGGGTGGTAAGGAAATTTTACCATCAAGAAAGATGCATTAGTGGGCGGCAAGTATAAAAAGGTTGACTACCCCGTTCTAGACTAAAGGAGGTGTTTATTATTTAGTTTATTTTAATAAAGCACCCCTTCATGGATCCCTGCCTTGCCGTGGCGAAGGGGCTTGAATAACTCAGAGAAGCTATGAACTATGCCGAGCAGGGCACCCAAGATAGGTCATAGTGGAGAGTTTTGACCAAACGTGATCCACCTGGAGGAGGAACCGGCAAGCCACTCCAGTATCCCTGCCAAGAAAACTCCATGGACAAAGACAACAGGCATATAAAAGTTATGACGCTGGAAGATGAGCCCCTTAGGTCGGAAGGCATCCAACACGTTACTGAGGAAGAGCGGAGGACAAGTACAAGTAGATTCAGAGCTGATGAAGCGGCTGGGCCAAAGCCGAAAGGATGCTCAGTTGCGGATATGCCTGGAAGCGAAAGGAAAGTCCAATGCTGTAAAGAAAAATATTGCATAGGAACCTGGAATGTAAGAACCATGAACCTAGGTAAGTTGGATGTGGTCAAAAATGAGATGGCAAGAATAAATATTGACATCCTGGGCATCAATGAACTAAAATGGATGGGAATGGGCGAATTCAGCTCGGATGACCATCATATCTACTACTGTGGGCAAGAAACCCGTAAAAGAAATGGAGTGGCCCTCATAGTCAACAAAAGAGTGGCAAAAGCTGTATTGGGATGCAATCTCAAAAATGATAGAATGATCTCGATACGAATCCAAGGCAGACCTTTTAACATCACAGTAATCCAAGTTTATGCACCAGCTACTGGTGCTGAAGAAACTGAAATTGACCAGTTCTATGAAGACTTACAACACCTTCTAGAAATGACACCAAAGAAGGATGTTCTTCTCATTATAGGGGATTGGAATGCTAAAGTAGGGAATCAATAGATAAAAGGAACAACTGGCAAGTTTGGCCTTGGAGTTCAAAACGAAGCAGGGCAAAGGCTAATAGAGTTCTGCCAAGAGAACAAGCTGGTCATCACAAACACTCTTTTCCAACAACACAAAAGACGACTCTACACATGGACATCACCAGATGGGCAGCATCGAAATGAGATTGATTATATTCTCTGCAGCCAAAGATGGAGAAGCTCTATACAGTCAGCAAAAACAAGACCTGGAGCGAACTGTGGCTCAGATCATCAGCTTCTTATAGCAAAATTCAAACTTAAACTGAAGAAAGTAGGAAAAACCACTGGGCCGGTAAGATACAATCTAAATCAAATCCCTTATGAATACACAGTGGAAGTGAGGAACAGGTTTAAGGATTTAGATTTGGTGGACAGAGTGCCTGAAGAACTATGGATGGAGGCTCGCAAGATTATACAGGAGGCAGCAACGAAAACCATCCCAACTGCTACAAGGAGTGGAATTTTCCAGTTTTAAAGATAAAACTCTGGGACTGTACCTGACCTTGAGGGCCTTGAGTGTTATGGCAGATGGGAAAGAAAAAATAGATTCTTCTTTACAAGAAAAGACAACAAGGTCTGGGAGGTCTTTTCGGAGAGGTACTACATCTGGCCCTCCTGCTTCCTCTGCAGCTGCGTCAATGTATACTAAACCAAAAGGAGGAATGCCTTCGGAAGAAGATTGGGCACTTGTTTTGAGTAAAATTAACAATTCCTTGGAACAAATGAATAAAAAATTGGACCAAAACTCACAAAAATTGGACCAAAATACACAAAGCATAAAAAGCTTGGAACAAAAGGTTAACTCTAATACAGAAGCTATAGAGACATTAGTTATGGAGTCTAATTCAACTAGACAGACTGCAGAGGAAGCTAAGGAAAAGATTGTTACTGTTGAAGCGAAGGTAGCACAACTGGAAATAGAGGTCCCAGATGTGTGGAAACAAGTACAAGACCAGAAGCAGATGCTTTCTATGTTTGAGCTCAAGGAGAAACAGACAAATTTGAGAATTCGGGGAGTACCTGAACTAGAAAAAGACTCTTTGATAGACTATCTTACAGAGGAATTTGCAGCCTATTGGAACCGGGATTTACAAAAAGAGGAGTTTAAAATTGTGAGAGCCTTTAGACTTGGAAGAGGAGGGAAGAAGGAGAAGAACAGAATAAGAGACTGTTTGATTACACTCCGATCCAAAGAAGAGAGGGATAAAATCTTGAGTTGGCATTACGAGGAGGCCTTGGCAATACACCAATTTAGAGTGGAGATATTTAAAGATATCCCTAAATATCTTTTAGATTTGAGATTTAACTTCAGAGATTTGGTTGAACTGTTGAGAAGGAACAAAATCAACTTTCGGTGGGAATTTCCTCAAGGCTTATCCTTTAGTTTTAAAGGAAGGAAAATAAAGATAAGATCAGTAGAAGATAAAACAAAGTTCCTGTATAACCACAAAGAAGACCTACAGAAGGGAATTGGAAAAGAGCCAATAACATCGGAAAGAGGATCACCAGACAGAGGACTGGAACAAAGAGTATGGGAGAGAGCACCAACAAAAAAAGATACCCTGGACATTTCAGCATTGTCCTTTGGACTGGACCCCCCCTGTTAACGAGCCAACGTTACCACCAACACGAGAGGAGCAAGCTCTGGGGGCAGTTGGGGGAGCACCAAAGTAGCCACAGGATGGCGTTGCAGGCCTTGAGTTGGAATGTGAATGGCCTCAACAGTTCGGAAAAAAGGCGAAGAGTGTTTCATTTATTGAAAAAAGAGCAATTGGACTTGATTTGTCTACAAGAAATGCATGTGACAAGGTTACACAGGAAATTATTGAGCAATAAAATATTAGGCCAAGAATTTATCTCATCGGATAAAGTTAAAAAAAGAGGAGTGGTTCTTTATGCAAAGGAGAGCCTATCACCTAAATTTATCTTTAAAGATGAACAAGGAAGATTTGTAGCAATTGAAATCCAATCACAAGGAGATAAATTTTTGATAAAGGGTATTTATGCACCAAATGAAGGGAAATCGGAATTCTTTAAAAAGCTACATGAAATCTTGATGGACTATTTGGACTACAATATGATTCTGATGGGAGATATGAATGGTGTGGTATCCACAAACATGGATAAGGCGCAAAGACAAATAATCACTAAGGATGGAAGACTACCAAAAACATTTTTTGACATGACTGAAAACATGGACTTAATTGACATTTGGAGAATGAAGAACCCTCTGGGAAGAGAGGGAACTTTCTTCTCTGAGGCTAAAATGACATGGACAAGAATTGACCAAATCTGGGTAACTAGAGGACTGGCTCCAAAGATTAGCAAGGTTGAAATTTGCCCCAAGACCAGCTCTGATCATAATGCTGTGAAGATGGAAATGAAATTAATGCCAACTGGTTCCTTTAGATGGAGGATGAATGACTCTTTGTTTAGGAATGATGAATTTATTAAAAAGGCCCAAAAAACTTTGAGAGATTATTTCGAGATAAACATGAACACTACAGTGGAAAAAATAGTAATCTGGGATGCAAGTAAAGCCGTCATGAGAGGCTTTTTGATACAACAGAACGCAATTAAGAAGAGAATGCAAAATGAGAAAAAAGATAAAATTTTGGAAAAAATAAAGGAAGGAGAGACGAAACTGAGGGCGAAACCAAAGTCTCAGGAGATTTTGAAAGAAATAAAGCTATACCAAGTACAATATATGAAAATGATGAATCAGGAAATAGAATGGAAGATTAAACAGATGAGACAAAAGACATTTGAATCAGCAAATAAGTGTGGGAAATTGCTGGCTTGGCAATTGAAAAAAAGACAAAAATTAAATACCATTACGAATCTGGAAGTGGAAGGAAAGAATATACAGAATCCAGTGGAAATCAGAAAGTGCTTCCAGAGGTATTTCAAACAATTATATACACAAGAAAAGCAGAATGAAATGGACATTGATAAATTCCTGAAAATAAATGGACTACAAAAAATTTCCCAAGAAAATAAATTAATGCTGGATTACAAAATAACGGATCAGGAAGTAGAAGGGGCCATTCAGAATATGCAATTAGGTAAATCTCCAGGACCGGATGGACTGACTTCTAGATATTACAGAACTTTGAAAGAATGGTTAATACAACCATTAAAGGAAGTCTGTAATGAAATATTGGAAGGGAAAAGGGCACCTGAGTCGTGGAAAGAAGCATACATTACACTTATACCAAAATCAGAGTCTGTAAAGACGCAACTTAAAAACTACCGTCCCATATCACTGCTTAACGTGGATTATAAAATTTTTGCAGACATTTCGCTAAAAGATTAAAAAAGGTGTTAGCAGAAGAAATTCATAAAGACCAAGCGGGCTTTCTCCCGGGCAGACATTTGTCTGATAATATGAGGAATATAATTAATATTTTAGAAAAGCTACAAGTGAAGATTAATACTAAAGCAGTTCTGATTTTTGTGGATGCGGAGAAAGCCTTTGACAATATTTCTTGGAGTTTTATGAAGAAGAATCTATTGGGGATGGGGGTTGGTAAAGGTTTTGGAAATGGTATAGGTGCAATCTACTCAGAACAAAAGGCTAAATTAATTGTGAATAATGTAGTGACGGAAGAATTTAAGATTGAGAAAGGAACACGACAAGGTTGCCCAATCTCTCCATTGCTTTTTATTTCGGTCCTGGAGGTTCTGCTAAATATGATTAGAAGGGACCAATTGGTTAAAGGTATACAAGTGGGAGCTAAACAGTACAAACTGAAAGCATTTGCAGATGACTTAGTATTGACTTTACAGGAGCCAGAATCAAGCACTAAAAGAGTACTGGAACTGATTCAAGAATTTGGTCAGGTAGCAGGTTTTAAGTTGAATAAGACGAAAACTAAAGTTTTGGAAAAAAATCTAAATGAGATTGAGAGAGAGAAGTTTCAGAAGGAGACAGGACTGACACTGGTTAAGAAAGTGAAATATTTAGGGGTTAATATGACTGCTAAGAATGTGAATTTATTTAAGGATAATTATGAAAAATGTTGGACTGAAGTGAAAAAGACTTAGAAATATGGTCAAATTTGAAGCTATCGTTGCTAGGCCGAATTGCTGTGATAAAAATGAATGTATTGCCAAGAATGCTGTTTTTGTTTCAAACACTGCAAATTTTGGACAAAATGGACTGTTTCAAGAAGTGGCAGAGAGATATCTCCAGATTTGTCTGGCAGGGCAAGAAGCCTCGTATAAAATTTAAGATATTAACTGATGCTAAAGAAAGAGGTGGATTTGCCCTGCCAGACTTAAAACTTTATTATGAATCAGCCGCTTTTTGTTGGCTGAGAGAATGGATGCTTCTTGAAAACACGGATGTTTTGGATTTGGAAGGTTTCAATAATGTATTTGGTTGGCATGCATATTTGTGGTATGATAAGGTTAAAGCACACAAAGCGTTCAAAAACCATATTGTAAGAAAAGCACTGTTTAATGTCTGGATAAGATATAAGGATTTGTTAGAAAATAAAACCCCAAGATGGCTGTCACCAATGGAAGCAAAGGCTCAGAAAAACTCAATATGGAGGCCAAATGGCCGAAGTATTGGGAAATTTTGGAACAAGAGGGTGACAGATTAAAACTGCAGAGCTTTGAAAAATTTAAAAACAGAGTACGAGATTGGCTCCATTATTACCAAATAATGGAGGCATATAACTTGGATAAAAAACTAGGCTTCCAGGTGGAAAAATCAAAGCTGGAAACAGAATTGTTAGACCCTAAAGTTAAGAATTTGTCAAGAATGTATAACTTGCTGTTGAAATGGAATACTCAAGATGAAATGGTGAAATCTGCTATGATTAAATGGGCACAAGATGTTGGACATAATATTATGATGGCTGACTGGGAACAGTTATGGACCACTGGTATGAAGTTTACGGCATGTAATGCCTTAAAAGAGAATTTAATGAAAATGATTTACAGGTGGTACATAACACCAGTCAAGCTTGCAAAAATTTACCATTTGCCCGATAATAAATGTTGGAAATGTAATGAAACTGAAGGTACATTCTTTCACCTTTGGTGGACATGCCCAAAGATTAAGGCATTCTGGGAGATGATCTATAATGAAATGAAAAAGGTATTTAAATATACCTTTCTAAAGAAACCAGAGGCCTTTCTCCTGGGCATGGTAGGCCAACTGGTGCCAAAGAAGGATAGAATTTTTTTCATGTATGCCACAACAGCAGCAAGAATACTTATCGCAAAGCACTGGAAGACACAAGATCCACCTACCAAGGAAGAATGGCAGATGAAGCTGATGGACTACATGGAACTGGCGGAAATGACTGGCAGAATCCGAGACCAGGGAGAAGAGTTGGTGGAGGAAGATTGGAAAAAATTTAAAGTATATTTACAGAAATATTGTAAAATTAATGAATGTTAGAAGGATGCTGGAAAGAAGTTATATGACTTTAGTAGAAATGTTATAAAGAATTAAGTATGAATAGATTGACAATGGGTAAAGGTGCAAACTTAAGGTTAAATTGCGTTAAGATAAATTATGGAACTAAATTTGAGAAAGAGGGAAAGGACTTGCTGGAACAATTAATTGAACTAGAATACAAAAAAGGAGGTGTGAGGAAGTCGAGGAAATAAGCAAATGAAAGATAAGGATATGAAAATAAGGGGTCTTTTTTGTTCTTTTTTTTCTTTTTTCCTTCTATTTTTTTAAAGGTTTGTGTTTTTTAAATGTTTCTGTTTTTTTTCTTTTTTAATGTTTTGATGTACTGTTGATGTTTTGTTTTATTGTATTTCCTTTTGTTTTTGAGGTTTTGTAACTGTTCATTGCTTGTATTTCTTTTTGTCTTTTTTCTTTTTTTGTAATACTTAAACTCTAATAAATATCTTTTAAAAAAAGAAAAGAAAACCATCCCAATGAAAAGGAAATGCAAGAAAGCAAAGTGGCTGTCCAGCGAGGCCTTACAAATAATGGGTGAGAGAAGGCAAGCAAAATGCGAGGGAGATAGTGCAAGATACAGGAAATTGAATGCAGATTTCCAAAAAACAGCAAGGAGAGACAAGAAGGCCTTCTTAAATGAGCAATGCAAAGAAACAGAGGAAAACAATAGAGTGGGAAGAACCAGAGATCTGTTCAAGAAAATTGGAGATATGAAAGGAACATTTCATACAAAGATTACCATAATAAAGGACAAAAGTGGTAAGGACCTAACCGAAGCAGAAGACATCAAGAAGACGTGGCAAGAATACACAGAGGAATTATACCAGAAAGATATGGATGGCTCGTACACCCCAGGTAGTGTGGTTGCTGACCTTAAGCCAGTCATCCTGGAGAGTGAAGTCAAATGGGCCTTGGAAAGCACTGCAAATAACAAGGCCAGTGGGAGTGATGGTATTCCAGCTGAACTATTTAAAATTTTAAAAGATGATGCTGTTAAGGTGCTACACTCAATATGCCAGCAAGTTTGGAAAACTCAGCAGTGGCCAGAGGATTGGAGAAGATCAGTCTACATCCCAATCCCAAAGAAGGGCAGTGCCAAAGAATGCTCCAACTACCGCACAATTGCACTCATTTCACACGCTAGCAAGTTTATGCTTAAAATTCTACAAGGAAGGCTCAAGCAGTATGTGGACCGAGAACTCCCAGAAGTGCAAGCTGGATTTAGAAGAGGCAGAGGAACCAGAGACCAAATTGCAAACAGGCGCTGGATTATGGAGAAAGCTAGAGAGTTCCAGAAAGACATCTACTTCTGCTTTATTGACTATGCAAAAGCCTTTGACTGTGTCGACCACAGCAAACTATGGCAAGTTCTTAAAGAAATGAGTGCCTGATCACCTCATCTGTCTCCTGAGAAATCTCTATGTGGGACAAGAAGCTACAGTTAGAACTGGATATGGAACAACTGATTGGTTCAAAATTGGGAAAGGAGTACGGCAAGGCTGCATATTGTGTCCCTGCTTATTTAACTTATATGCAGAATTCATCATGCAAAAGGCTGGGCTGGATGAATCCCTAGCCAGAATTAAGATTGCCGGAAGAAATATCAACAACTTCAGATATGCTGATGAAACAACCTTGATGGCAGAAAGTGAGGAGGAATTAAAGAACCTTTTAATGAGGGTGAAAGAGAAGAGCGCAAAATATGGTTTGAAGCTCAACATCAAAAAACCGAAGATCATGGCCACTGGTCCCATCACCTCCTGGCAAATAGAAGGGGAAGAAATGGAGGCAGTGAGAGATTTTACTTTCTTGGGCTCCATGATCACTGCAGATGGTGACAGCAGCCACGAAATTAAAAGACACCTGCTTCTTGGGAGAAAAGCAATGACAAACCTAGACAGCATCTTAAAAAGTAGAGACATCACCTGGCCAACAAAGGTCCTATAGTTAAAGCTATGGTTTTCCCAGTAGTGATGTATGGAAGTGAGAGCTGGACCATAAAGAAGCCTGATCGCCGAAGAATGGATGCTTTTGAATTATGGTCCTGGAGGAGACTCTTGAAAGTCCCATAGACTGCAAGAAGATCAAACCTCTCCATTCTTAAGGAAATCAGCCCTGAGTGCTCACTGGAAGGACAGATTGTGAAGCTGCGGCTCCAATACTTTGGCCACCTCATGAGAAGAGAAGACTCCCTGGAAAAGTCCCTGATGTTGGGAAAGATGGAGGGCACAAGGAGAAGGGGACAACAGAGAATGAGATGGTTAGATAGTGTTCTCGAAGCTACCAACATGAGTTTGACCAAACTGCAGGAGGCAGTGGAAGACAGGAGTGCCTGGCGTGCTCTGGTCCATGGGTCACGAAGAGTCAGACACGAATAAACGACTAAACAACAACAACAACAATCTGAAGCAGAGAAACCACCAAGAAATCCTTTTGGATATAAAGTGGTACCTTGGGATAAGTACTTAATTCGTTCCGGAGGTCCGTACTTAACCTGAAACTGTTCTTAACTTGAAGCACCACTTTAGCTAATGGGGCCTCCTGCTGCTGCCGCACCGCCGGAGCATGATTTCTGTTCTCATCCTGAAGCATAGTTCTTAACCTGAAGCACTATTTCTGGGTTAGCGGAGTCCGTAACCTGAAGCGTATGTAATCTGAAATGCATGTAACCTGAGATACAGATCAATGACATGATGGAAGAGGGAGCAGTGTGTTTAAGGAAATGGAGGATTTTTCCAAACTAAAATCTGGACTGAAGACAGAAAAACAGTTGCAATTGAAATTTTTCAACCTAAATTGCAAATCGGGCGTATTATCAAAATTTACAGACTTTCAGCTGTTGCAGAGCTGAAAATGCACCTTATACTGACTTCTCCAGTACCACTCTTATTCAACCCCTTCATAGCAAGAATCTTTAGTAATTCGTAGAGCAGCTGTAGCTGGGCACACAACCCTTCAGTTGAGGTTCTTGTCTTGATTTCCAACCAGTAGCTTTTTATTTGAATGCCATGCTCTCAGAGACCATGATTAATGTGCCATTTTTCATGACATCCCTGGGGTTCACCTCTCTGACACCACCAACAGCCACCCCTATAACAACTCCACTAGGTCTCAGGTTTGGGTCCTGAAATCTGAGGATCTGGGATCATTTTGACCTAGGACCCTACTAGAAATGGTGCATTATAATCTACACATCACAACAGAAAAGGCCCTGCCTTGTTTCTGACCTACTTAAAACTTTTTAGTGCTGCATATATTTCCTCAGTGGTGTAATAATTGTAAATTCACTTACGCAATACATTCTGTGGCTAATAACAACATTAATAATAATTACCCAGCCCATCTATCTGGGTTTCTCCAGCTACTCTAGGCTGTACTAAGAACCAATAAAACATGAAGTGAGAGTCAGAGGTGAGGTGAATTTCAAACCGGTTTGGTTAGAGAACTATGATTTATCAGACCAAGAAGGAGTGTTCAGCCAACAAGTTCTCTTCTCCTCTTGTCTCAGGGGCCTTAACATATTTCATCCTAGGGTTGTTAAACTATAGCTTCCTGTTACATCCAGACTGGGAAACTGTTACCTAAACTCTGACTGCAAACTAGGCTTGATACTGGTTTGCAATCCAGGATTTTAACAGTTTCTCAGTCCAGACAAACCACTTTTTATAAGCCCCTTAACCAATTTGAATCATCACCTATATGTGAAATATCACTAGGAAAGAAAACGCAGGAAACCCAAATACAGGGATTGTTATTCAAGATGCTTCTCCATAGGTGTCCATAGGTTCCATGGAACATCACTGTACCATGAGCAAGATGTCTCTTGAATTTAATATACAACAGCAACTGCACATATAATTATGTAGCAAATAGAACTGCCCGCATGTGTTTAAGAATCTTGCTAACATACCCATTGTGGTGCCCTCGGAATGACCAACATAAAATATTTTTTCCTGACCAGTTTTGTTCAGGACAAAGTTTATTGAAGCTGGAAGGTCGTATTTAGCCATTTCATCAAAACTGCAAAGAAAAAGGAACAGCCTATGTTTAACAGACACGTATATGCAGTGGGATCTCCACTGTGAAAGCCTAAAATGCCCTGTTCTCCTCCCAGTTCAATACAAGAACAGGCTTGGATCTGGCAGATCAGAGATCATCTCCTCCATGGATCCATCAAGTCACCAAGTCTAAGAACATTTGTGAAACAGTTATCTGAATTAAGCCATGACTCATCTTCCTTATATATTTCCATTTTCAGTGTTCACTAGCAAGCAAGGCCACACTATGAGCTGTTCACTGCAAACTGAAAATGCCCACCACACAGTTAAGAGCAACCATGTGCCTGCAATTGGGAAACCAAAAACATTTTGAAAAAGTCAGTTTCAGGAGGAACAGTATTTATGCTGTGGGCAGGAGAGGACTCTGCTTTCCCTCCAACCCATATCTGTCTGAGGAGCTTCAAATTCCAGCAGAGATTCAGAAGGACCAATATTGAGTCTCTCCAGATCAAGTCTAATTGCACCTGAAGTTAAGCTGATCTGCTATCATCTATTCTACAGAGTTCACCAAGGCCACATTTCACCAAGGCCATATTTTCCCCAGGAACAAACAAATTGTTTGTTTGTTTAAAGGGACAACTACCAATTTTACTTACTTGGAAATGTATTTCTATATCTCCATATCATATATTATAAGAGGAGGTGGAAAAACATGGCTCCACTAGGAAGAGCATGACTAATTAAAGTTTTCCCCAAAGGGTGAACTAGGAACCAGAAACAAGAAATTAGGTTTAGAAAGCTCACTCTACCTGAATAGCCAGAATTCTTGATGCTTCTCAGTATAGTTGTTGTGTTTGTTGGACCAAGTGTTACCTCTGCTGTTTCCAAGCCAAACATCATAACCAGCATCAGCCAATATAAAGCCCAGGCTGTTGTAGTCCATATTAAACACCCAGTTACTGCTAGAACCAAGCAAGCCATGCTGCAAGAACACTGTGGGCCTGGGACCTGAAGAGGAAGAAGAAGAAGAAGAATTTATACCCAGCCCATCTGGCTGGTTTTCCCCAGCCTCATTGGGAGGCTCCCAACACAATTAAAACAACAATAAGACATCAGACATTAAAAACTTCCCTAAACAGGGCTGCCTTCAGATGTCTTCTAAAAGTCATTTATTTCCTTGGCATCTGATGGGAGGGCGTTCCACAGGGTGGGTGCCACTATTAAGAAGGCCCTCTGCCTAGTTCCTTGTTTTAAACATAGTTACAATATGTAATTTCAGTGTCTCCATCCAATAAGATGCAGCCTTACCTGGCTAAGCTCTCCTCACCTTGCACCTCTGCTCTCCTTCCCAATAATCACCAGTGACAGTGGTGTTAAGAAGCCAGGAGAGCAACGATGCCCCACATGTGCGGCCTCACTGGCCACTGGTGTGTATCACCAACTATAAACTTGGGACGCAGAGCAGGCCAGCAATTTCACGTGTCTGGAATTTGAGTCTGGAATGAGTATCTTCTAAATGCAATATGGAAAGCAAGGCAGAGGTATTTGGGGGCACAGCTCACCAGGCCCTGCAGATCTGAATTCATTTAAAGTAGCTAGGTGTTTCCTTACCACCTCTTTTCCTATCTTGGGCTGTAGCTCCATCCTTACAGACACGTGAAATTGCTGGCCTGCTCTGTGTCCCAAGTTTATAGTTGGTGATACACACCAGTGGCCAGTGAGGCCACACATGAATTGTAATGGCTTGGCTCTCCCACAGAAGCGAGATACCGGTAGTAATTATCTCAGGTTTATTGCTCAAACACATAAATCACTCTGGAGCTCCTTCACTCTGTGTCTGACTCCAAGTTCTCAGTTGCCGAGTCTAAACTCCATCCCTTCCTCTTCTTCCAACAGGGGAAAAAACCCTTTCACTTCCGCTCTTTTTCCCTCCTCTCACTGACCTTTTCGCGCCTTCGAGTTTTTGGGCTGGCTATTCCTGGCCTCTCTCCATCTGTTTCTAAGATTGGTATTTTGTTTATCCCTGCTCTGGCTCTCCCTTCCTTGGTCACTATGCTCAGGGATCAGATTACCATTGCTATCTGCTGCCTGCTCTCTGTTCTCTGAAGCCATGCCGCTAGGCTGCCCTCCTCCCTCTCACATTCCAGCTCACATTCCTGTGTCCTTATCTCTCTTTGTCTGTTCTCATTCCCAGCCTCTGTCAGCTCCGGAACGAAGCTGACATGAATGTATTGCCAAAAATGTTATTTTTATTTCAATCAATCCTGGTGATAAGTAATGTGAATTGCTTTAAAGAGTGGCAGAGACATACTTCAAGATTCATTTGGAGAGGCAAGAAGCCAAGAATAAAATATAAATTATTAACAGACCTTAAAGAAAGAGGAGGCTTCTCACTACCAGCTATAAAATTATACTATGAAGCCTCTTGTTTGTGTTGGATACAGGATTGGATAACATTAAAGAATGTAGGCTTATTAACAGAAGGCCAAGGTACATAGAAGCTTCCAGAACCACATAATAAGAAAGGCAATTTTTCAAGTTTGGGGGAAATATAAAGATCTATTAGAACAAAAAACACCATGGTGGCTTTTGCCACTGGAAGCAATAGCATTCAAAAAAATAAACCCAACTGGGCAACATATAGAGAGCTGTTAATGGAAGTGGATAATAAATTAAAATTAAAGGAATATAATGAAATAAAAGAAGAGGTAACAGATTGGTTACAATATTTTCAATTAAATGAAACATTTAAAAGAAATAAAAAGAAAGGATTTGCATATGAAATTTCAAAATTCCAGAGAAAAATAATAGAAAGTGAATATAAATAACTATAAAAAATGTATAATATTTTGTTGGAATGGGAAACAAAGGACGAAGAGGTCAAAAGTGTTATGATAAAAAGGGCAAAAGACATAATATATGTGGGACATAATATACAGATGACAGATTGGGAAAGATTATGGAAAAATGATATAAAGTTCACAGCATGTACGGCTCTTAAAGAGAATTATATGAAAACAAGGTACAGATGGTATCTAACTCTGGTTAAATTATAAAAAATGCGTAAGACAAAAGATCATAAGTGCTGGAAGTATAAAGAAGTAGAAGGCACTTTTTACCATATGTGGTGGCAATGTAAGGTTATAATAAGTTTCTGGGAAACGATTTATAATGAATTGGGGGGGAAATGTTAAAAATAACATTTGTTAAAAAGCCAGAAGCCTTTTTAATACGAATAACTGGAATAGATATACCGAAAGAATATAAAAACTTGTTTATGTATGCAGCAACAGCCGCCCGGATATTGATAGCTCAACATTGGAAAGAACAAGTGCCAACCAAAGAAGATTGGCAATTTAAATTAATGGAATATGCTGAAATGGCTAAATTAACTGGAAGAAAGTCTAAGAAATCAAGAAGACCACAAATATAAAAAAGAATGGGAAATGTTTACTGCATATTTACAAAGGCATTGTAAAAGAAGTTAATACAATAGCAGGCTTTTAAAAACACTTGTAATATTAAGAATGTTTAAAATTGGAAATTTTAATAAATTTAATAAATTATAGACATGTATAATATATTATAAAAGAACCAGGAGAGGAAATGGAGGGAAGTCAGGGGATCTGAATAATCCCAAAATATGGATTTAATATGGTGTGAAGATGTTTTATTTTCTATTTTTATTTTTTATTTTATTGAAGTTGTTTGTTATGGTTTATATGATGATAATGTTTAAATGTGAAAATTAATTTTAAAAAATTATAAAAAGGAAAAGCAAGACAGAGGCAAAGCAGTTCTGCCTTTTCTCTGTCACCCAATAGCATATCTCCATATTCTCCATGCAGAGGACCTAATAGCTCAAGAAAGGACTAAAATGTGTTTAACCTACCGTAGATATTAGGCATATTAGGCAACTGGGCATATAAGACGACCCCCAACTTTTGCTGTTCAATTTTAGAGTTTTAGAGTTATAGAGTTTGAGCACTGCCAGGGGCAGAGCGCACACCACTCTGCTGCCTCTGACGTTGCAGCAGCAGCAGCCCGAGGCGAAGTGTTTGGCAGGCGGGAAGGTGAGTGCCACACTCAGAAGGAGTGGGGAGGGAGGAGGAGTGGCGGCAGAAGGGGCTCCTCTGCTCACCAGCTCCCTCTCCTCCTTTCCAACGCGTATAACCGGCATATAAGACAACCCCCGACTTTTGGGGTGATTTTCCAGGGATAAAAGATCACCTTGTATGCCGGAACATATGGTAATCTATGGCCTTTTTGGGAATTTTTTTAGAAAAAATAGGACCAAAACATATAATTAATAAAATCATATTAATAATCACCCATAACCAAACAGATTGTTGAGGTTTTCTTGCAATAAGTAAACAAATTCCAAAGCAAAAACTTATCATTTTTTAAATAATAATTTTAAATGTCCTCATAGTATTTTCATGTATACATAATAAATACCTCAAAAAACACACTCACCTGATTCCCAGTTATTTCTTTTCCCATGAGGAATTCTGTTAATACTCAGGATACACCCATCATCTGTCACCACTTCATATGTCTCACTGGGATATCCTCTGAAGGAAATCATTTCACCCTTGGCAGAAAGGGAGAAAAGAAAAGGCAAATCACCATAGTTAGAACTGAAATTCAAAAGATATTTCCAGTCGTATTTCAAAGTTCCTCCAAGTCTGGCGGTCCCCACAACTCCAGTCTCCTCCTGACCCAAGTCCAGGTCCCAAAGGTCAATAAACCCCTGCATGGGGGGATCTATCCAACTTTCTTTCTCCAGTCCAAGCGGGGCTCCAATCCTAAAAGTCTGACTTTCTCTAAATTCAATCTTGAAAGGCATCAACTTATAATCATCAAATTGCAACTGTAAGGCTGGGGCTCTCTCCCTGGGGCTTGTGCCACTTTAGGTTCCACAGCAAAAACTTTCTCCCCCGCCTTCCCCTCAATTTGCCATGTCAAAATAGATCCCTGTATCGATTCCTGAATCATTTCTGTATTAATATTGACTTTTTGTGCCAAATTAATCACTTTTTGTTCCAAGTTATCAATGTTTATAGTCCTCGCATCCGTCTTCTTATGAAGCTGTTCCAGTGAATCATTAATCTTACATAATGCAACCACTAAGGCTTCTTCTGTCAACATTCTTAACGGTCCAAGGTCAATCCCAGATTCTCACAGTTTTATCTTGCAGGTGGAAATTCCTCCAGCTCAGCTCTTGTAACAATTTCAAAGGCTTCCTCTAGGGGAAACAATTTCTATTTGTATCAATCCTTTTAAGCACAGTTCAAACAATAAAGTTAGTTTCAATTTTCAGTAACTTTTACTCCTTTTGAACGCAGAAGGAGACAATGGAGACAATGTATTTCTCTTCTTTAACCTACTGTCAGCAGACGATCTATTCACAATCAATGAGCATATCCAAAACTTCAATCTTACTAGCAGCCCGTTTCCAGGTTCAGAGCGGTGGTAATTTGACTTTCTTCACTCTCTCCTGCAGGCTTACGCGATCTTAAAGTTCCCCCCTCTTCTCCTGCTTCCAAGGGGGGTTTGATGATTTAACCGATGGAAGTTTAATCCTTTATGAAAGGCTTTCCAAGGCTTTAGCTTGCAGCCTCTTTGCTTCAATCTATTTACAAAAGGGGAAGGCGGACTTCCTGTTTGAAACCTCCCCGTTTCGGTGCCAAATTAAGACGTTTAAGAGTCCAATTTTCCGTTCTACTCACGGGTAGTTGTTTTAAGATCAAATTGTCCACAGGAAAAGGTCAGCGCTCTCCGGCAACAGCAATGCGGCTTCACTCCGTGAAAGAAGCAGTCGATTTGAAGCACCGCGCCACTCACCCCACGTCGCTCCGAATCCCCTAAACCGGGTTTCCCCGCGAGTAGGGGAGGCGCAAAAGGTGCCAGCCGAATCCCACGTCCACAAGCTTCTCCCGCCTGTGGTTTTTAATGGGTCTCCGCCTTTGCCGTGGCAGCCAGACCCTGATTTCCACGGAGCGGATTCCTCCCGATCAGAGGAATTCTGCCATTGCCGGAGGCGCTAACCCGGAAGTCCCAGCTGCCCTACAGCTTGGGGGGCGACGAGGCAGTGGGTGGACTGTTGGGGCAGTGTAGAGGCTGTGCACGTCCAAGCCACCATGTCTCTCCCAGGAGAGATGCGTAGCTGGATGCACTGCAGGCCCCGCTGTGAGTGCCACCCAGCATTTTGTCACACACCCCCTCAATGGTGACACCCGGGATGGGCTGTACCTACCGCACCCCCTTCCTCCGCCCCTGCATGCAATGGCTTCATTTAATGCAAGAGTTCGAAGACGTGCTCCTCTATTGCCCCATATCTTCTGACTTATATTATGTCACCTTTTTAAAAGAATATAATGGCATGATACCATTTCACTATTTTAAAAGTCGTTTCCTTGATACTAGCAGATGGTGAAAAAGGGATGAATGGATTTACAAAAAGTGTTAAAGTTTATTTATTTTTATTTTAACAAAGAATCTTGTAATTATCATTCCCCCTAATAGCTGCCTCAGCTGGTGAGTACCAGCAGGATTCAGAGTCCACATGGGGCAACTGAGAAACAAGAAGCACGTGGGTGGGTGAAACAGGGCTTCCAAAAGAACACAAAAGCTTTAGAATAGGGCAGTTGATGAGCTCTGTTGTTCTTTGGGGAGGATTCAGCAGCATTTCCCGAGGTGATGATGGTCAACAGGCAGTGCATATGTGTCTGTTCTGATATATTTCTTTTTTTTTAAAAAAAAAGAAAGGTCTCCTGGTACCTGATTCTGATCTGGAAATGGTCATAACTCTGCCAATTGCAGCAAAATCAGCAACTGCAAACTCTTAGAAGAAAACCACAGCATCGTTTATATAACAATGGCTTGTTGAAATATGAAAAAACGTAACATTATTAGAACTCACATTTTATAAAAGAGAGGAGGCTGTGCCTGTTAGTAGCTGTATGGAAACATGGTCCTTATTTATTATGGCCTGGAATGACACATATTTGGGGAATAAGATTAGCTATAATTTAGCTATATTGTTAAACAGATATGCGTGGTTAAGATAATGATCTATATAATATTTTTCTCTTTGTTGTAGTTTGTTATTAGTTGTTTCTTTATCCTCCTTTTCTTCCTTTTTATATTGTGAGTATTTATTATCAAAGTATTCTGGTGTAAATGGTTAAAATGGTTAAAATAATAAAGATACTTGGAAGCAGAAATAAATTTGAATTATTTTCTGATAATGAAATGAGAACCAGATTGTATTTGTACTGCACAGCCTCTTTCATGTCATAGACTCCTGTTATGATTTTTACCTTAGTTCCCTATAAAGCGTGTTCTCCCTAACAGAGAGCACGTGTTGCGGTTGGGGAAACAAGCCACCCTGCTGTTACTGGGCAGATTTGGGATGAACCCAAGCCATTAAGTGGTTAAAATTGGGTTGCTGGGGAGTTTTGATTGTTGCCAATTTGGAGGAGGGGTCAGAGTCTTTAAATACAGGACACCCGACGTTGGGCGTCCTCTTGGCCGTTTTGCACCGGATCAGGAGCTGTGGAGACGGTTGTATATGAGCTTGCTTGCAATCTACTTTCGTTTTCCCTTGGCCTTAGGTTTTAAGTACTTTTCTCCCTCGCTTCTTCCCTCTAGTACTTTCCTCCCTTCCCTTTCCCCTTCCCCTTTCCCCTTTTCCCATCCCATTGTATTCTTCCCTTCAACCCAGTTTTAAAATTTAAAAATATTTTAGCAGGACGAAAATGCTGGGCTCAGAGGGTGCCCCCCCCCCCCGGCCGTCTGAGGCTTTGCCTCTCGATTTAGGCGTTTGGAGGCCGGTTCTTTCACGGGCTGGTAGCTGCTTCCTGCGCCCCAGCTTTTGCATTTCTGTGGACGCCAGGCCCGTCCCGAGGCCCGGTAGTCCAGCAGCTGGCGGAGGAACCTTACAGCGGGCCTCTCTGGCCTCACTGATACCCGCCGAGCGTTTTTTTCTTTATTAGGGGTTTTTTGTTGTTAATTTTATTTTGGGCAGTTGCAAGGGCGCTTTCCCCCTCCCTCTTACCTTTCGCGGCTCTTCCGGCGCCGTGGAGGCGGTTCGCGGGGTCCCGGCCTCTCCTTGGGGCCACGGCAGCGGCTGCTTCTTGGGGGGGCATTTCCTTGAAGGCCTTGTGGGGCAAGCGGAAGACGTTGTGGGGAGAATTGCCTTCCTCCAGCATTTTGCTGCCCAGAGCACGTGGCGCGAGAGTGCAGGCAGCCGATTTTGCGGCTGTAATCCTTGCAGGCATCGCCTAGCAAAAGAACTGGCCGGTGGCTGCCGTGCTGGGCCTCGGGCTCCCTGCACGCCCAATATCAATTGCCCGGCTCGGCTGCGTAGCTCCCCCTGAGTGCCGGGGGGCTGCAAGCTGTATTGTGCTCACTATTTTAACTGTTTTCTGCACGCAGCTCCGTTGAAGGAGACTTTTTCTGCTGCGGTGCGTTTCTCCCTGCTGGCCCCCTTGTGGTTGTGCAGAGTTATTGCAGCTTGGCTGAGCGCCCGGGCTCCCCCTGGTGGCCCCGCCTGGTATTGCGCCTCCTCCCACTGAGCCTGGGCCAGCTGGTGACCCCTGCTGGCCGGCTTGAGGAGGTGCACCTTGCTTATTCTTTAGGAATAAAGATAGATAGGTAGATAGGTAGATAGCAGCCTGTCCTACTTACCTTTGACTCAATTTGTTGGTTATTTAATTTACCTAATTTAATTACCATATATAGACACTTTTAATTTAATTTATTATTTTATTTTCTTTAGAGAAGGCGCTGATAGGGAAGCAGTGGTGCTTCCGTCTTGGACGGTGACTGGCCAGCAGTTGCTAATGCTCATTTGATATTTGATAGCCGTTTAATTGGTTGCGGCGCCCCCTTTTGGGAGCTGTCTTTGACTGTTGATCTTATCCTTAACTAGCAGGTATGGTTCCGAAGAAAGTCGCCGCCCGCCCCGGCTCAGCCTCTACCTCAAAACGGCCTATTAGAGGCCCATCCCAGGCGCTTCGCTCACCCACCCCAAGTCAACCAGTGGGGCGGATGCAATCTTTGGTGGCGAGCATGGCCGGTGATCCAGCAGCCCTGTCTTGCTTTGCGGTGGAAATGGACGGTTTCCTTCAACACTGCTCCACCCAGCCTTTCGCGTCTGGAAGGCCGCTTCGTTCATCCCTGGCGTCGTCTCCGGTTTCGCCATTATCTAGCGAAGATGGGAGAGAAGGTCATCATCGAGGGGTTCAATGGTGGATCCCCAGTTAACCCAGTCCCCCGACTTACCTGCAGTCCGGGGCAATTCACGGAGGACAGGTCATTCCACCAGGAGGGCCTCAGGGAGAAGGGGCCCTTCGGCAGCATCCACCCGCCAGGGTATGCCCGCTCAGCCTTCAGCTGAAGTGGCATCAGGTTCTGGCCTCTCACGTGTTGTTTCTCCGCAGTCAGTCCCGGGTGCATCGCAGCTGAATCTTGACTCCGAGTCGTCAATTGAGGACAGTCTACCAGTCACTGCCAGGAAGTCTTCAGGCAGAAAACGTCGCCGCAGGAGGTCTTCCCGGAAGCATGCCAAGGAGAGGAGGGATGACACATCTTCCTCTTATACTGGTACGTCATCTTCTAGTTCCAATGATGAGGTGGGTAATTCAATGGAACTTTACTGGGGTTTTGGAGAATCGGCTTCGGGGCTTCCACGGTGGGCCTGGGATCGAAGGGCCAACACACACCGGGCAAAGTATGGAGCTGTCCAGGAGTGTAGGGACGGTGTGTTGGTACCTGACATTAAAGTCTCTACCAATTCTGCCAGGGATATCATACCAGGTTCCCATTTGTCAGCAAAGCTACGCTCCAGGATATTGAACGGCCGCTATGTAGACATTTTCAAATTGGCCCCACCTTCGGAGGATCAGGAGAAGGGAAACTCTTCCTCCAAAAAACGCTCTGGCGCCACCACTGTGGACAGGACATTCGATTGTTTCCAGGTCTTCACTGGTGTGGTTACGGCAGCGTACCCACGGAGATCTCTTCATTTGATAGTTTATCTATCCATTGTTCATTCCGCCTTCACCAAAGCTGGTGAAAAAGCTGCGATCAAATATGATGAGAACTTTAGGCGCCGCGCTGCCAGGATCCCTTCGGCCCACTGGGATCGTAAGGATCTCGATGTATGGACCACCCACGTGGCCCCACTCATCGATAAAAAAGTGCCAGAACAACAAAAGTCGAGGACTTCGGCTTTTAGAACTAGCCGCCGTCTGCTATGCTGGGATTTTGATATGGGCTCTTGTCAGCGCCAGGCGTGCAAGTATGCTCACATGTGTGAAAAATGCAATGGATTGCATTCTGCTTCCTCTTGTTTTGGTGGTCGGCGGCCCTTTTGTGGGGGAAGAGGGGGTTCTAAGCAACCACCCAAGCCAGCCCCCCTCCCTTCAACCTCAGGAACAGGAAAATAGCGTATTGACCTCCTTGGCTCATACTCCTGTTCGTTTGCCGGCCCTTCAAATTCGGTTGCAGTCTTACCCCAATAGGGATGCTGCACGTTATTTGAGTAAGGGTTTTTCTGTTGGTTTTCGGATTCCGGTAGCCATGCCTACCGTGGCACGGAATCCTTCTACCCAAAAATCAGTTCGCGAGCTACCTGAGGTCGCCCAGAAAAAGATTGCAGAGGAGGTGGCTTTGCATCGTATGGCTGGTCCTTTTGGCGCCCCCCCCTTCATAATTTGCATGTATCCCCATTGGGTATCGCGCCGAAGAAAGCTCCAGGTGAATTTCGTTTAATTCATAATTTATCACATCCCAGGGGTACCTCAGTCAACGATGTTATTGCTCCGGAGCTTTGCTCCGTAAAGTATGCCTCTCTTGATCATGCGATCAAGATGATTCAGAAGTTTGGCCACACTGCTTTATTGGCAAAATGCGATATTGAATCGGCATTTCGCTTACTGCCAATTCATCCGGAGGATTTTTGGCTGCTAGGTTTCCAGTTTGAGGGCAAATATTACTTTGACAAAGCCATGCCTATGGGCTGTTCAATAGCGTGTGCCACTTTTGAATCTTTCAGCACATTTTTGGAGTGGGCCCTCAAATTTAAAACCGGACTGGGCGGAGTCACACATTGTTTGGATGATTTTTTATTGGCCTCGGCTCATGATACCAGAAATTGCTTGGTGTTGCTGTGAGCCTTTGCTGACCTTACGCAGGAACTGGGGGTTCCGCTCGCTGCAGAAAAGACCGAGGGTCCTTCGACCCAGCTTACTTACCTGGGTATCCTTTTGGATACGGTTTCCCAAACTTCCAGCTTGCCAAAAGACAAGCTGGTAGCCTTGAAAAAAGTCATAGAGGAATTGCTCCCTCTGAAGAAGGTGTCCCTAAGGCAACTCCAGTCACTATTAGGACACCTGAATTTCGCATGCAGGGTGGTGGCTCCTGGGCGCCCTTTCTGTTCACGCCTGGCTCGACTCATGGCGGGGTTGAGGGCCCCACATCATCGAGTGCGCCTCTCCAGTGAGGTGAAGGCTGATCTTTGCATTTGACTTGAATTCCTGGAGGAATTCAATGGGGTGTCGTTATGGCAAGACACGTTGAACTTACATAATAACTTCCAGGTACAATCAGATGCTGCAGGTTCCCTGGGCTTTGGTCTTTACTGGAAAGGCCGATGGTGCACCCTGCGTTGGCCGCCTGCATGGCAGGGAGGAGCCATTACGCGGGACCTAACTTTTCTCAAGTTTTTTCCCATTGTAGTGGCAGTGCACTTGTGGGTCGATGAGTTCAGGGACCGCCGTGTCTGATTCTGGACCGATAACCAGGCGGTGGTGACCGTGCTGGCCAAGCTGTCGTCACGCTCCCCCAGGGTGTCGCCCCTTTTGCGGGCCTTTGTGTTGCATTGTTTACGTTATAATATAGTGTTTTCTGCACGTTTCATTCCTGGGGTATCTAACAAAATTGCTGATGCTCTGTCCCGTTTTCAGATGGAGCGGTTCAGACTCCTGGTTCCAGAGGCTCGGATACGTCCGGAATATTTCCCGGATCATCTCTGGAACCTTGGCAGCAATTAGTTTTGCAGGGAGTAGCGGCATCTATTTCCCCTTCTACCCTCAGATCGTACACTAAAGCTTGGACTGATTTTTTGGCATTTACGTGTCAGTCGGCCAGTGGGGAAAGGGGGGTCCCGCCCTCCTCTTCGCAGGTGTTAAGATATTTGGCGCACCTATTTCAGTTGGGACGTGCAGCTAAGACAATCAGGATTCAAGCAGCTGCTATAGCATTTTTCTGTAAATAATTTTTTGATAAAGATCCGTGCGCGAAGTTTATCGTATGCAAGGCCCTTGAAGGTTGGGGTAGACTTTGTCCTTCCTGGCCAGCAACCCGGCGCCCCATCTCATTTGACTTGTTGAGTAGGATGCACAAAAAGTTGTGGGATGTGTGCTGGTCGGGGTATGAGGCTCGCCTTTTTTCGGCAGCCTTTTCTATTGCCTTCTTCGGAGCGTTGAGAGTGGGTGAGCTCGTGTTGGAGGCTCACAGGGACGATCGTTCTAGGGGCCTATTGCTCCAGGATGTACAGTTATCCCCCGCAGAGCTGAGAATCACAATTAGGAACTCAAAAATGGATCAGAGGGGTAAGGGAGCCTTCATTCGTCTCCCTGCTACGGGGGAAGCAGGCCCTTGCCCTGTAAAAGATGTCAGGAAGTACCTGGCGGTTCGCCCCCCAGGGGATGGTCCTCTGTTGAGGCATGAGAATGGGTTGCCCCTGTCAAGACACCAGTTTGCAAAAGTGATGTGTAAGGCAATCCTGGCTTGTGGCGACACGGCCTATGGTTTTGCCCCCCATTCCTTTAGTATTGGGGCTGCCACGATGGCAGCTCACTGGGGCTTGTCAGCCGCCAGGATAAAGGATTTGGGACGCTGGAAATCAAATGCGTTCAGAGGTTATGTTCGCTAACAATTTTTGGTATCTTTCATTCTTTTTGCTTGTTTATCTCAGGTTTAGCAGCTGTCCGCATCTGGATGGTGGGGCACAGCATCATCCATTGGGCTGGCATCGGAGCACGGCAGTCCGGATTGGGACCAGGTCTCGGCCTTCCTCCACATGTGCAGTTGTCTTGACTGTCCAGACGGGGAATGCGCTGGTCAGAGTTCCTGCCGCTGATTCAGAGGCAGATGCTGTTGGAAGGGCTGCCCACGGCTATCGTGGTGCAGCTGGGTGAGAACGACCTGGTTTCCATGGACTGTTTTTCACTACGTGCTGCAATTTTGGGTGACCTGGAGAAGCTGTGGGCAGTGGTGCCGACAGCAAAAAATATTTTGGTCAAAACTTTTGCAACGACACGTTTGGATGGGTAGTCATTGCCCAGCTGCCACTGAAATGGCCAGGAAACGCATCAATTCTGCTGTGTCTAAAAAGATTTTTGAGCTGGGTGGAGATGGGATTTCCCATCCTGAGATTCTTTTTCAGGCTGAATCCTTTTTCAGAGCTGATGGCGTGCACCTTTCTGCCTTAGGGAATGAGGCTTGGCTGGGTGCGGTGGTGGCTAAGCTGAAGGGTTGGTTGGGTGTGTGAGTGGTTTGGCGGTGAGCTGAGGGCTCCATGGCGGTTAGGCATTGGTTAAAATTGGTTGTTGGAGGGGTAAGTGCCTACCCCTCCAATGGTGGTGCGGAAAGGGAATTCCGTTAAAGGAATCCAGGGGCTTGCCATTCTTTTCATCCTTGTCCCTGGCATCGGACTTGGGCCGTGCAAGCCCCACAGGAACATGAGGGTGAGAAGTGAGGGAGTGATGCCCAGCTTCATTTTCTCACCCAATACTTGTTTCCCACGCTGGCTTCCATTGGAATCCGGAAGGCCAGCTCTGTCCCTGGGGGCAAGGACAGATAGTCATAACCAATGCCTAAGCAACCACTCACAGTTTTTTTGTATTTTGTATAAAGTTGTGGCCAAAATTATGCCAAAAACCTTAAACAAAAATTGATGTGTGATGTGTGAATTTTTGGGGGGTGGCATTGTGGGACTCAACATGCAACAGTTTTTTAAAACATGCACATTCGAATTGCAGTCATAGAGATGGCTTTCAAATGGGCCATTCATCACTTCATGAGCTCTGCCTTTAAGGTTCCACAGGACCACCTTTCTGGAAATTCTTCAACTTTGAATGTGAATACACAGGGAAGGTAATTGATTTCGGAATATCTGCTGGTGGCTGATGTGTGCATGTGTATTGTGTGTTATGAGATTTAATTCTTTTTAAGTATCTCCATATCAATAAACAATATAGAAGAAAGACTTGTGTAAAATAAACCAATTGCATCAGAATGGAAAATACCAAATGATAATTTGAGTGGAAGTTGGAGCAGATTGAGTCACACTTGCAGCACCCCTTGTGGCAAGTCATATAAAATGTTTTCCTGCAGCTGTAATTATGCTCCAAGAACACCATCTGAGAGATAGGCACAAAAGGTTAGTGAAGCACTTTTTAGGCAACACTTTTTAACCCAGGGCCCTTTGAAAACTTGGGGTGTGGCTATCTTTATAGCAGCAACAAACACCTTTCAACAGCCAATTATGTAATTCACAAGGTGCTACCATATTCACCAATTAGAAACACCCCAAAGAAACATTAGGAATACTTTAGCTTGCATCCAACATTGCTGTTCCACTCATGCAACAGACCTCTACTTGCAAAGTGGAATTCCATGTCCTCTTCTTCCCCCTACAGCCTCCTGTGCACCCTCAAAATCTGCTCCAGTGTGTTGCAGGACCATCTGGAACTGATTTGGTGGGAATAGGTAAGTCAAGACAAGACCTTTCGCATGAGTGGAACTCAATTTGTGCCGTTTTGGCTACAACTCTTCGTGTTTCTACTTTATTACAGTTTTGTAAATAGATAGATGATGATGATGATAGATAGATAGATGATAGATTAGATAGATAGATAGATAGATGATTGATAGATACCAGAGATTCTTATACATCCCTTTACTTGGAACATGATCCGCTTCACTGTGCTGCAGAGAGGGTGGCAAGCAACAAAGGCAGTGGTCAGGGGAATTTCTATAAAGAAGTCCCCAAGCTTTGAAAACCCCTTAAGAGTCAGACTGAAAAACTTGTCTCTGAGATTAATTCTCTGGGATTCTTAAACAGTTTAGGTCTCAAAAAGTTTTTTGAAACAACTCAAGACTCAAAGAAAAGCATTAACTGCATTGTGGAAGGAAATATCAAAGGCATCATGAATACAGTAAAATAATATGTCATGATTATTACTCAATAGAAATAGTTGAGGCAAAAAACTTTATTCACTCCATCTGACTGAAGTAACGATCGGGAACCTCAAGATATCTGTGCCCACCTTGAATGGTTTTTACTTGTGTTTTTTACCTCCCAGAATTCAGAAGAAACAGAAATATCAACATATCTGGAATCACACACCATGCTATTTGGCCACAGATGATCAGGCAATATATTCAAATCAAATAGCTACTAGTGATATAATTTAAATGATTATGTAAAACCTAAAACTGTAGTTAAAGGCAGATTCTCCCCAAGCATTTGTTCGTTCTCTCTCTCTCTCTCTCTCTCTCTCTCTCTCTCTCTCCTGGAAGGCCCTCCAGCCATCCAGAGCAGATTATGTGGTTGGTAGTGGGTGGGTGGATCCATCCGTGCAACAGTTTGCATCCTGTATCTCTAAAACTTCTGGGTAGACCGGGAGAGCAAGGAAGCTTACAGAGATGATTTTGAAAATGTTGTTCAATAACTTCACAGAGTTAGTAGTCATGTTAATGAAATTTGAATATTCATACTTAGAATGCATATCCCTTGAAAGCCTAGACCAGGGGTTGTCCACCTGGTCCCTACCGCCCACTAATGGGCATTTCAGGATTCTAGGTGGGCAGTAGGGGGTTCTATGGCACAAGCTGAACCCTCCTTCCATCAAGCACTGGTGGGCAGTAAGGAAATTTTACCATCAAGAAAGATACATCAGTGGGCGGTAGGTATAAAAAGGTTGACTACCCCTGGCCTAGACCTTGCAGATAAGTGGGAGACAGAGAGAGGGAGGGAGAGTGTTATGGCTTGGTCTCTCCCACAAACATGAGACCACTCTGGCTGTTAATTATTTCAGATTTATTGCTAAAACAACAAACAAGGACGGAGCTCCTCTACTCATCATCCTCCACAGAAGATGGAGCTGCCCGGACTGAGCTCCTCCCCCTTCCCCAGCACGGAAGCCCCCACCTTTTTTTCCAGTATCTTTCGCACGTCTCGGCCACTTTTGAGATCCTACGAGATTTGGGAGAGAATGCTTCCTGCATTCCAATGTCTGACTCACTATTGAAGCTCTCACACAGCCACCTGTCACTCTGGCCCTGTCTTTCATCTCCCCTTTGTTCAGAGCTCAGGTTACAGCTGCTCTCCCTCTCCTAACTGCCTTCTGCTATTAACTGTTCTCTCTCTATGCCTGCTTCTTCTTCTCCTGTCAGCATCTGAGCTTCGCTGATAGAGAGAGGGAGAGAACTGATTCCTTCATTTCCCAATTGTAAAGTCACCAGAAGCATCTGGCTTACCCACAGAGGAAACATAATACTAGACTAGATGAACCATTACTTTAAACCAGAACAACTCTTCATAAAAGTAGGAAAATGAAAAAGATGGGTGGCAGCACATTACAAATGATGCTTGTCAACTTGTGCACAAAGGTGTATGATGCAACAACCAAGTCAGAACCAGGTCAGGCTCTACTTCTGTTCTTAATCTAAACAGAAATCTAAACAGAAATCTATGTCACCATAGTAGGGATGGGCCTGCTCATTCTCCTGTCCATGTGCTATGCATTGATGGGGCATGATGCCAAGACTCCTGCTGCCTTTTCTTAATCTTTAAACTGGACTTGGACCATACAGCTACTCAAACAGAGTGTCCTCTGGAAAGTAAGGCATATGGGCACTCTAGTGCCTAGCTGTGTCAAATTGGAAGCAAATGGTGCAAATGTGGTCCTGTTGAGGGATGGGTGAAGAGACTGCCATGCCAAGCATAACATGAGAATGAGCCACCACATATGAAAGTTCTGCCTGGGGAGGTGGGGAACCATGCCACCTCAGTGTTTTCCAAATGACTCTTCATAGGCTTCATATGCCTCAGCAGTCACTCAGCGGGACAAGCTGGGGCAGGATGCTCTACGGGGCCCTCTGAGGAGTCTGCCTGCCTCCTCCCACTCAGGTACCACTGTACTGTGATGAGAAGTCACTTGAGTTATGTCTCAACACCTCCATTAAAAATGCATGGATATAAATAATGATAAGCAGTTCAAAAATATTATTTTCAAAGGAATTATTTTGTGTGAACAAACAGGGATTTCTTTCCAAGGTGATTTTTTTTGTAGTTTTTGTAGTTGTTGTTGTCGTCGTCATCATAGACATAGACTGATGGTGCTGATTTCTTGAAGGACTATTTCAGGATCACAAACTCACTGATAATTCTGCATAAACTCAACTATCTCTTTATACATGCGCTGTGGGGCATCAAAGCCCAAGATGAAATCCAGGTGTGCCCAGTCAGGAATAAACTTATGGTAAACTAGGTTTGAGACCTGAGGCAGCAGCAGGGCAAAATCCTTTGTAGTTGCAGCCCAGTCGTTTCCACCATTCCAGAAAGCTGTTGGAATAGTCATTTGTTTAATATCATAGAAAGGTGCTGTTTCCTAAAAGAGAGGGGGAAATAACAAATACTTAAAAAATACTTTATAAGTTAGGACTCTGCAAAAAATTTCCTGATCAAAACAAATGTGCACGTGCTCACGCTCGCGCACACACAAACACATATATATTGTCTCCCTGCTTATTTAACTTATATGCAGAATTCATCATGCGAAAGGCTGGACTGGATGAATCCCAAGCTGGAATTAAGATTGCCAGAAGAAATATCAACAGCCTCAGATATGCTGATGACACAACCTTGATGGCAGAAAGTGAGGAGGAATTAAAGAACCTTTTAATGAGGGTGAAAGAGAAGAGCGCAAAATATGGTCTGAAGCTCAACATCAAAAAAACTAAGACCATGGCCACTGGGCCCATCACCTCCCGGCAAATAGAAGGGGAAGAAATGGAGGCAGTGAGAGATTTTACTTTCTTGGGTTCCATGATCACTGCAGATGGTGACAGCAGTCATGCTATTAAAAGACGCTTGCTTCTTGGGAGAAAAGCAATGACAAACCTAGACAGCATTTTAAAAAGCAGAGCCATCACCTTGCCAACAAAGGTCCGTATAATTAAAGCTATGGTTTTCCCAGTAGTGATGTATGGAAGTGAGAGCTGGACCATAAAGAAGGCTGATCGCCGAAGAATTGATGCTTTTGAATTATGGTGCTGGAGGAGATTCTGGAGAGTTCCATGGACTGCAAGAAAATCAAACCTATCCATTCTGAAGGAAATCAGCCCTGAGTGCTCACTGGAAGGAAGATCCTGAAGCTGAGGCTCCAATACTTTGGCCACCTCATGAGAGGACAAGACTCCATGGAAAAGACCCTGATGTTTGGAAAGATTGAGGGCACAAGAAGAAAGGGACGACAGAGGACGAGGTGGTTGGACAGTGCGGGAGACAGTAGAAGACAGGAGTGCCTGACGTGCTCTGGTCCATGGGGTCACGAAGAGTTGGACACGACTAAATGACTAAACAACAATAACAAATATGTTAAGGGGACTATAAATTGAGCACTTAAAGTGCATAACAACTGGACATTGTGCAGATTTAAGATGCATTGTGGAGAATAAGCACATCATCCATGAAAAGGAACTTGTTCACATTTCCTGGTAAATATACACGGTTTCCAACAGGCTTTGAACAATGTGCATATATTGACTATCCTTTGTACATTCTCTGGCCATTTTGCATAATCTCAATCAGGTTTTGTGGAATGTGCTGCATTTTGTGCATTCTGAGGAAATGAGCTGTTTTGTATGTGACACTAAGTCAAACTATGAGAGCCAACACAACCTGACAATAAGAATTATTCTATATTTCAAAGGGCCAGCTTTCCCAAGCCTATGCCCTCAGATGTTTTGGACTATAATTCCCATCTTCCCATCATCGCAGCCAATTGGCTTTATTTCCTGGGTTGATGGGAGCTGTCCTTCAAAACATCTGGAAGGAACTAGGTCGAAGAAGGTTGTTGCATACAAAATTTGTCTATTTATTTCCTTTATCATATCGTTCTCTGATAACCAAGTGTTCATGGAGCTGCATTTTATACTAACATTCCATAGGAGGAAGTCATATTGATGATAGAGGATCCTTTAAGCAAAATGGAAGTAATACACATATAGGCAGATAGAGAGAGACAGAGGGAAGGAGGGACAACCCATTTCATTTTTGCATTAGTGATATGAGCACCAAATCAACATTATTTCAGTTTTAAAAGAGATCCTTCTTGCACATTTCAGATATCATCATGCAAAGCAGACATCTGAGTTAGCAAATCTACATATGGATAAATTTGAAGGAACATACATACTGGACATAAGCAGTCTGTATAATGGTGACATATTGCTATATAAAAATATAATAATAATATTTATTATTATTATTATTATTATTATTATTATTATTTGATTTATACCCTGCCCATCTGGCTTGGTTTCGCCAGCCACTCTGGGTAGCTCCCAAGGGAATAGCAAAAGCATGATAAAACATCAAACTTCTAAAAGTCAAATAGTTGTGTATTTCCTTGACATATGAAGGGAGGGTTTTCTGCAGGGCGGGCACCACTACCGAGAAGGCCCTCTGCTTGGTTCCCTGTAACCTCACTTCTCGCAGTGAAGTAACCAGCAGAAGACCCTCGGAGGAAAGTGTAGACAATATCTTCATTTTATGACAAGGGACTGAAGATAGACACCTGGCATCTTGCAGATTTGTCAACAAACCTACATTCCCATATTAAATCTGAGAGATACATATACATTTGATACAGAAATAAGCTATTTTCAAGGGAATCTGGAGACCACTCCCTATAGTAAATATGTACAGTGGTACCTCAGGTTACATACACTTCAGGTTACATACGCTTCAGGTTATAGACTCCGCTAACCCAGAAATAGTGCTTCAGGTTAAGAAGTTTGTTTCAGGATGAGAACAGAAATTGTGCTCCGGCGGCGCAGCGGCAGCAGGAGGCCCCCATTAGCTAAAGTGGTGCTTCAGGTTAAGAACAGTTTCAGGTTAAGAACACAATTCAGGTTAAAAACACAATTGTATTTACACAATGCAGCAATGCAGCTTCATTTTCTGGTGAATGGAGTCCACCGTGCGAGGCCAGCCCTTGTCCCCAGAGCCAAGTGGGGCCACGCTGTGCCTCCTGCTGCCTGTCTGCACAGTGGGGAGCATGGCCGGCCAACATGGCTGTTAACAGACTGAGGTTGAATCCTGACAAGACAGAAGTACTCTTTTTGGGGGAGAGGAGCCGGGCGGGTGTGGAGGACTCCCTGGTCCTGAATGGGGTAACTGTGCCCCTGAAGGACCAGGTGCGCAGCCTGGGAGTCATTCTGAACTCACAGCTGTCCATGGATGCGCAGGTCAATTCTGTGTCCCGGGCAGCTGTTTATCAGCTCCATCTGGTACACAGGCCGAGACCCTACCTGCCCGCAGACTTTCTCGCCAGAGTGGTGCATGCTCTAGTTATCTCTCGCTTGGACTACTGCAATGTGCTCTGTGTGGGGCTACCTTTGAAGGTGACCCAGAAACTACAACTAATCCAGAATGCGGCAACTAGACTGGTGACTTGGAGCGGCCGCCGAGACCATATAATACTGGTCTTGAAAGACCTACATTGGCTCTCAGTACGTTTCCGAGCACAATTCAAAGTGTTGGTGCTGACCTTTAAAGCCCTAAACAGCCTCGGTCCAATATATCTAAAGGAGCATCTCCACCTCCATCATTCTGCCCGGACACTGAGGTCCAGCGCCGAGGGCCTTCTGGTGGTTCCCTCACTGCGAGAAGCCATGTTACAGGGAACCAGGCAGAGGGCCTTCTCAGTAGTGGCACCCACCCTGTGGAACGCCCTCCTGCCAGATGTCAAAGAGAAAAATAACTACCAAACATTTAGAAGACATCTGAAGGCAGCCCTGTTTAGGGAAGCTTTTAATGTTTAGTAGGTTATTGTATTTTAGTGTTTTGTTGGAAGCCGCCCAGAGTGGCTGGGGAAACCCAGCCAGATGGGCGGGTATAAATAATAAGTTGTTGTTGTTGTTGTTGTTGTTGTTGTTACCTGTTCACCATCTGACTGAGGAGCAAGCATGTGCTGTCTGGGCGAGGTGGCCAAGGACACAGCAGTGAGGCTGGGCCAGATTCCAGGGCCCAGAAACCCCCAGAAAGAGGGCAGGAATCTCTGCATAGGGGTGCCTGATTTGTGCCACTTCAAAATTGTGTGCCCAGAGCCATGGTCCCACTGCCCCCTCATGCTGCGCCCCTGACACAGTGTGGGGAATTTCTATGAAATGGAGCTAGAAACTATTGTAATCAGATCAACAGTGCAATATTGCGGGTAAAATAATAGCTTCTTTCACTTAAGTTCACTCATGATCCCCGCGGTGTAGACATTTTAATTGGTAAGTTTCTCATTATATTTACTTACTTACTTTCATACGTTCCTATTTTTGAGATATGTTTCTAATGTTATATGCATTGCTTTAACAGATGATTGCATTTTTTGCAAACCTGTACCGACTGAAGATATTGAATTTTGACCACGACACAAGCAAAGGTAATATTTGGATCTAGTTTGGTGAGATTTTTAGTTAAAGTGATTGGTTTATTTGGATATTAGTTACAATTTTTAACAAAACTGAGAAACTGAACTCATGCATGCAGAATACTGCATAGCAAAATAGTCCACTGAAGAAGCATAAAATGCCAAAATGTGTTTGGTATTTCAGTTATCCAGAAAGTTTGATTAAAAAAAATTAAAAATATCTTATATAGCAATATCAGCTATCTAATTAATATAATTAAAGAAGTATAAGACCATCTCATGCATTGTACAGAAATTTTATTTTTATTAGGGTTTATTGTATAATTGTGGATATATTATTTTGATAAATAGTTTATAGATTTACATATTAGAATTTGTTAACGTATTCATGGGCATCACAGCCATTAGAAGACATCAGAAGGCTGCTGTGTATTGGGAACTTTTTAATGACTGATGTTTTGTTATGTTTTTATATGTGATGTAAGCCAGCCAGAGTGGCTGGGGAAACTGCCAGATGGGTGGGGTATAAATCATCATCATTATCATTATCATTACATTTTGTGTATATAAAGCCTGGTTATAAACGTCAAAGATTATGACCTTTAACTATTTTGTTTCATATTGCAGCTATATTTTATCCACCATGTATTATATGAACAGCAGCCTTTGCCATCAGTAGCTTTTGCCATACCTTACCAATGTCTACCATCATATAAACAGAGAAGGGAGGGAGGGGAGGAGAAAGAGGGAGAAAGAGATGGCAATTAGTGAAAAATTCTTACCTGGTTGTGGTGAGCCATGTTCTCTTCCTTGCTACCCCAGTCAAAACCTTTGAACTCCTTACTCCACCTATTCTGAAAAAAGAAGTGTACCATATTTTGAAAAAACTAAATGGGGAAATTATTATTATTGCTGTTAATTATTAATCAATAAATACCTGAGGATCATAGTGCAGTTTACTATATAAAAGCACAAAAGCACATAACATAATAACAAAACAATACGCACAGACACAACAGGCACGGCAGGTTGTGAGGAACGTAGAAGAGAAGAAAAAGTTCTTACCATCTGCTTTTTATTCAATATTTACAGAGAGAGGCTTGGAACACAGCCTCTTTGGGATAATGGCGTTGTCCCGAGTGACTCTCCACCCCCTCCCCTTTTTTCATTTGTCATTGTCATCATCTCCCTACGGGTGCCACTGAGGGCCCTCTGTTTCTGAGCTCTTTGCTCTACTACCTTCAAGGATCGCTGGGTTCTGGGAGAGAGGGGAGTCTGGAATGCTTTCTAAACACATTGTGTCCGTCAGCTGTCCTCCCTCTGGTGCTTCCTCTTCCCCCTCCACGTCTCCCATCATTTCCCAGCTTTCCCCCTCATCTGCCTCTGAGCTGTGACCTCCCTCAAACCCCTGTTGTAATTCTGAACTGTCTTCTTCTTCTCTGGAAGGGTCAGGCTGGGGAGGAGGTCACTGGGGAGGAGGCCATAGGTTGTGTAATTAGCCAAAGGCCAGGGAGAAGAGGCATGTTTTTGCTCAGTGCCTAAAGATATATAATGAAGGGGCTAGGTGAGCCTCCCTGGGGAAAGCATTCCCAAATGGGAAGCTAGTGGAAAAATGGCCAGTTCCTATGTGGCCATCCTCCAAATCTTTCATGGAGGATTAAACTTATGGGGACTTAAGTAAGTCAAAATATATACCAGGGACCAGGAACTTCCATGCCACAAGGCAATCTTATTTTGCCAGGGGATCCAGTTTGGCCCAAACACTTCTCCCAAAGTCTCCCACCTACTATCCAGCTGAGATTGCAGCTGAAGCCAGCTGGGGGGGGGTGTGAAAATCCTATTCAGTTTGCTGGAATTCCATGCAAATCCCTTCCCAATTCAGAAAGGAGATTCTCTTAAAAGACTTGTTAAAACAGATCAGCAAGAGGTCTGCATCAGAATCTCCAGGGAAAATAAAGAGGAGGGATCAGTTTCATCTGCACCTTGCAGCACACTTTGAAATCCTCCATTGCTACATCAGGTAATTGACAGGTAGGCGGCCCCACCCTGCTTTTAAATGTGACCTATGAAACTAATCCTGATAAAAAACTCCTGTGGTATCAAAAAGATTCCCCAACCCTGTTTTGTTTTTGCAAGGCCATGAAGAAATTACCAGCAACTACATTCAACACCAGGTGCTCCCAGATCATGGCACTTCTTGGCCAGCCTTATGCTACTGACACACAGCCTTCACTAGCCTAGAACCCTCCAGATGTTCTGGACTACAATTCTCATCAACCCCAGCCAGTGTGGCCTGGCTGATGGGAGTTGTCATCTAAGCAAGTTGGCAGTACCAACACCTGAGGATTTAGGTGCTACCTGACTCCAGTGAAGCACGTTCTGCACAGATGTCCCAGCTGGGCAGTGTGATAAATATACATTGATTCGAGTCTGAAAGAAAGAGCAAAGTGATTAGCTGAATTTATTTCAAAGTGTAACAGCCATTTCAATTTCATTTGGTTTGTTTGAACAAAACAAGTGCACTCTAGTGCTCAACATCTGGATATCATGCAGGAATCAGTGTTTAAGTAGCAATTACATGCCAGTTTTGGAGATCAACTTGACACTTCAAACTAGCTGCCAATGCCAATATTGTGGTACCAAACAAGAGGGAAATTCGCTTACAGCAAAGCATTGCCCCACAACATAAATATATTTCTACTAATACTGCAATCCTATGCACATTTACTAAGAAGTAAATTGTACTGTGTTCAACCAGGTTACACCCAGGTAACTATGCACAGGATTACAGCCCCAGTTATAATATTTTTCTTTATATAGTACAACCAGGGCAATTACAGACATATCAAATAACATCCATTTGTGCAGTGGGCCAGGCCGTTGTGTACATTCCTCTTGTAGGACATGAATTCACTCCACCCTGCTTTGGTGCCATGTCCAGTTGTGTTACCAACCATAATTAAGGGCCACTCCTAGACTCTTATCAGGAACTATGAACTGAAACTCAGTATTGCTCTTAACTATGGTCCTATTGCATCATGGTGGCAAGGAAGACACAGCCTTCTTGTGACCCATAAGGCATTACCTGCATTCTGTTTTGGGGAAGTGGACCCCTGTATGGGGAATTGCACAAGGGCCCCCAAGCACCTTAACCAGGCCTTGGTGCACACCATGACTTCTCACCTCTTCACATGTTTCTTGGGCTGATGTGCACCATCTTTCAAGGCACACAAATATTAAGTTCCAGTTTACAAGTATCTGTACACAAAGCCATATTGGTTCATTTTGTTCTTATTTTTGCTCTTATTTCTATTGTGTATTTAATATTTGTTATATTGTATTGTCTCAATGTGGCAGCTGTGCCCTCTTAAGGTTTCTGCCTTAATGCTACCAGACAATAATTTTCCAACAACAACAACAATAATAATAGCTCTGCCCATTTGGACACCTCTGAAGATATTTCGCCCCATTCTGCAAGTCTTTTTTAAATTTGAGGTGACAATTTCAACCTTCACCAACTTGGACATCTCTGAAGATATCATTGCCCAAAATGTGGGACAGCTCCAACCAATCAGGTTGCCTCTCAATATATCATCACCAAACTTGGTACGAGGACTCCTGAGGTGGATATATTAGTCTTCAACTATGTTTGCATGCAGGGCACCATTTTGAATCAATATGGTAGACCAATTTAACTCAAATTAAACACTTAAATTTAAGTGGCAGTCCTGGGTTGGTTTTTGTGTGCGCACGCAGCCCAAAATATCACAAATTACACTATCCACTAGTGCTCAATGAAGTAGTCATCTGGGATCCACTTCTCCAGGGGTAATTAAGAAATGGATGTTATAAGCAGCAATCATTTCAAAGAAGCCTCCACATACTTTTCTTTAGATCACACTCTTTACCTCCTATTATGTAGTTAGAAATCTTACCAGATTTAGGTTTTTCACATTAAAGCCCATCCCTAGGAAGAAAACACTGGCACAAACATGATCAAGTAAGAAACGATTACACAGGTTAGTAGCAAACCATTTAGAAGTTTTGCTTTGAGCACTTAAGTGCGTGGTTCCAAATATTACCTGTCAAAACAAAAACATTAGTACACAGGTCATTTTGTTAGTCAAGACTGCTTCCCTAGAGATACTTCCAGCAATATCGGGTAGCAAGAAAATATCACAAACAGTATTATGAGAATCTTCTACTCAGATTGTTAGGCTAGAATGCCCATTCAACAATCCATGGCCATAATAATGATGACAGCAATAATTCAAATCCCACATGCATAGTCAAACAAAAGGACCTTCTGCTATATTCAAGACATGGACATTGTAATTTCAGCCATCGAAGAGACAGGATGACACAGTTAAAGTGCCTCTTGAGATGTATGCAATGTGCAACTGGCGCCCTTGCAACGTGGTTCAGGAACATCATTTCAGTAGGAGCCCAAATATGCAAAAGACTTGCTGTTGTGCAAACCTAGCCACAAATAGCCAATAGCCAAATAGTTGTGCTGTGCTTGAAATCACTTAATTTAGGGTTGCCATACGTCCGGACATATCCAAAATACCACATTCAGAAGTAGTGCACAGATGTTGGGCAAAAAAGCTCAGCAATTTGAAATATGGCAATCCTACTTAATTCCCTAGTAATTTCAGCAAATGACGCCTTCTCTATTGTCTACATGGTAACATAAGGGAGAATGATTTTACTGCCTTGTCTTCTGACTTCTCCAGGTTGAGAATACAAGGAGTGGCTGTTCCTACAATCTGAAAAGGGCACTTCAATCTGCTTTTGTCTAGGGTAGAAGCAGTGTAGCATAGAAGCCAAGGGTGAGCTGTGAATCATAAAGCCCCCAAGGTAATCAAGTATCCCCCTAGCCACAGTCAGTATGGGGCTTTAGACAATCCACAATCTCTCGTTCTCAATCCTCCCACCAACCAGACTCTAATCTGGGAACAAAACTGATCATGTTACAATGTTGTTGTATGAATTACTGAGCTAAAAGTGGGTGAGGGGGACATTTGGCCAACACAGAAGCCCCCAAAAGCCTCCAACACAATCAGCAAATGTTTCTGAGCCCAGAAAATGGGCTCATGTGCCTGTAACTGCCCACCACACTGTGATCATCCCAAGTTATTTCTCAGTAGATTGGTTTGGCTCTCTTGTCCTATAGTCATACATTGTTTAATACTTAAAATAAACCAATAATGTAATAAATACGCGCTCCTATAACTGTTCAGCATTATTGCTTTAAAGGCAGCTGAGTTACGCACAGGTGTAATCTGCCATCATACTATCAAGATCTTCATGTAAGTTTGTACCAAGTCCTTTTGCTTGGGCACTTGAGGATTGTTCTCACACCAGCACCTCTTTCTTTCCTGCCCGCAGCAGGTGTTTTGTGCTGGCACCCATGCTACTTACAGCAAGACAGAAAAATGGGCACCCCAGTTTTTACAGATCAGCTTAGACTGAGCAACACCCTGTTACCAAATTTCAGCATTCGCCAGCTTGAACTGTTTAGGTGTCTATGAGAATGACAAATGGCCTCAGGTCAAATGATGGATACATTCCCAAGTTCTTAGCTACAGCCAGAGATATTTGCACCCTCTATTTTAAACAAATATTTGGTCCAAAATGCATACTTTTACCAAGGATTCAGGAAGGTGAGTGATCACAGCTAATATTGGGCTGAAAGAATAAACCGTGTTGACCAATGGTGCCAATCCAAAGAACATTTTTATCTTCTGGGCGAGCTGTGGCATGGTTGAAAATGCAATGAATGCTAAGAAACAAGATGGGAAATAGAAATAGAAGATAAATGAATATAGCAAGAAATAGAAGATAAATGAATATAGCAAGCACTACTGCCTTGATCACAATACAAGAAAAAAATCTTAGCCTTTTCTCATAACACAAAAGCAATAAAGTACAGTCAATCCTCAGTTCCTGAATGGCTCTCTTTTGGAACATTTCGGCTCCCAAACACCGAAAACCCAGAAGTAAATGCTCCAGTTTTTGTACATTTTTCGGAAGCCAAATGTCAGACGCGGCTTCCGCTTGAGTGCAGGAAGCTCCTGCAACCAATTGGAAGTCACTCCCCAGTGTCAAATGTTTCAGAAGCTGAATGGATTACATTTGACAACCGAGGTTTGACTGTATACATTATTGTAAGACCTGTGAGGAATGGCTTATGTCACATGCTTCTAGTCAAACGAAATATTGGAAAGTACACACTCATGTCCCCTCCTCTTGGGAGCCTTAATAAAGTACCGTACTTCCAGGATTGTTAAGCTACAGTTTCCTGTTACATCCAGACTCAGAAACTTCTGTTTAAATTCCAACTACAAACCAGGTTTGATCCTGGCTTGAAATCCAGGATTTTATTCAAATTAAACAAGACTTTGCCAGCTGAGATGAACTGAAGCAACACAAAGCACATAAAACAAGGTTTGTGAGGGGAGTACAGTGGTACCTCGGGTTACAGACACTTCAAGTTACAGACTCCATTAACCCAGAAATAGTACCTCGGGTTAAGAACTTTGCTTCAGGATGAGAACAGAAATCACACAGCAGCAGTGGGAGGCCCCATTAGCTAAAGTGGTACCTCAGGTTAAGAACAGTTTCAGGTTAAGTACAGACCTCCAGAATGAATTAAATTCTTAACCCGAGGTACCACTGTATTATATTCCATACACTTCTTTCTCTAAGTCCATAGCAGCTTTGAAACATTTCTTTTATGGGAAATGTTACTAAGGGGGAAATGCAGGAAACCTACACAGGGATTGTTATTCAAGATGGTTCTCCATGTCCAGTGGCTCTATGTGTAACCACTGTACTATGACCAAAATCTCTCTTGAAATTAATATACAACACCAACTGTACAAATAAACATGTTGCTATTAGAATTGGCAACATGTGTTTCAGAAGCTTCCTAACCTACCCATTGTGGTGCCCTGGGAATGACCAACATAAAATATTTTCTCTTGTCCAGTTTTTCTCAGGATAAAATTTATTGAAGCTGGAAGGTCATATTTAGCCATTTCATCAAAACTGCAAAGAAAAGGAATAACAGACTGTGTTTTACAGACTTGCATACAGACTTCTCCAGCCAATGCAATACAATATCTGGCAAACCAGAGATCACCTCCTCCATGGACTACCAATTCTCTGAACATTTGTGAAACAATCTGATTTAAATTAAGCCATGTCTCATCTTCTTTAAATATTTCCACTGGCACTGTTCACTAGCAGTCAATGAAACACTATGAGCTATTCACTGAAAACTTTAAAAGTCCACCAAATAGTTCACAGTGGCCATAGGGTTCCTGCAATGTGACAGTTGCCAACATCCATCTGGGTCAGGAAGAGTGTGCCTTCGAGGATGAAGTCAAAATGTCAAAGCTTATAGCAAGAACAAACTTAGTTAGTCTCTAAGGTGCTACTAGACCAGTTTTTATTTTTTATTTATTTGTCAAAGAGTTACAGTGCCTGCTGTGCTTGTACAGGAGAGACATGTTTTGTCACAGCTGGGGCAGATGAAGGCATCTGGTTCTACTGATGCAGGTGTACCATGCCATTTCTCATCCCAGTGGTAATTTCTCCTCTGTTCTTTACTGTGAATATACCACCTAACTATCTGTCTCCAGGCACTGCTGTTGTCTGCAAGAGATTCCCACAAGGTGGAGTTGATGTTGCTAGCCTTCACATCATGTTTGGAAACGTCTTTGTAATACACAGTTGGTCGGCCAGTGGGCCTGCTGCCTGAAGTCAGCTCCCCATAGAGAACATCTTTGGGGGATCTTATCATCTTCCAGTCTTCATCAGAGCATCTAATTCCCCACATGAACAATATGCGCTGTTTGTTTGTTTGTTTAAAGAAACAACTACCAATTATATTTACTTGGAAATATATTTCTATACCTTTAGATTGTCAGGGTGCTGTTCAATGTTGAAACAGAAGAAGAGAGAAGAGTATGGCAGATTAAAAACCCCAAAAGGAAGACTAGGAACCAGAAACACATAATGAAGTTTAGAAAGATCACTCTACCTGAATCGCCAGAATTCTTCTTGCTCCACAGTATAATTAATGTGTTTCATGGACCAGGTGTTCCCTCTACTGTTTCCTAGCCAAACATCATAGCCAGCATCAGCCAGTATGAAGCCCAGGCTGTTGTTGTCCAGATCTGACACCCAGTTATGGCTACTGCCAAACAAGCCATGTTGCAGAAACACTGCGGGCTTCGGATCTGCAATAGAAGTCTTTTAAGTATAGTTATAAGAGGTAACTTCAGTGTTTCTTTCCAACAAGACAGTGATCCATCAGAACTTTGAATGGCAGTTGTTGTCATTCCATATTTCAAGTAGCAGCCAGTGAAGTGGTGCAGGTGGGGCAATGTTACTCTCATGGCTTCCCAGCAAACTGGGTTGCTGGTGCTTACGGAGAGCAAGAAGGGAAAGGGAGAAGTGCATGCTGGCGGAGCCAATCCAATTCCCTCACCTCTACATGCAACACCAGGTCAAGCTCCCCCAACCTTGCCTTGTCTGTTTTGCTCTCTTCAGACATGGGTTGTCAGGTTGTCCATGAATGTTAAATCACAGAGTGGTGAGATCCAGATCTCAAACAAGTCTGCCTTTAGAAACCTCCAACACCTTGCAATACTACACTGCAGTCATTAAATGACTAATGATACATTTTGGGGAAAGCTGTTAAAATATTTCTGACTATTATGATAGAAGTGTTGTTTCAGAATCCAAAGGGATATGCTGTTTTGTCATAAGGCCTGCTTCATGAAAAAGCTTTTTTCCAAAACAAAAAAACTTGGGGGCATTGCCACCACATCTGCATAAGTGAGCCAGTGACATTACAAATTCTTGAACTGATATATTTTTAGTCATCTTATTCAATATAATCTTATTATTCAAAAAGTCATCTTATTCTTACATTTTAAGCCATTTTACTCAATTATAATCTTATATTGGGAGCTTGGCACTGGAAGCAGGTAGCTAAGTCCTCCTGCCCTTCCTTCATTACACCACCTTTGCTTCTCAGGTATTAGGTAGCCCTAATATCTTTCAAAAAAGCAACACCCTTAGACTGTCCTTTGCATTTCTTTTATTATAATTACTTAAGAATTTCCTCAAATTTTAATACATACATATGTTAATTGCCTTTAACCACCCTCATTCACTCTACATAATACCCAAATTGTTAATTTCTGCTGCTCACAGTTCAGGTCCGTCTTGTAAATCTATCTGACTGTTATACCTCTTCAAGTACTCTACAAAGGGTTTACACTCCTTCCTTAGCAGTGTCCCCTCTTGATCCCAAATTTTTGGTTAATAATAATAATTTATTATTTCTACCCCACTCTTCTGGCTGGGTTTCCCCAGCCACTCTGGGTGGCTTTCAATAGAACATTAAAAACAGAATAAAACTTCAAACATTAAAAATTTCCCTAAACAGGGCTGCTTTCAGATGTCTTCTAAAAGTCGGATTGTTAGGAAAAGGAGGGGACATTTTATCATATGTGCTGGGATTGTCAGGTAATTTTAAAAAATTGAGAAATGATATACAACGAATTGAAGAAAATGTTCCATTTAACATTTGTTAAAAAACCTGAAGCATTTTTGTTAGGGATTGTAGGAAAAGATCTGCCAAAAAAGCTGAAAAACATCTTCATGTATGCGACAACGGCCGCAGGAGTTTTAATAGCACAAGGATGGAAGACTGAAGAAACCCCAACTGAAGAATCATGGCAAGAAAAATTGATGGACTATGCAGAACTGGCAAAACTGACATACAAGCTACTGGACAAGGATAACTGTGACTTTAAATGGGAATGGGAATGAATGGGACTTTAAATGGGAATGAAGGGGAACCCTTTACAAAGTATTTGAAAATGCAACAAAGCGAACTGGACTCCTTGGCTGACTTTGAAAAAACATTCACAAACTTTTTATTGATAATAATCAGCTAAATAGTTTGAGGATCTAGACAACTGTGTAACATGCAGAAAATAGCATTTTTAGAGAAATCAAAGACTGGAACTGAGGGAAGTCAGGGGGTCAGGAAAAATGGGGAAATAAGGATGATATGTTTTTGGATAATATGTTTTATTTGAATAAAAAAGTTAGTAAAAAAATAAAATAAAAGTCGGATTGTTGTTTATTTCCTTGACATCTGATGGGAGGGCATTCCACAGGGCGAGCACCAATACCGAGATGGCACTCTGCCTGGTTCCCTGTAACCTCACTTCTCACAGTGAGGAAACTGCCAGAAGACCCTTGGAGCTGGACCTCAGTGTCAGGGCTGAACGATGGGGGTGGAGACATTCCTTCAGGTATACTGGATCGAGGCTGTTTAGGGCTTTAAATTGTGCTCAGAAATGTACTGGGAGCCAATGTAGTTCTTTCAGCACCAGTGTTATATGGTCTCGGCAGCCACTCGCAGTTACCAGTCTAGCTGCCACATTCTGGATTAGTTGCAGTTTCTGGGTCACCTTCAAATGTAGCCCCACATAGAGCGTGCTGCAGTAGTCCAAGTGGGAGGTAACTAGAGCATGCACCACTCTGGTGAAACAGTCTGCGGGCAGGAAGGGTCTCAGCCAGCGTACCAGATGGAGCTGGTAGACGGCTGCCTTGAACACAGAATTGACCTGTGCCTCCATGGGCAGCTGTGAGTCCAAAATGACTCCCAGGCTGCACACCTGGTCCTTCAGAGGCACAGTAGCCCCATTCAGGACCACGGAGTCCCCCACACCCGCCCACACCCTGTCCCCCCAAAATAGTACTTCTGTCTTGTCAGAATTCAACCTCAATCTGTTAGCTGCCATCCATCCTCCAACCACCTCCAGGCACTCACACAGGACCTTCACCGCCTTCACTGGTTCTGATTTAAAAGAGAGGTAGACCTGACCTGAATCCTGATTGGAAGGGATCAAAATGGTCCGCATCCTCCAGGCGTGCCTGGAGTTGTTCTGCAACCATCCACTCAATCACCTTTCCCAAGAATAGAAGATTTGAGACTGGGCGATAGTTGGCCATATCGGGCGGGTCCAAAGGTGTTTTTTTAAGAAGCAGTTTAATGACCACCTCTTTCAGCAGGGCTGGGTAGTATTCACCATCCTGCAGTGCCCATCGCCCAGCCCTTCCTGGCTCGCTTTTATTAGCCAGGATAGGCAAAGATCAAGGAGACAGATAGTTGGTTTCACTCGTCCAAGCAGCCTGTCCACATCCTTGGAGGTAACAGATTGGAATTGATCCCATGCAACTTGACTAGACAGGACTCTAGCACTTTCCCACCCCAGCCCTGCTCCCATGGTGCAGTCTACCTCATTCCGAATCTGAGCAACTTTAACCGCAAATTATTATTTTTTGCAAAATCATTGCAGGAGGTCTTGGGGGCCTTATCAGGCCCCAATGGCACAGGTGGTTCCATTAAATTAGGAACCACCTGAAAGAGTCTCCTGCTGCTGTTTTCTGCAGATGCAATAGAGGCAGTGAAGAAGGTCCTCTTCAACGTCACTATTGCCACTTGGTAGGCTCAATGTTGAGCTCTGTGTCCGGTCCGATTCAGAATTAATTCTCGGCCACTGGTGCTCTAGCCATCTCAATGATTGTTTCATTGCCCTCAGCTCTGGGAAAAACCATGGGGCTGTCCAGGCTCCATGCAGTCGGAGTAGGCACTTTGGAGCCAGACAGCTGATAGCCCTACTTAACTCTGCATTCCAGCGGGCCACCAGGGAATCAGCTGAAAGGCCATCAACATAGGATAAAATATCTCCTACCACTCTCTGGAAACCATTTGGATCCATTAAGGGGGGGGGGCGGACCATCCGAATTGGTCCCACCTCCCTGCAGAGGGGAAGGGTTGCAGAGATGTCCAGTTGCACCAAGAAGTGATCTGACCATGGCACTTCTTTTGTTTCACTTTTACTTAGTGTCAGATCACCCACATCCATAGAGGTAAATACCAGGTCTAAGGCATGCCTAAGGTTTATTTTGCTACTCCTCTTTAGTTGGGATTTCTTGGTCTTTTCACCTTTGTGTATAGATTACTCAATCTGCTGTTGTCGCATACAAGAAGAGAGTAAGTACCTACTTGGGGATATCAGAGTTTGTTACTCGTAAGAGGAAGGCCTCTGGTTTGGGGGAGGGTGTCATCTTTAATATTTTTTTCAGTTCCCCATAAATCATTTTCCAGTATATTTGGCTTGTTTACATGCCTACCACATGTGGAAGAAGATGCCCTACATCTTTTGGCATTTCCAGCATGATTTGGTTCCCTCCCCCCCCCCCTTGCATTTCACTTCTCACTCAAGAAAAAGCTGCATACAACACACAAAGCCATTGGGCAATGGAATTGGCAGTGTCACCAACTTTTCACAGCCCTGGTGTTTTTCTCCTTTTTTTTAATTCAGGCTGTGACCCCTATAAATGGCCGAAGAACATATATCTTAAATAACTGCAAAAACACTCTTTTGCAACTAAAGAGATTTCCCCCCACAAAAAAGATTGCATGCAGTTCCCTATTACTTGGGTCAAGAAGGTATGGAGAGCACAGCTACGTCAGCACAGAAAATGGCTGCTGTCAACATGGACTATGAACTATTTATTCCAGCTTCCTCATCTCCTTGTCACCATATTTCCTTACTTCTTTAATAGTTCAGGAAAGGAGTAAGAAGCACTTGACCTCAACTACCTATATGGCCTATCCTTTGCAATATTATAGAAAAAATAGAAGAAGGACACACTCAACAATCATAATAATAGTGCACATTACCAAACAAACTGCCTATGTTCTTTTGCACCAAATCAAATTTTAGCAAAGCAAGAATTCATAATTTAATAATAATAATAATAATAAATCCCCAAAATTTCGAACATTTGTATATATGCGTACACACAATATATACCTCAAAGCACACACTCACCCTTGTTTGACTGATTTCTTTTGCCATGAGGGATTCTGTTAATACTCAGAATATAACCATCGTCTGTCACCACTTCATATTCCTCACTGGGATATCCTCTGAAAGAAATAATTTCGCTCTGCAGGGTGGAGATGGTGTGGTTGGACAGGTTAACAAGCAACTGTAAGATGTCTACAGACCACTGCTTTTTTCTAGAAAAATAGGTGCTGGTACTCACCATGAAGTTTTTATAGTAAGTCCCATACTTTTAAACAAACAAACAAACAAACAAACAAACAAGAAGAGGTGCCGGTACTGTGTATCCTTGAGTACCCCCTGGAAAAAAAGCATTACTAAACACTTATTTTCCACATGATACAATTGATAACTGGAGTGTGCAGATGGGTGATAAGCCAGATAAGGTAGTAAAACCATCTCACACAATCACTTATTTGTCAGTTCTAAAGAAATCCAAGAACTGATTACCTGCCTCCCTCTGCTGAAATTAGAAACGAAGGGAGCCTTTTGTTGCAGAATGTCTTCCCAGAATACCTTCCCAGCCAATTGCTGCTGTTGCTGCTGTTCTACATTTTTATGGCTGTTGTTCCCAAACTCCTCTGCTCTCCCCTTCCCTTGGACCACTTGAAAATTGCTGAGGGACTTGGTGGACCACTGAATGATTTTTGTTCTTGCTGCTGAACAATTATAATGCACTATGCAGGATGCTAGAGTTGCTACTGCAGAGCACCTAATTGATGTTCACAGAGTACTGGTGTTCCGTGAAACAAATGTTGGGAATTTTATTGAGATTTTAAAATAAAAAAAAATTCCAAGCTGCCCTCAGCAATGATGCATTGGGAGGGCAGGCTACTACTTCAAAATATTATAATAAATATTTTCTTGTCCCCTAAAACCCCAGCAGTCCATGGAAAATTAACTTCAAGGATGTGGCGTACAGCACCATTAAGCAACACTAATTGTCAAAGATGCCTTGAGGTAAGAAGATGAGAAAGGAAAAGGAAAATGGCTTACAATATTCATAGTTGCTTCTGGGTCTACACTTCTTCTTTTCCACAATATTCCTGAACTAATAAGCACTTGGACCAAGCCTGCCCCCATTATGAAGAGCCATATCATTGATTGGCGTGGAAGCAAATCCATCTTTCAGCCCAGATATACAAGACTGCTCCTCAGTCACCGAGAAGATGTACTTAGGTTCCGCGGAATGAAATGACAGACAACATGACTTTAAATAGGTTAACATTATTTGTCACGACCAAACACCACCTACTTGGAATAACAAGTCATATCTGATTGATATGATTGGTTTGGTCTTGCATAACTTCCAGGATAATCCTCTGGTGTAATTTTCACTGAGTTCCATTTGATGTTCTTCCAGGCAAGTAGGCAGTCTCAGTTTAACAAAAGGTTTGTCAAAGTGTAAACGCTAGTTTAGTGTTCTAATTAAGAGTAAAAACCATCAATCAGCAGGTAGATGGTTCAAATCCAGTGCTATTTTTCAAGAAAAATAGGTGCTGGAGCTTCCCATGAACATCTCCATTTGTTCTTTAATAATGGCAGCGACACCCACCTGAGAGGTGCTGGAGCTCAGTTCCTGTGAGTTCCTGCTTGGGGGGAAGCCCTGTTCAAATCTCATTTCTTTGGGTGGTTTCAGACACATTATTGTTCTTCTCACTTTAGTCATATGGTGTTCATACTGCCCAAACATACTGGCATGATGAAAAAAGACACTTTGAATATTCCTGTTTGGTTAACATCCACAATGGACTTTCTACATGACAAATACAAACATGCGAGGGCAGCCAAGTGGGAGGAGCTGGGATGGCAGACCAGAGTGGCAAAGTTCTCACTTTTCTTCACTGACCAGGGTTAAAAGCCAGCTGCACCTGACACTGGCAGTACAGTTGACCAAAGAGCAAACCCTCCCTCCCTCATGCTTCTGTTTTTAAACTTGTCTTAACCTTGCTTTGCTTCCTGTGCCTACTGCAGTTGACTTTGCTATGGTTCTCAAATAGTGTCCATATTCCACTGGGTGGAATCCTAGTCATCGAGGTTATGGGTGAATTAGAAAATGTAATGCTGGTGGGCAACAAAAGAGGTTTAAAGACTGTCTCAAGGCAAATTTTTTAAAATGTAGTATAAATACCAACAATTGGGAAAGACTTGCCTGCGAGCGCTCCAAGTGGAGAACAGCCTTTACCAAAGATGTCATGGGCTTTGAAGACACTTGAACTCAGGATGCAAGGGAGAAACGGGCTAAGAGGGAGGAACGCTTGGCAAATCCACACCATGATCAACTCCCATCCGGAAGCCAATGTCCCCACTGTGGAAGGATGTGTGGATCCAAAATTGGCCTCCACAGTCATTTACTGACTCATTGTTAAAACTGTTTTCATGGAAGACAATCTTACTCGGCTACGAGTGATCGCCAAAGAGTAAGAGAGGTGAATTAGTGCATCACCCTGACCTAAACCAGGTGAACTTGGGGGCAAACCGTAAGAGGGGTCCAGGTGGAAGTCGCTGTCCAGAAGTCAACTGGGGGGAGATGGGCCATAGAGCTTCCAATGGCAGCCTGGTGATGACTACCTCAGTAGATCTTAGGGAGGCCATAATCCTTGGCAGGGCCCTTGTAGTAAAGTTAGTACATTTCAAGAAGCTGTTCTTTGGTCAAGCAGAGAACAAGGCCTTGTGGGAAATCAGCAAGCCACAAGAATTATGGGAACTAGGTCATGTTGCTTTAACCCGCAGATCAGCAGGCTCCAAGGGTGTAAAATGTTTATTATGGGAGAGGAACTCTCTGGTTAATTTGAAGGTTTGACACCTGGGATTAAAGTTATGCACATTCACCCAGTGTTGTTATCTGTCCTTTAATTGCCTGAGAATATGCATCTGCATAACCTCCACGAAGCTCCACGGAAGGAAGGAAACACCTTTGATCTAGGTTCTGGAGCCTTAATTAGCCCAGCTGTCACAAGTTAAAATTATTAGCCCACAAGCAGGTCATTGGAGAATTTGAATGTAACCAAGGATTGTGATTGGACCTGGGGGTTCTGGTTCCACATGCAAATTGGGGATAAAAGATCTTGAGAATGGCTGGAAAAGCGTTCTCTGCAACTTGCAACATTGCCCGGCTGTTAGCAGCCCACCTGGCTACAGTCGTCGTCCTCTTTGTGATGGAGATTCCTGTTTGTCTTTGAACGCGGATCATCTGAAGGACTTTGAATTACCTTATCTCTATCTAGGTGTTAGAAGTGAGTATTAGTCAGTTATATTCTACAATGTTGTTGTTTTTTCTTAGCTTGTAATCCACAAAAGAAGGGCCTGCTTTTTAAGCATGTTATCCTTATGTTTTTAAAATAAATTTTAAGAAAGAAACTTTTCTTGTTCTGTGTGCCTATCCAGAGGGGAAAGCTAAGTCCAATGCCTAACTTCTTGGTTGCGCTCTACCTGAGAATTTCTGTCTGCAAGTATGTGGAAACAACTTGTAGAGTGGGGTAACCAGCAATAACGGGGCACGGCCCGTTAGGATATTTCCGTTCCACCTTAAAAGGGAGCAGGCTTTGTGAGTCAGAGTCTGCGTATTTCCTGTTTCCACAGGATGTTTCTGTTGTGTCTTTTGTTTTCTATTGCTTTCGTTTCTCTCTGTGTGTCTGGAGACACTGATGCAGGCAGTCATGTTTTCCTTTGTTCTGACCAACGCTGAATAAACTTGTAAATAATGCTCTCCTGCGTGCAACTTCTGCTGTGAATTATCTGCTGATAGAGTGTGCATGAGCTCTGGAATGTGGCAAGCTATTTCTAGAAACTCGTGTCGCTAATTGCTGATACTGTATCTACGGGAGATCGATGGATTGTCCGGCAGCCGGCTTGGGGGCCATGATGGACTTTGTCTCCCTGGCAGTATCCCAACAACAGGTTTCGGGCCCAGATTCACAGCACTTACAGGAGAGTAAGACTGCGCTGAGGTATGTGGCGGAAAAGCGAAAATAAGGCTTTTCTGTTTGCCGCGGCAAGAGCTTTTGATGTCCGGCTGGCCTAATTGGCCTGGAAGCCTAGCCAAGCAGGTTTCGTGATTAATGAGAGCCAAGATAAGGAGTCTCTGAAGTGAAAAAGACTCACGGCTCAAGTAAAAGGCTGAGATGGATCTTTTACAATCCTCAGAAGCTGCTCCGTCTCCACCAAAGCTAAATGGCCACAACTATCAGACCTGGGCAAGGTACTGTGAGGGCCAGATGAGAAAGCTTGGAGTGTGGAATACCGTTTCTGAGAACCCCCCAGCCCCTGTGACAGATGATTGGAGGGCACAGGACTCAAGAGCCATGGGGGTAATATTGCTCTCAGTAGCTCCTGAAGAGTTAATCACCCTGGCTGGCAAGGCCAGTGCCCGTGAGATGTGGGACGGGCTTAGAGCCTATCATCTCCGACAAGAGGCTGGGTCTGTGTTGCTTTATTTCAGAAAGCTGCACAGGAAGCGTTTGGAGCCAGGGAAAGACCTTAGAGCCCACGTTTTACACTTGCAGCATCTCAGACAGGAATTAACTCAGAGAGGTTTCAATATGCCTGAGTCACTGTTTGCAATTCTCATTCTGGACTCCCTGGATGAAAGCTACCATGCCGTGGCAAGTCAGCTGGCGACCCTCCCTGCGCAAGACCTCACTGCTACAAAGGTCTTGGCGACTTTGCAAAACAAGTACGATAGAAGGAATGCAGCTGAATCGGCTTGTGCGCTCCAGGGGGAGCAATGTGGGACAGCATTCCAGCCTCCAGGGGGAGCTGGAGCTGTGGCAGCTGTGAAGTGCTGGAACTGTGGGACCCAAGGTCACACTAAGAAGTTTTGTCCAAAGACTGGAAATAAACAAAGGAAGAAGCCAGCAGATGGCAAGAAGCAGAGGGGGGGTGGAAAGCCCAAGCCAGGGAAAAACAAGGCTTTGTTTGCTGGCACAGCTTCACCAAAGGCTAAAGGCAAGTCTGATGGCCAGGAGCAGGGGGGCAAGCTGCAAAAGCCCACGCCGGTGGAAAACAAGGTTTTGCTTGCTGCAAAGGCTGCTCCAAAGGCTAAGGCCAGGTTTATTATTGATTCGGGGTGTACCCGCCATGTCTCAAAGGACCGCCATCTCTTTATCTCCTTCAAGCCTCAAGAAGGTGAGCTCCACCTGGCTGACGGAAAGACGTTGCGAATTGCAGGAGAAGGGACTGTGAGACTGGCAAGTCTGCACACGACCATCAAAGATGTACTGTATGTTCCAGGCGCTGCAGACAATTTGCTCAGTGTCCCACAGTTGACTGGGCGTGGCTTTGAGATTTCCTTCAAGAGGAGTGTCTGTGTCATCAGAAAAGGCAAAGAGGACATTTTGCATGCAAAGTTTATGGATGGTTTGTTCTGTATAACTTATGATGACAATGGTGCTGTTGTGTCTAATGCTGATTCTTGTTGTGTTGCACAAACTAACAAAGTTCTTCATGCAGGATGCATTCATGATGCACACAGAAGGTTTTGTCACCTCTCTTGGAAGGCACTGACCAAGATACCAGAGATGGTTGAGGGTTTGAACATCAAACCCTGTAAGTTTCACATGAAATGTGTATCTTGTGCAGAGAACAAGGTGAAGGTTGCTCCAAAAGGCAAGGAGTCTAGCAGGCAGGCTTCCAAACCCTACCAGCTAGTGCACGCAGACCTGGTTGGTCCACTTGCACCCTCTTTGGGAGGAGCAAGGTACTTCATGGTTCTAATTGATTCTTTTTCCAGGTACATTCATGTGTTTATGCTCGAGCAGAAATCGCAAGCGTTTCCTAGGTTCAAGGCATTCTGTGCTTGGTTGGAAAATGTCCATGGTAAACGCATTGGTTGGTTCTTTACTGATCGGGGCGGGGAGTTCACTTCTCAGCAGTTTGAAGCTTTCCTGACTGAGAAGGGAATCCAGCATGACTTGTCAACGCCTAGATCGCCATGGATGAATGGACTTGCGGAGCGAGCAAATCAAATGTTGCTGCAAGGAATGAAAACACTGTTGCATGATGCCAATCTCCCTGATAAGTATTAGGGGGAGGCTCTGTCCAATTTTGTTTACACTTATAATCGCAGATTGTCATCACCTATTGGTTGTACCCCCTATGAGAAGATGTTTGGAAAGAAACCCAACATCAAGCACATGAGAATCTTTGGTTCTGACATGTGGGTACACACCCCACAGAGCAACAAGCTTGGGAAGCGTGGGGCACATGGTTTGTTCATGGGGTACGAAAAAGGAGCATACAGGGTATGGATGACTGACTCTAAATCCATTAAGTTCACAAAGAGTGTTGAGTACAATCCTAAGTGGGGGGGAAATGTGGGAATTTTCCAGATTTACCCAGAGGAGGATGAAGGTGATGTGAAGAAAGCAGATAATGTTGAGGAAGCTGAGGATGATGATGATGATGATGATGATGATGATGATGATCAGAGTTCGGATTCCAGCTCAGTGGGCGGCGCTGCTGCTGGTGTCGGCGACAGTGATGACACAGCAGACTACAAGAGCGCAAAGGCCTCAGTCAGACCATCTGATGCGTCTGACAATGAACTGGAAGAACCTATGTTCACCATTGGTCACTTTTCTCCTAAGAAAGAGATGAGTCCAGAAGACTTGCGTCTAGTACGCAGATCTGAGAGGGCCACAAAGGGCAGACCTCCAAAGAGATTTGCTGATGAGTTTGCTAAGACAGCAACTGCTGTTCTTAGTAGCTCAGAGAAGGTGTGGGAACCTTCAAGCTTCAAAGAGGTTCAGGAGTTAACCTCTAAAGATGCTGAGCCTTGGCTTAATGCCATGAAGGCTGAAGTTGATTCCTTGAATAGGAACCAAACTTGGGAGCTGGTACCGGTAGTCCCAGGAATGAGACTGGTTGGCAGCAAATGGGTCTTCAAGGCCAAGACAGACCAGAATGGCAAGGTTGTCAGACACAAAGCCAGATTGGTTGCCAGAGGATTTTCACAGGTACCAGGACAGGATTACCACGAGACCTACTCACCCACCATCAAATATGAGAGCATTTGGCTGATGCTCAAGATAGCTGCAGAGGAGAAACTGCATGTTTCCCATCATGACATTAATACAGCTTTTTTGTACGGGGTTTTGGGGGAGGAGCTGTTTATGCTTCCACCTGATGGAATGCAGATACAGAAGGGAATGGTCTGTAAACTGCGGAAATCCTTGTATGGTCTCAAGCAGAGTGCCAGGTGTTGGAACACAAAACTCATTGAGACATTGCTTTCTCTAGGTTTTCACCAGGGCAAGGCTGATCCATGTGTGTTTGTCAAGGAGGAGGGGCAAAACAAGCTGTATTGTTTGTTTTGTTGATGATCTTCTGATGTTTTGGAAGAATCAGGCTTTTTACCAAAGCACCCTAGCTCAGCTGAAGGAGCACTTTGACATGAAGGATCTTGGTGAGGTATCCAACTATCTTTCTCTGCAGGTGGAGAGGGACCAAGCAGGTAATTTTCTGGTACACCAAACACAGAAAATTGCTGATGTATTAACCAGGTTGAATTTGGTTGATGCAAACCCAGCAGACACACCAATGGTGACAGGTTACCAGGTAGACAGTGCTGCTGAAGCGTTTTCTGACACTACGCTGTACAGATGCATTTTAGGCAAGTTGAATTTCATTGCTAGATGCTCAAGACCTGACATAGCTGTAAGCACTAACCTGCTTAGCAGACATGCTAACAATCCTACTGTTCAGGATTGGAAAGCGCATAGCCCGCTATTTGAAAGGGACTTTGCACTACAGGCTGAAGTTCACCAGTCAGAAGACTGGAGGTCTTGAAATCTTTGCAGATGCAAGTTTTGGAAGTGACACCACGGATGGTACAAGCACTTCTGGAGTATGCTACATGTACAACCACTGTCTGTTTGACTGGCTGTGCAAAAAGCAGGCGACAGTAAGCCTAAGTTCCTGTGAAGCAGAACTCAATGCACTGTCATTTTCACTCATGGGTTGTGAATGGTTGATGCAACTGTTTAAGGACATCAGAGTTTCTGTGAAATGTCCTATACAAGTGTATCAAGACAATAGATCCTGTTTGGCTTTGCTGAACTCAGAGAGTTACAAGCAAAGAACCAAGTACTTGCAGATTAAGCTACATCGTGCAAGAGAGTGTATGGAGAGAGGACTCATTCAGGTGTCCTACATGCCAGGAAATGAAATTCCTGCTGATCTGTTGTCTAAGGTTATTAACAGAGAACAACTTAAGGTTTGTGTACAAAGGTTGCAATTGGGTTGAACCACAGGTATTACAGGTTACACGGAAAGGGGGAGGATGTTAGGATATTTCCGTTCCACCTTAAAAGGGAGCAGGCTTTGTGAGTCAGGTTTCCACAGGATGTTTCTGTTGTGTCTTTTGTTTTCTATTGCTTTCGTTTCTCTGTGTCTGGAGACACTGATGCAGGCAGTCATGTTTTCCTTTGTTCTGACCAACGCTGAATAAACTTGTAAATAATGCTCTCCTGCGTGCAACTTCTGCTGTGAATTATCTGCTGATAGAGTGTGCATGAGCTCTGGAATGTGGCAAGCTATTTCTAGAAACTCGTGTCGCTAATTGCTGATACTGTATCTACGGGAGATCGATGGATTGTCCGGCAGCAGGCTTGGGGGCCATGATGGACTTTGTCTCCCTGGCAGTATCCCAACACGGCCTTCTCCCTAGGTCTGTGGCTCTGGGTTCCCCGAGACAAAGGGAGTGGTGGCAGCATTACCAGTTCTGTTATGTTCTGATTCTGAAAAATAAAGTGTCTGCCAGCCCTGCTCCAGAAACCTGGCCCAGCCGGAGAGCAAAGGCAGGTGATGGAGGGGCGAGCGGCTGGGGACCTTTACCACAGCCCTGTTCAAAATTTCAGCCCTCCGTCATTTCCTCTGACAGGAGGTTAAAATAGATGTACAGTCGTACCTCAGCTCCCAAACACCTTGGGAGTCAAACTTTTCAGCTCCTGAATGATTGAAAACCGGAAGTGAGTGTTCCAGTTTTCGAACGTTATTTCGAAAGTTGAATGCCTGACGGGGCTTCTGTGGCTTCCAATTCTGCAGCCAATCAGAAGCAGTGCTTTGGAAGTCAAGTCAAATGTTTCAAACGGACTTCCGGAATGGATTCTGTTCAACTTCTGAGGCACAACTCTACACAAAATGGCTGAGCCAAAGTCCACCTATAGTTGTAATCAATAAAATTGTGTCCATTTTTTATGTGTGTGTATAATATTTATTAGTTTTTAATTACAATAATCCAATAAGAGCCACATTATCACAATTCCAAATTACAATACAATTTTAAAAGTCAATTATTCAAATACAGAATTAAACAATTTTGGGTGACGTCCCGTGTGCTGGACTTCAGGGTAAAAAGTTCTTCTTTCTATCTGCTTCCATAATCTTGATTAGTCCAATTACAACAGTTCTGGTCTCAATCCTTTATTTAACAGCCACTGATTTCATAACTTTCATTCGTAATTGCATATTTAATAAATTTTATTTCCGCAAGAGGAGTTTATGTCCTGAAAATTTCTGTGTGAGATGTTAAGCTTCCATTTGTTTCTTCATTCTTCTTGTTGTAATCCAGTAATACAGCATCTCTGCTTCCACTTTTCATTGCGTCACATGCTATTTTGTTTGTCAAAGTCTAACAAAAGGTCTGGTATCGAGCCATAGCCCTGGGCAGGTCTCCAACTTATCTTTCTCATCCAACACTCAGCCACTAACGATCTGGCGCCCCAACAAAGCTATGGTAGATCTTCAAAAGCATAGCCCTAATTGCGATTCAGTGGAAGCCCAGTGCTTTAAAACGTATCAATATTCTCACACAGTTCCATTTTTGTAATAATCCATAAATATTATCTTGTTCTCATTAATTTCCTCTTGCTTTTTTAAAAAAAAAAATTAATTTCTTTTTTAACACAGTATTTACAACATTCCAATAACAAACAAATATACTTTTTGCTCTGCCGAGCTTGTGACTTCCCTCCATCCCTTCAACCATTTTTTTTTATTTTCAGGTCTTTATACTGCACTTAAATTGTGGTTCGAGGACCCGTTCACCGCATAGTGGAATGAAAACACAAGGGCACGTGTTAAAAGGTTAATGGGCAAGAAAAGGCCACAACTTTATTGATTACAGCAAGTGAAAAGGTATTGGCTTAGGCATTGGATTACGTCAGCTGACTCCACCCACTCGGAGAGGGGTGAGTCTAAAACAGGGGGGTTTATTCACCAGTAGGTGGAGCCTGTTGATGCTAATCCAACTATAAGCTCTCCCCTGATGTCACCGAGGGTCGTGCCATGGCCTCCCGCCACGCAGGCATCGGACAGAATACACGACCGCCGGATTCCTTTAACGGAATACCCAAAAACTGAAGGCGTAGGCGATGGCCACACCTAGCCCTTCCACACACCACAACACATTATTCCAATGCCTAACCTACCCACCAATACCACGAAAGTTGTGACGATTGCTACGAGGTAGGCAAAAAAACCCAAAAAGCCTAATGCCAAATGGAAAAATTCCTACCAGGCCCCCCGGACAACCAGGGCGACCAACCTAAGGTCCATAGCAAGGCCAAAAGAAAACTGAGACCCTGAGCTCTAAGGGAGTGGAGGGTGAGTAACTCGCGACGGGACGATGAAGAGTGAGGCCAGGAGGCTGGCGCCGCAGCAATTTACGCTGCCGTACACGCCCCCTCGAAGGCACCTGGTTGCAACCACTCTCCTCTTTTGCAGGAGGAGAGTCTTTTTTGACTTCTGACCTTTGTATCCTTATAATCAACTCTGTCTCTTTGGTCTAAAAAGTTTTTAAAATTTTCATTGCAGGGTTTTTCAATCCCGCTAGTGTCTTCACATTTTTACAGTAATTATTCATATACCAAATAAATTTATTCCAGTCTCTTTGAATTTTTTGGTCATCTTGGTTCTGGATTCTACTGGTCAGCTTGGCTAATTTCACATAGTCCATCATATTCATCTGCCACTCCTCAATCGTTAGTAATTCCTGCAATTTCCACTTCTGGGCTAATAAGGTTCACCGCTGTCGTGGCGTACATAAATAATCTTTTATCTACCTTTGCAATTTCCTCTCCCAGCAAACCCAGCAAAAATGCTTCTGGTTTTTTGGGGAAGGTATATCTAAACATCTTTTTTAACTCATTGTAGATCAGTTCCCCAAATGCTTTTACTTTATCACAAGTCCACCACATATAGAGAAATCTCCATCTTTCTCTTTACATTTCTTTGCCTTAGCCTTTACCGATTTAACATTTATCCTAAAATAGGGTTACCAGATGTCCCCAGATTCACCAATCTGTCCCCGGACGAAATCTGTCCCCGGAATGTCCCCAGATTTATGCCTGGGGTCTTCCGGTGAGGCAACATGGTGAGCGCCATGGCAGCAAGCAGCACCGGAGGACCCGGCCACGTCAAAGTTCCAGCCAGCCAATCTGCTGACTGGGGGGGCTATTTAAAGAGAGGTGCGAGCCAGAGAGCTTCCTTCTGGCTCGCTTCCTCGATCAACACTTGCCCCAAACTTGTGCAGAGCTGCCCATTGCAGAAGAGCCCACAGTGCTCTTCTGCCGTGGGCTCTGTGTGCCCAAGTTGGGGGGGTGAGCGAGGCACTGAGGTGGTGAAGAAGAGGAGAAGCATAGAAAAGAGCTGTGCCGTATTGCGAGAGAGGGGGAGGAGAGAGAGACGGAGTGCGGCTGTGGCTTCTCACAGGAACAAAGAGGTGTGAAAGTGAAGGCTGGGGCGGGGACGGGGAGGAAGGAAGGCAGGTGGGTAGGCTCCTTTGCTTTCTCTCCCTCCTCTCCCTCCAACGGCCACTGCGGAGATGGTCAGTTTAACAGGGGGTGAGGAAGGTGCCTTGTCCCTGCAGCAGGTGACAAAAATGGTTTTAAATGTTTTAAGTGCTTTTAATTTGCTGCACAAATGCTGATTTTTTTATAATATTATATTTTATTATTTTATTTCTGCTTGGGGTGGGATAAGTATTTAGTCAGGGTGGGGAGTAGTTTAATTTAACATAATTGTTTCTTGCTTTGTTTTTATTTTTTATTCTGTTAAATTACTATATAGTTTGTATTTTGCTTTTTAAGGGGAAGGGTCAGGGCTGCCTGGGAGTGGGCCTCAGCCAAAAGAATGGCTGGGGCAGGTTCCACAGGGGGGGATGTATTGGGACACCCGATCTCAGTGATCACGGGCAGGAGGAGGAGTTATGCTAAGACCAGATCATGTCATTACCGAGGAGGCAGGTTTAGTCATTGTTTGAGGACTATCCCTGCCTCCAGGTCTTGTCCTGATACTGGAATCGGCAAGGGAAACCCACATGACCTGAAAGTGTTGCTGTGCAATGCCAGGTCAATGATGAATAAAACCACTGCCATCCACGACCTGATTGTGGATGGAGGATTTGACCTGGCATGTGTGACAGAGACCTGGTTGGATGAAGCAGATGGGCCTGTCCTTGCTGCTGCTTGCCCACCAGGTTTCTCTTACGCACACCAACCCAGGTCAGGTGGGCGGGGAGGGGGGGTCGCAGTGATTTTTAGGAAGTCATTAGTCTGCACCAGGCGTCCTATTGGGAAGACCCAGTTTTCTGAGTGCATGTTCTGGAAGTTGGGCAATAGGGGCAGTACAGGATTCCTTTTGGTGTACCGACCTCCCCACTGCACCAAGGATTCCCTGTCCGAGCTGCTTCAGGTCGTGGCGGATGTTCTCCTGGAGACACCTAGTTTGGTTGTCCTAGGGGATTTTAACATCCACGCCGACATGAGCTTACAAGGGGCCGCTCGGGACTTCGTGGAAAGCATGGCCTCCATGGGGATGTCCCTGAATAAGTTTGGTCCAACTCATAGCCGCGGACATGCCTTAGACTTGGTGTTTACCTCTACGGATGTTGGTGATCTGACACTAACTAAAAGTGAAACAAAAGAAGTCAGCCATGGTCAGATCACTTCCTGGTGCAACTGGACTTCTCCGTGACCCCTCCCCTATGCAGGGAGGTGGGACTGATTCGGATGGTCCGCCCCTGCTACTTAATGGATCCAATTGGCTTCCAGACAGTGGTAGGGGATGTTTTATCCCAAGTTGATGGCCTTTCAGCTGATTCCCTCATGGCCCGCTGGAATGCGGAGTTAACCAGGGCTATTGACTGTCTGGCTCCGAAGCGCCTTCTCTGATTGCATGGAGCCCAGACAGCCCCGTGGTTTTCCCCGGAGCTGAGGATGATGAAACAATCGTTGAGACGGCTAGAGCACCGGTGGCGGAAAACTCTTTCTGAATCAGACTGGACACGGGCTAGAGCTCAACATCGAGCCTACCAAGTAGCAATGGTGACGGCAAAGAGGGCCTTCTTCGCCGCCTCTATTGCATCTGCAGAAAACAGCAGCAGGAGACTTTTTCAGGTGGTTCACAATCTATCGGAACCACCTGCACCACCCGGGCCTGGTAGGGACCCCAAGATCTCCTGCAATGCTTTTGCAAAGTTTTTTGAAGATAAAGTCTCTCAGATTCAGAAGGAGGTAGACTCCACCGTGGGAGCTGGGCCAGGGCGGGAGAGTGCTAGAGTTCTGTCTAGTCTTGTTACATGGGATCAAGTCCAATCTGTTACCTCCGAAGATGTGGACAGGCTGCTTGGAAAAGTGAAACCGACCACCTGTCTCCTTGATCCTCCTCATCCTGGCGGATAAAAGCGAGCCGGGAAGGGCTGGGCTTCTGCAGGGTGGCGAATGCTTCCCTCTGTGAGGGAGCCTTCCCAGACCCGCTGAAAGAGGTGGTTATTAAACAGCTTCTTAAAAAAAATCTTTAGACCCGGCCAATATGGCCAACTATAGCCCAGTCTAAAATCTACCATTCTTGGGCAAGGTGATTGAGCGGGTCGTTGCCGAACAACTCCAAGCAAGCCTGGAGGATGCGGACCATTTGGATCCCTTCCAATCGGGATTCAGGCCTCATCATGGGACTGAAACTGCCTTGGTTGTGCTGGTTGATGATCTCTGGTGGGCTAGGGGCAAAGGTGAGAGCTGTTTCCTAGTTCTGCTGGATCACTCAGGAGTTGACATTTTTTGTAATTTGGACGTATTTAGGTCATATTGAACGAACTAAAAATCCTCATGCAGCAATAAACTAGGTTCATTTTCTTATTGAATTCTTTGCATCCCTCAGGTCTGAATACTGAAATGGATTATAGTTGCTTTTTGTGAATGTGTACTAATGTTTATATGTACAACACCTGAGCATGGGCTAAGTTTGTTTTACCTTTGTGGGACGAGTGGATTACTTTGAGAGGGGAATTTGTATCTGTGGACTGCTATTACTTTAGATCTGAAAATTGATTACATTTATGTATGAGTTTACATGTATAACATCTGAGCATGGATTGCTTTACATCTGTTGTGCCATATGGGTCACTTTAAGAAATAAATTTTGTATCTGTGGATTGCCAACACCTGTTACTCAAACCGATATTGTGCTTGTCCATATAATCCTGCTTTGTAACAGTCACTGCTTACTGCACCACTACTATGCTATAAGATCCACTATCCTGTAATATTACATATGGTATATACAATTGTTTATGGGTTTTTTATATTTTTGCTGTAAAAAATGTGTGAGATTACAATGTTGTATTTATTTGCATTACCTAGAGCCTGTTCTACTGATGAAGTCTAGGATGGTGAAACAAGGCTAATATTCCAGAAATCCTTGTCTTGGACTCTGTGAAAGGATTCTGTGGAACTGTAACAACCCTTCATGCGGATTATTGCACTCTATGAACAAACAGGTGGAATAGATACTTATACATGTACGGACCTTACGCATGAACTGACTAGAGAATGAACTGATCCACTGGGTCTTCTTCTTTTTTCTGTTGAACTTTATGAGATTTCCATTGAAATCTACAATTTGATGCAATGAATACTATACCTTATTTATTCAAAAGTACAGCTGGTTATGTCTTGTGTTTATTGATTACTGTTACACATGGAGCTTTGCAAGTCATCACAAGCACCTGATTGTGCATAAAGTAAAACAAATAAAATGGATCACCTCACATCATTGTGACATCAGGTGATTGAAAGTTGGAGGAGATAACATTCCAGCCTGCTGATGAGATCCACTCCCCCCCCCCACTGCTCTACACTGACTGGCAGCAGTTCTCCAGGGTTTCCAAAGTGTCTTTCCTGCGCCTCCCTGGAGAAACTACAGGCAGAACATGGAACCTCCTTGGGGTGAAGCAAGTGCTCTACTACTGAGCTAAGGTCCACCAAGGACAGTAGTCTAATACATCCTGAGAATCAGCATTCCAGCAACTAGGAGCTGACATCAGTGCAGGTATTGAAAGTCACTTCCAATTGTGCTTGGTCTCAAGGTGCCAGTCTTCCAGTAAGTGTGACATACCAAGTTGCTTTCATTTACTGTTTTGGAACATCTGAATGTCTTCCTAATTCTGTGATGGGCAGTGGGGGTGGCATTCAACTTAGTCATGTTCATTAATTTCAACAGATCTACTCTGCATAAAACTTAGTTCAATACCACCCAAAGCATGTTTTCATATTGCCAATTCCACAGATGTTAGCAAAGAACTTGTCTCCACCCCACACTGCAAAACAAAGTTTGGGAAGATCAGAGTTCCTTTCTTCATGACTACTGTTTTTAGAAGTCACTTGAGTTATGTCTCAACACCTCCATTAAAAATGCATGGATTTAAATAATGATAATCAGTTCAAAAATGTTTTTTCCAAAGGGTTTATTTTGTGTGAACAAACATAGGGAATTTTTCCCAAGGTGAATTTTAAAAAAAAATTGTAGTAGTTATAGTTGTTGTCGTTGTCATCATCATCATAGACTGATGGTGATGGTTTCTTGGAGGACTATTTCAGGATCCCAAACTCACTCATAAATCTGCATAAACTCAATTATCTCTTCATACAAGCGCTGTGGGGCATCAAGGCCCAAGAAGAAATCTGTGTGTTGCCAGTCAGGAATCATCTTGTGGTAAACTAAGTTTGAGACCTGAGGCAACCACCGGGCAATATTCTTTGGGGTTGAAACCCAGTCGTTCCCACCATTCCAGAGAGCTATTGGAGCAGTCATTTTTTAATATCATAGGAAGGTGCTGTTTCCTAAAAGAGAGGGAAATAACAGGTTAAAAATAGTTTGTAAGTTAGGACTTTGCAGAAACTTCATGATCAAAGCAAACACACACACACGTTATGGGGAATATAAGTTGAGCTGTTAATGTGCATAACAACTGGACGTTGTGCAGATTTGCAAGGCATCATAGAGAATGTGCACATCATCCATGAAGAGGAAATTGTGCACTTTCCTGGTTAATATACATAGTCTCCAACCGGCTTTGGACAATTCCTTGAAATCACTTGAAATTGTGAACACATTCCTTCCACAGGTTGCACCAGCATCCATTTACAGTTTCGGGCTTGATGGCATCCACTGCCTGCTCAACGCAAAATGATGCAAAATAAAAAAATTCCTTCCAGTTGGACCTTAGAGACCGACTAAGTTAGTTACGGGTATGAGCTTTCGTGTGCATGCACACTTCTTCAGATACACTGAAACAGAAGTCACCAGACTCTGTTTCAGAGAGCCAGTGTGGTGTAGTGGTTAAGAGCGGTAGTCTCCTAATCTGGTGAACTGGGTTTGATTCCCCATGCAGCTGCTGGGTGACCTTGGGCTAGTCACACTTCTTTGAAGTCTCTCAGCCCCACTCACCTCACAGAGTGTTTGTTGTGGGGGAGGAAGGGAAAGGAGAATGTTAGCCGCTTTGAGACTCCTGAAGGGGAGTGAAAGGCGGGATATCAAATCCAAACTCCTCTTCTTCTTCTTCTTCTTCTTCTTCTTCTTATATATAGTGAGAAGGTGGGGAGGGGTATTACTCAGAAGGGTGGTGGGAATGGGTGATTGGCTGATAGGTGTGGTAAACCAGTTGATGACTGTTAATGACTGCAGTTAGTCTTACAGGAAAAAGCAAGGGATGAGATGGCCAAAAATAGCTTTATCATGTATGAGATAAGAATCCAATGTCTCTATTCAGACCAGGTCTCTCCGTGGTTTTAAGTTTGGTAGTAAGTTATAATTCAGCAACTTCTCTTTCCAGTCTATTTCTGAAATTCTTTTGTAATATGACAGCTACTTTGAGATCTTGTATAGAATGTCCTAGGAGATTGAAGTGTTCTCCTATTGGTTTCTCTGCCTTGTGATTCCTGATGTCAGATTTATGTCCATTTACCCTTTGGTGTAGGGTTTGGTCTGTTTGTCCAATATAGAGAGTTGAAGGGCACTGTTGGCATTTAATAGCATACACAATGTTAGAAGATGAGCAATTACATAGTCCTGAGATGGTATGTTTGATGTTGTTGGGGCCAGTAATGGTGTTGTCCGGGTGCAAAGTTGGCATCTGGGTTTATTGCAGGCTCTGGTACCAGTGTCCATGTTAAGTCTTGTTGCTGTATTATTATGGGTGAGAAGTTGTTTAAGATTGGGTGGCTGTCTGTAAGCAATGAAAGGTCTTCTTCCCAGAGCTTGAGAAAGAGAACTATCATTATCTAGGAGAGGTTATAGATCTCTGAGGATGCGTTGAACTGTTTTAACTTGGGAGCTGTATGTGATTACTAGTAGTGTTCTGTTATTTTCTTTTTTGTGTCTGTCTTGCATCAAGTTTTTCTATGGGTCTGCCTCTGTTGATCTGTTGTTTAACTTCATCAGGCAGATATTCTAGTTCTAAAAAGGTTTGCTGTAGATCTCTTGGGTGAGAATCTCTGTAGAGTTGGAACAGATGTGGCTGTGATGTAGGGCCTGGCTATATACAATGGATTGTTTGGGATGTTTGGGATGGTAGCTAGAAGCATGTAGATATGTTTGTTGGTCAGTTGATTTATAGTATAAGGTGGTATCTATACACCCATCTTGTATTTTTATAGTAGTGTCCAAAAAATGTATTTATTGCATAGATTGGTTCATAGTTATGTTGATGGTGGGGTGAAAGCCATTGAATGTCTGTTGGAAGGTGTCCAGGGTCTGTTGACCATGTGTCCAGATAAGAAAAATATCGTCAATGTATTGCAGGTACAAGAGAGGTTTGAGTGGGTAGGAGGTTAGGAAACGTTGTTCCAAATCTGCCATGAAGATGTTGACATACTGTGGGGCCCATTGCTGTGCCACTGATCTGGAGGAACAGGTCATCACCAAATTTGAAGTGGTTGTGGGTAAGGACAAAATGGCAGAGTTTGGTAGCAAAGTCCACTGTGATTTTATCTGAAATAGTGTTCCTTATGGCTTGCAAACCATCATTGTGTGGGATGTTGGTATAAAGAGATTCCACATCCATAGTGGCTAGTATAGTATTGTTAGGAAGATTATTCAAAAATTGTATTTTCCTCAGAAAATCTGTGGTGTCATGTACGTAGCTGGGAGCACTGTTGGCATATGGTTTCAGAAAAGAGTCCATATAACCGGAAACACCCACTGTAATAGTGCCAATACCTGAGATGATGGGGTGTCCTGGATTTCCTGGTTTGTGTATTTTAGGTAGAAGATAGAAAGTTCCTGGTCTAGGTTCCACTGGTGTGTTAGTCCAATTTTATGTAAAAGGCGGTACTGGAAAGTTGTCTGTGAGCCTCCTGGATATAATCAGTTTTGTTCATGGTGATGACAGCTCCACCCTTTAATCATAATGTCCGCCTCTTTAATCATAATGTCTGGGTTGTTCCTGAGATTATCTATGGCTCTCCTTTCAGCATGGTTAAGATTTTGTTGTAAGCAATGGTGTTTTCTGGTCACATCCATTTGGATTCTGTGGCAGAAGGAATTGATGTGCAGATCTAGTGTGGTATTGCATTCATCAGGAGGGTCCATGTGGAGTCCCTTTTGTGTAGCATTTATTCGGTGGTAGCTGGTGGTCAATGTTCTGTTCATTAATGTGTTGGGAGGGTGGTGGTTGTTCCCCAGTAGGCTGAGAGATGTTGTGTTGTGGAGATGTTGTTTGTTCTACTTTGTCTTGACCTTGTGTGTGTTGAAAGTACTCCTTCAGGCGTAAACAGTGGAAAAATTCTGCCAAGTCTCTGCAGAACTGAATCATGTGCGGGGATTTGGCAGGGCAGAATGATAGTCCGTGTGAAAGGGCTGATTCCTCAGCTGGGCTGAGTGTTTGCTGAGAGAGATTGACAATATTGTTGATCTTGTTATTTTGATTAGTAGCCTATAGGTTGGGAAGGTTAGAGAGTTTTTTGTTTTTCTGTTTTTTCAGTCATTCTAGTTGAGAGTGGTAAATGGTTTGTTTTTTTTCATTGTGGAACTCTTGCCAAGCTGGGTGATTCCTGACAGAGTTGTCCAGTGCAGAGAGTTCCTCCTTTATAAGCTTCTGTTTAGAGTACAGAACACCAATCAGATGTTTGAGCAGCTTCTTGGGAAAGCAGATCAGTATCCATCGTGTTAATCCTTCACAGCTTTAAATCAAAGGGCTAACTGCTCTGCTTTGGCAATGTAGATCTGCTCAGGCATCTTCTTCCAGAACAGGCCCATCTTGTCTGTGTTGAACACCTGCTCTTGAAGATACTCCTTCTGCTGCAACAGCCTCTTCAGCAGCCTCCATGTCTGCAAATGCAGCTTCACCAGTGCTGGGGATGTTCTTCAAATTGAAGCAACCTTTGAAGCAGTTCAGCCAACCGCAGCTGGCATTGAACTCCTTCTCAGGCTGCTTGCCCTGTACCAGTATCTACCCTCATATAAACACACACACACACACACAGAGAGAGAGAGAGAGAGAGAGAGAGAGAGATGCAATTAGTGGGAAATTCTGACCTGATTGTAGTGAGCCATGTTTTCTTCCTTGCTACCCCAGTCAAAGGCTTTGAACTTCCCACTCTTCGAACCCTGAAAAAGAGATGTACCATATTTTGAAAAATAAAATGGGGAAATTATTGTTATATTTATTCATTAATTATATTTCTATACTGCCCTACATCCAAGGATCACGGTTCAGTTTACAAGATACATAACATAAAAAAGCAACAATTCCCTCCTTCCCCACCCAGTTTAAAAGAGGTGTAATTAGCCAAAAGCCTGGAAGAAGAGGAAAGTTTTTGTCTGGTGTCTAAAGATACCTAATAAAGCCATCAGATGCGCCACCCTGGGGAGAGCATTCCACAATTGTGGATTTGCCACAGAAAAGGCTCATTCTCGTGTTTCCATCCTCCAGACCTCTTGTGGAAGAGGGCACATGTAGAAGGGCCTCAGATTATGACTGTGCCATCTGGGTTAGCTCATATGGAGAGAAGCAATCCTTGGGTACAGCAGCACTGAGCCACTTAAGGCCTTAGAGGTCAAAACCAGTACTTTAAATTAGGCCCAGAAACAGATTGGCCACCAGTGCAGTTGGGCCAGGATTGATGTTATTTGCTCAAACTTGCCTCTCTGTGCAAACAGGCTGCTGAATTCTGTATCCTCAACTCAAAGAAAGGTATGCAAAGCCATTGAAAAGCCACTGGTATCATTTCAGCTTCTGCAGTTTTTCATTGAGATGTCTAATGAGAATTACCGTATTTTTTGCACCATAACACTCACTTTTTTCCTCCTAAAAAGTAAGGGGAAATGTCTGTGCATGTTATGGAGGGAATGCCTACGGGTGGCATGCCTATGGATTTTCCTCCTCTAAAAACTACGTGCGTGTTATGGTCGGGTGCGTGTTATAGAGCGAAAAATATGGTAATAGGGACACATTTCCCCTGTCTAGATCCAACAGAAGTCACCATATCAGGCAACCAAAGCAGCTTCTCTGTCAAAACTGGGCCTAAACCTCAACTGAAGTGGATCTAAAAAATCCACTTCTTTCAAGACTGCCTGGATCTGGGCATGATCTTCTTCTCTTGGCGATCACTCATAGCCGAGTAAGATTGTCTTCCATGAAAACGGTTTTAACAATGACTCCGTAAGTGACTGTGGAGGCCAATTCTGGATCCACAAGTCCTTCCACAGTGGGGACATTGGTTTCCGGATGGGAGTTGATCACGGTGTGGATTTGCCAAGTGTGCCTTCCTCTTAGCCCATTTCTTCCTTGCATCCTGAGTTCGAGTGTCTTCAAAGCCCATGACACCTTTGGTAAAGGCTGTTTTCCACTTGGAACACTCACAGGCAAGTGTTTCCCAATTGTTGGTGCTTATACTACATTTTAAAAAATTTGCCTTGAGACAGTCTTTAAACCTCTTTTGTTGACCACCAGCATTACGCTTTCCATTTTTAAGTTTGGAATAGAGTAGTTGCTTTGGAAGACGATAATCAAGCATCTGCACAACATGACCAGTCCAACAAAGTTGATGTTGAAGAATCATTGCTTCAACACTGGTGATCTTTGCTTCTTCCAGTACACTGGTATTAATTTTCCTGTCTTCCCAAGTGATGTGTAAAAATTTTTGGAGACACCGTTGATGGAATCTTTTGAGGAGTTGGAGATGCCATTTATAAGTAGTCCATGTTTCACAAACATACAGTAAGGTTGGTACTACAAAACCTTTGTAAACAAGCATTTTGGTTTCTCTGCGAATGTCCCAGTCTTCAAACACTCTGCGCTTCAATCTGGAGAAAGCCGCACTCGCAGAGCTCAGGCGATGCTGGATTTCGGCATCAGTGTCAGCCCTTGTGGAAAGATAACTGCCCAGGTAGGAGAAGTGATCAACATTTTCCAACACTGCACCATTGAGATGGATTTGTGGTGCTGCAGAGGGGTTATTTTGTACTTGGTGCAGCACTTTGGTTTTTTGGATGTTCAGTGATAGGCCAAGTTTTTCATAACCTTCTGCGAAGATATTTAGGATGGTTTGGAGGTCATCCTCTGAGCGTGCGCACACTACGTTGTCATTAGCATACTGAAGCTCCATGACTTTGCTTTCAGCCTGCTCATTAAAGAGCTTCCATCTGTTCAACAGATGATTTCTACTCCAGTGGGGAGTTTCCCTTTGACAAAGTGTAGAATCATGGCAATGAAAATAATGAATAGAGTTGGGACAATAACACAACCTTGTTTAACACCTGATCCCATTGTTAATGGTTCACTTTGAGAGCCATTGTTATCTGCGATTGTTGCTGTCATATTATCATGGAAGAGCTGAATGATGTTCACAAATTTATCTGGGCAGCCAATTTTCAGAAGGACAGTTCACAGAGTATTATGATTTACAGTGTTAAAAGCCTTAGTCAGGTCAATAAATGCCATATACAGGGGTTGGTTTTGCTCTCTGAATTTTTCTTCAAGCTGTCAAGTGGTGAAAATCATGTCCACTGTCCCCCTAGAAGGCCGAAAACCATTGGGAATACTCAAAGGCTGACCTGCAATCTCTGAAAGGCTATCTGTAGATTCCTCTAGGCTGGGAGATGAGCTTTTGCCTCGTACCTACGGGACCGTCTCTTCCGATACGCCCCACGGAGAGCCTCAAGGTCCATAAATAGCAACACCCTAGTGGTCCTAGGCCCTAAGGAAGTTAGATTAGCTTCAACCAGAGCCAGGGCCTTTTCAACCCTGGCTCCGGCCTGGTGGAACACTCTGCCTCATGAGACCAGGGCCCTGCAGGATCTGATTTCTTTCCGCAGAGCCTGTAAGACAGAGTTGTTCTACCTGGTCTTTGGCTTGGAGCCAATTTGATTCCCTCCCCCTCTTTTTTTTCTTCTTTTTCCTTTCCCCTCCTGTGATGAGGCTGCATTTAAATATTTTAATGTTTCGATAATTTAATGTTGTATTTTAATCTTGTTTTTAAGTTGTATTCATTCTCTGACAGGACAGTATCCAGCTGAGCCTAATTTTTTTCTTTGATGTCTGCATCGGCATCCAGTGTTGGTGCATAAGCACTTATAATAGTAGTCATGTAAATAGATCATGGCCCGGGGCATAAACAGGGATTAGTGAATGAATCAATAGTCATGCTGTAACTCAGGCTATGCAATAATGTTTAACCTCCCTTTAGGGAGCAGAACAAGGTTGTAAACATCCAAAGAAAGATTTGCAAAGCCATTGAAAAGCCACTGGTATCATTTCAGCTTTTGCAGTTTTTCTAGACTATTCATTCTTAACTGACTTGCTGTTGTGAGAATGATGGAGAGATATACTGCCACTTAGGAGTTGTCTCATTTACACTTACTTGGAAGTAATTCCCATTTAACTTATGGGCTGCAAATTTCTTTTGTCGTGTAATCTGAATTTTCCTTTCTGCTCCCGGCAGCTAGATTACATGGATAAGTAGCTCGGGTAACCCCTTGTGCAGAAGTGAAATATATTGGAGATCAGGAACTTTCACTCCACAAGACAATCTTATTCTGCCAGGGGACCCAAGTTGGCCCACACACTTTCTCCAAAGACTCCCACCTACCAACCAGCTGAGATTGCAGCTCAGAGAGGCGTTTTCATTGAAAGACTTGTGAAAACAAATCAGCAAGAGGTTTGCATCAGAATCCCAAAGTAACACTAAAGGGAGGGACTTGCAACATGCTTTGAAATCCTCCATTGTTACATCAGGTAATTGACAGGTAGGCGGCCCCACCCTGCTGTTAAATGTGACCTATGATAATAATAATAATTTATTTATATCCTTCCCTCCACAGCTGAAGCTGGGCTCAGGCTAACAACAGTAAAATAATACAGCATTCTAAAATCAATTCATTATAAAAACAGTTCAAATCAATTTGATGGCAACCATTGGGCTAAAGTTCTGTGAAGAATTACCAAAGGAGGGGGTCAGGCTGTGCCTTGGCCAAAGGCCTGGTGGAACAGCTCTGTCTTGCAGGCCCTATGGAAAGATGTCAAGTCCCGCAGGGCCCTAGTCTCTTGTGACAGAGCGTTCCACCAGATCGGAGCCACAACCTAAAAAGCCCTTGCCCTGGTTGAGGCCAGCCTAGCCTCTCTGTGGCCTGGGACCTCCAGGATGTTTTTGTTTGAAGACCGTAAGGTCCTCTGTGGGACATAACAGGAGGTGGTCCCATAGGTACGAAGGTCCTAGGCCGTGTAGGGCTTTAAAGGTTAAAACCAGCACCTTAAACCTGATCTTGTACTCCACCAGGAGCCAGTGCAGCTGGTACAGCACCGGATGAATGTGATCTCGCAGCGAGGACCCAGTAAGGAGTCTCGCCACGGCATTCTGCACCTGCTGGAGTTTCTGGGTTAGTCTCAAGGGCAACCCCAAGTAGAGAGAGTTACAATAATCCAGTCTGGAGGTGACCATCGCGTGGATCACAGTGGCTAGGTCAGGGCGAGAGAAGTAAGGAGCTCACTGCTTTGCTTGGCGGAGATGAAAAAATGCCACCTTTGTTAGAGCTGCAATCTGCGCCTCCATGGAAAGGGAGGTGTCAAAGATTACACCCAAACTCTTAACAGACGGTGCTGGCACTAATTGCGCCCCTGCAAGAGATGGGAGATGCCCCCCCCAATCCCATATCGTCCCAACCCAGCCAAAGGACCTCTGTCTTCAAAGGATTTAACTTCAACCGGTTCCCACGTAACCATCCAGCCACAGCTTCCAAACATCTGATCAGTGTGTCTGGGGCTGAGTCAGGATGGCCATCCATCAACAGATAGAGTTGGGTGTCATCAGCATACTGATGGCAGCCCAACCCAATACTCCGGACAAGCTGGGCGAGGGGGCACATAAAGATGTTAAAAAGCATTGGGAAGAGTATCGCACCCTGAAGCACTCCACACACCAAGGAGTGGCGCGATGACAATTCCCCCCCAAGCGGAAGATTCGAAACCGGGCAGTAATTGGATAGATCTAAAGGATCTAATGATGTTTTCTTTAAGAGCGGACGCACCACTGCCTCCTTCAATTCCCCTGGGAATGTCCCGGTGCCAAGGGACAAATTGATGATATCCCCTAGGGGGGTCCGCACCTCGTCTGCACAAGCTCTAATCAGCCAGGACGGGCACGGGTCAAGAGGACAGGTGATGGGCTTTCCAGCTCGGAGGAGTCTGTCCCCATTGGCTGGGGATATCCGGTCAAAGTGGTCCAATACTAGACCCGAGGACAGTCGAGGGGCCTCCAGTTCCTTTATTGTATCCAAATTGGCAGGGAGGTCACGGCAGAGCAACAGGACCTTCTCTGCAAAAAAGCTTGCAAATGCCTCACAGCTGTATGTCAAATGGTTATTTAAATTTGGTTGTCCCTCCAGGGACGTTAAAGACCTAATTATACTAAATAATTGCGCCGGGCGAGAGCTAGCGGGTGCAATGGTGGCCGAGAAGTAAGACTTCTTAGCGGCCTTCACTGCCATCTCGTAGGTTTTCATAAAAACCCTATAAGATGTTCTTGAAGCTGCGTTGTGGGCACCCTGCCATACTCGCTCTAGCTGTCTGAGGTCCCACTTCATTTTCCGAAGCTCCTCGGTAAACCAGGGAGCCCGGTTTCTGCGGGGTCGCAGAGGGCGCTTAGGTGTGATCTCATCAATGGCCGCCAGGAGCCGGATATTCCAGCCCTCAACAAGCTCAGTCAATGAGTCGCCAGGGGGAGCAAGGCTTGGCGGAATCTATCAGGGTCCATCAGCCTCTGCGGGTGGGCCCAAATCGGCTCGCCACCTAAGCAGGGTGGGGGTGGGAAGTCAATCCTGGCTTTCAGAGCGTAGTGATCAGACCATGGCACCTTCATCAAAGGAGACATGATCACATCTATACCTGTGCCAAAGATCAAATCCAGCGTGTGGCCTGCTTGATGTGTGGGGCCCAAAACAAACTGGGAGAGCCCTAGTGTTGCCATGGAAGACACCAGGTCCAGAGCCTGAAACTAATCCTGATAAAAAACTGTCCTGTGGTGTCAAAAGGATTCCCCAACCCCGTTCTTTTCACAGGGCCATGCAGATGTTACCAGTGACTACATTCAAGACCATGTACTCCCAAATCATAGCCCTTCTTGGCCTGCCTTATGCTACAACACACAGCCTTCACTAGCCTGGAGTCCTCCAGATGTTCTAGACTACAATTCTTATCAACCCCAGCCAGCGTGGCCTGGCTGATGGGAGTTGTAGTCCAAGCAGGTTGGCAGAGGTTGCGGTTGCACTCACAACACCTGGATTATTTATTAAAACACATATCAACAAAATACCAGAGAAAATTAATATATGTTCATCTACATACAGAGGAAATATATTTTCAATTTTTAAAAAAATCCACTGGGGGAATGATTATATCTGTTGCTGGTGAAATACTTCTGTTTGGTAAAATACTAATACTACTACTACTACTACTACTACTACTAATAATAATAATAATAATAATTTTATTATTTCTAGCCTGCCCATCTGGCTGGGTTTCTCCAGACACTCTGGGTGGCTCTCAACAGAATATTAAACAGAATAAAACTTCAAACATTAAAAACTTCCCTAAACAGGGAAGTTAAAAACACAAAAGCACCCTTGGCTTTAAATCCTTTAGCATAAAAGCAAAATATATTTGTTAAATATGTACAAAGAGAGGCTGAATTATATAGTTGAATGCTTCCTTGTGTTATATTTCTAGATTTCTTTCTAATAGTCTGTTCTTTTGAATACAATCAGCAGTGCTATTTTTATAGAAAAAGAGGTGCCAGAACTCATCACTTGTTCTCTTATAATGGCAATGGTGCCCACCTGAGAGGTTCCAGAACTGAGTTCTGGTGAGTTCCGGCTAAAAAAAAGACCTGACAATCATCCATTCAAAGCTTCAATCAATACATTAAGCTTCTTTTAACATAATTTAGGATTTAGGTTCTACCTGAGCCCAGTGAAGCAAGTTCTGAACCGATATCCCAGCTGGCCAGTGTGATAGATACACATCACTACGACTCTGTAAGAAAGAAGAGCAAAGTGGTTAGCTGAATTCATCACAAAGTACAACAACCAACTTCACTTACATTTGGTTTGTTTGAAGAAAACAAGTACACCAGAGCTCAACATCTGGATATTATGAAGGAATCAGTGTTTAGTTAGTAAGTCCACTCACTACCTAAGGCTCTTCCAAAGGCCCTGATGAGGGAGCGCAGCATTGGCATCCTGTCCAGATGAGACCATAGCCAAGCCTGCACCCGGGATTGGCAAATGGGGGTGCAGGCTTGGATGTGGGCGAAGCCAGGTGCCAGAACTGACAGAAGAAGAAAGCTTCCCTCAGGTCCGTATTCAGGACATCTAAACAGCTTGCACCTGGAGCCCTTACCTGAGTTTTTTCATCAGGGTCCCCACCTACCCTTGGTTCAAGTTGCTGCTCAATGACCTTGCTGTGGTTATGATGGTCACCACTTTCTGGGCCAGGTAGGAATTTGTCCACCAGGCAAACTGGCTCTGGCCTAGTGGTTTTGCCTACCTCATGGCAATCATCACAACCAGGCTTTCTTGGCAGTGGTGCCACCCTGTGGAACACCCTCCCATCAGATGTCAATAAAATAAACAACTATCTGACTTTTAGAAGACGTTTTAGAAGGGAAGTTTTTAACGTTTGATGTTTTATTGTGTTTTTAATATTCAGTTGGAAGCCGCCCAGAGTGGTTGGGGAGGCCTGGCCAGATGGGCAGGGTATAAGTAATAAATCTATTATTATTATTATTATTACTACTATTATTATTTATTACTGGGTTGGTCACTGGGGTAATCTTAGTCTTGGATGGAGGGGAGGTTGTAGTCTCTGCCTGCTCCTCCAAACCCTGGGGTATTCAGTTAAAGGGATCCAAGGGAAGGTGCCATGTACTTCTGCCCAGTCAGGGGCCAGAGCTCTCTCCCAGACGGCGGTCCCTGTTGGCGTCACCCTATTTGATGTAAGTATTAGGAACCCTAGCACAGATTGACCTACGGCATCACTTCCAACAGGTAGGACAGAAGTATTTTGATTGCCCCATGCCCAAGCCAAACCCTTCATCTGTATTCAATAAAATTGTGGCCTGTTTCAATCCAAAGCAGTCTCGGTTGTCCATTAATTCTCCAGGGGGTTGGGGACTGAGGTGCCCGATGCCTGGCCTGCAATTACATGCACCTCTTTATGGAGATCCGTTTAACACTCTAAACTAGCTGCCATTCCCAATATTATGTTACCAAACAAAATGGAAATTTGGCATTTCACTTTTAGCTGTTCCACAATGTAAATGCATTTCTTTCTTTCTTTTTTCTTTTTAAAAATATTTTTATTCAGCAAATTTAACAAATCAAATTATAAATCAATTATAACCAATTACATTTTCCCCCTCCCTCCCTCTCCCACCCTCCAGAGACTTCCCTCAGCTCCCCTCTCTGATTTGTTCATACGTATTATTCTCTGCATGTTGTAAAGTTGCGTCATATATTCTACTAATAAATTTGTGGATGTTTATTCAAAACCTGCCAAGGAGTCCAAATCCTTTTCTTGTCTTTTTGAATAGTTTGTAAATAGTTCCCATTCCTCCTTAAAGTCATGGTTGTCCTTCTCACACAGTTTATGTGTTAACTTTGCCAACTTTGCATAGCTCATCAGTTTTTCTTGCCATTGTTCTTTTGTTGGGATTTCCTCATTCTTCCATCCTTGTGCTAACAAGACTTTTGCCACTGTTGTTGCATACATAAATTTATTTTTCTTGGCAGGTCTTATCCTAAAATCCCTAACAAAAATGCTTCTGGTTTTTTTGCAAATGTTATTTTGAACATTTTTTTTCAATTCATTGCATATCATCTCCCAAATTTTTTTAACTTCTCTACATTCCCACCACATATGATACAAAGTACCTTCTTTTTCTTTACATTTCCAACATACACTTAACCCAGTTTTATACATTTCTACCATTTTCACTAGTGTAATATACCATCTATACATCATTTTCATATATATTTTTTCAAAAGAGGACAGTCTGTAAATTTCCAATCTACCTTCCACAGCTTTTCCCAATCCTCAAATTGTATAAAAGGTAAAGTGGCCCCTGACCATTAGGTCCAGTCGTGACCGACTCTGGGGTTGCGGCGCTCATCTCACTTTATTGGCCGAGGGAGCCGGTGTTTGTCCGCAGACAGCTTCCAGGTCATGTGGCCAGCATGCCTAAGCCACTTCTGGCGAACCAGAGGAAGCACATGGAAATGCTGTTTACCTTCCCACTGGAGCGGTACCTATTTATCTACTTGCACTTTGTGCTTTCGAACTGCTAGGTTGTCCTATATCTTGTGCCCATTTAATCATGACTGATTTAACCTCCTTATTTTTCATTTCCAATTCTAGCAGAATACTATATGCTTTCTTCAACAACTTCACTTGTTCTTCTATATGCCTCCACACACTCCTGTAAATAATCAGAAATCTTACCATATTTAGATTTTTTATATTAAAGCCAGTTCCTAGGTGGATAATAAAGCTACAGAGATATTCAATTAAGAAACGGTTACACACACGAGTAGCCATCCATTTTACAAATTTGCTTTGAGGAAACATCTGTTTAGTTCCAAATATTCCCTGCCAAAAGAAAAACATGAGTACATAGGTCATTTTGTTATTCAAGCCTGTTTTCCTAGAGATAAGTCTAATAATATCAAGTAGCAACAAAATACCACAAAAAAATATTGCCTACTCATGGTGACTCCCCCCCCCCCCCACAAGCAAGGCCTCAGCTCCAAAAGGGAACAAACTGGACAAAACAATGTTCTGGGATTTTAGAAACTGGCCACAACTTTGTTGGTTCCAGATGTAGGTTGGATTTGGCTTAGGTGTTGTGTGTATATCCCTCATAGCCCCCTGGTAGAGAGCTGTGCCATGACAGGCAGTGGCGGAGGTTCATTCTCCAGCACCGGGGGGCGGAGAGCAGGCAGGGGCAGGGTTGGCGCACGTCCCAGGGGCATGGCGCGCGTCCTGGGTGCATGGCGTGCTGCCCGCAGGGGCATGACGCGTGTCCTGGGGGCATGGTATGACGCCCGTGGGGGCGTGGCGCCCAACGCAGGCGGGGAGCAGCTGCGATGGCACCCCACCAGGATCGCGCTGAGGGGCAGTGCGCTTCCCCCACACTCCTCTTCCTCTGCCAGTGACGACAGGGTCAAGCCCAGGATTAAAGGGTTATCCACAAACTGCAGGTCTGCACATATAAACCTCCCAAGCTGCTGAAGGAAGCTCTATGGCCCATCTGCTGCACCCCTTAGCTTCTGGACAGAGACTTCCTACTAGACCCCTCTAATTCCCTGTTATTACACTAGTCTGGGTTAGGGGTGATACGTCCCATCACCCCCAGGCCTTACCCATCACCCCAGACAGTGAAATTGCCAACTCGCCACCAAACCAACCTACAATTGCAACCAATCAAAGATCCTTCAACTAACATTTATTTCCTGCAGGGGGCAGGTGTGGGCCATCAGGCCTGAATAAGTCCATTCTGTCAGGTTTGATGTCCAGGTGTTGGATAACACAGCCACCAAGACCCATCATTGCTTGACACAGTGTCCGATTAATCTTCACAAGGGCACCATTTTGTGGGCTGGCTTGTTGGCACCAGAATACCCATTAAACAATCTATGGCCTTTTAAACTGTGTGTTGTTTCTGCTTGTTATTATGGTATGTCTTTTTGTGTTTTTAATATTGTAAACCACCCTGTGATGTTGGTGTGAATGGTAGTATAGAAATCTAATTAATTCATTAATTGATAATTCAAATACTACATGCACAGTCAGGCAGAAAAAAACCCTTCTATATTCAAGACACAGACATGTTAATTGTAGCTAAGAGACAAGATGACAGCGGTCAAGTGTATTTTGACATGAGTGCAAGGAGCAACTGGCACCCTTCTGAAATGGTCCCCATAACATTAACATCATTTCAGTAGGAGCTTGAATATGCAAATGACTTGTAGTTATGCAAACATAGCCTCAAAGGGCACTGCTTGCTAAACTGCTTGCCATTTTGCCAAACAGTTGTGCTATAAATTGCATAATTCCTCACTAATTTCAACAAAAGTGCTTTACTTCTCTATAGTCAGCATGGTGACGTTAGGGAGAATGAATTTAGTGTCATGCCTCTCATCTTCATTCCCAGGTTGAGAATGCGAGGAATGGCTCTTCCACCAATCTGAAAGAGGCATTCAGTCTGCTTTTACCAAGGGTAGAAATAGGTGTGTTTGCATTAGTGAAATCACATAAAAAGGGGAGTCGCCTGTCTCAGTTCAGCTGAGTGCAGGGAAGACCTCCTCGCCCTGTCAATGATGCAAGCTCTGCTGTTCCTCCAGCTCACAGTTGAAACATTACTTGTATGGGAAACCTTACTAAGTAGGAAAATGGGTGGGGAAGTGGCTGCTGCTGAGCCACCCCACATTTCAGCTGTTAGGTGGGGAGGCCTCCTGCTTGCGAGGAGACCCTTCCTAAAGCCAGGAGAACTCTCCAGGGTGTTTCCCATTTCCAGGATTAATTTGCTGGCCCCGCTTGTATGCACGGTTGGGCGCAAATAGAACACACATAATGGGGAGTTACCTGTACCAAACTCTTTAATATGGGGACTTGATACAAACAAAGGTATGAGGATCGTCCTCACACTGGCACCTCTTTTTACTGCCCACGTCAGACATTTTGTGCTGGCACCCATGACACAGCAAGATAAAAAGACAGGCACACCCTCCCCTTTTTTTTTACTCAAAAATAGTCCTAGGTATAGAGTAGCTAAAGCAACACTCTGCAGCATTGGCCAGATTGAGCAGCTTAGGTGTCTAAAAGAATGACAAATGGCCTCAGGTCAAATGATGGGTATATTCCCAAGTTCTTAGCTACAGCCAAAGATATTTGCACACTGTAGTTTAAAGAAGTATTTTGACCAAAATGCATACTTTGAGCTTGTGTTCAGATAACCCAAGGAACATCGTCAATGCTGGGTTGGAGAAATCTTTCACGGTGACTTGTGGTGCCAATCCAAAGACCATTTTTATCTTTTGGGCGAGCTGCGGCATGATTGAAAATGCAATGAATGCTAAGAAACAGAATGGGAAATAGAAATAGAAGAGAAATGAATATGGCAACCAATGCAGTCTTGATCAAAATCCAAAAGCAAATGATTAGCCCACTTTTCTCACAACATTATTGCTTTTACACAGTGGTACCTCTGGTTACGTACTTAATTTGTTCCGGAGGTGCATTCTTAACCTGAAACTGTTCTTAACCTGAAGCACCACTTTAGCTAATGCGGCCTTCCGCTGCTGCCACGCGATTTCTGTTCTCATCCTGAAGCAAAGTTCTTAACCTGAGGTAATATTTCTGGGTTAGCGGAGTCTGTAACCTGAAGCATCTGTAACCTGAAGCGTATGTAACCCGAGGTACCACTGTATTGCGTATTGTAAGGCTTGTGAAGAAGTGTTTGCCATCGCAGACGCATGATGGCTATGACAAGTGCAGGGGCAGCCTAAAGAATGGACACTGAGGCTGGTATTGGGTTGAATTAAACCACAACGTTATTGATTATAGGAAAGAGTAGGTATGACCAAAGCACTGAGCATGTATCCAGCATAAAGGCAGCCCACCTGCTATCTGACAGGAACCTGGTCGGGTAGACTTTGGCCTGGGGAGTCACCCCTGACATGGATTGGGTTCCACAACTTGGGAGAAGTGTATTGGCCCATCAGTCCCCCTGTGAACTCCCAGACAGAGAAACCCCCCTAACAGGGTGCCCCTGAAACTAAGAATGTAGCCCAATGGGTGGGTGGGAATCACAATGGTCAGTCAAGCAGGCAGCCTGCACCTGGCTGCCCCCTTAAATAGGCCAGGGGTGGGCTGAGCACAGCCTCCAAGCCCCTGCCCCTGATAGGCCTTGGGGTGTTGCCCACCCACACCTGGTTGCTCCCAGTACGTTTCCGAGCACAATTCAAAATGTTGGTGCTGACCTTTAAAGCCCTAAACGGCCTCGGTCCTGTATACCTGAAGGAGCGTCTCCACCCCCATCATTCTGCCCAGACACTGAGATCCAGCACCGAGGGCTTTCTGGCGGTTCCCTCATTGCAATAAGTGAGGTTACAGGGAACCAGACAGAGGGCCTTCTTGGTAGTGGCGCTCACCCTGTGGAACACCCTCCCTTCAGATGTGAAGGAAATAAGCAGCTATTCTATCTTTAAAAGACATCTGAAGGCAGCCCTATTCAGGGAAGTTTTTAATATTTAACGCTGTACTGTTTTTAACACTTGATTGGGAGCCGCCCAGAGTGGCTGGGGAAACTCAGCCAGATGGGCGGGGTATAAATAATAAATTATTATTATTATTATTATTATTATTATTATTATTAATGCCACAGGGAGTGGCACCAGGTGGCCATCCTGGACCCTCCATGGACCCACCACAGCTGTGCCATGTGGCAAAAGCTACCCACCTAGAGCCCCAGGTGACCAGATATTATGGTCACACACTTCAGGCCAAAATAAACTATGGCAAGAGTATTGAGCCCACACTCATATCCCCTTCTCTTGTAGGCCTTAATGCAATACTTCCAGGGGTTGCTAGACTACAGCTTCTTGTTATATCCAGACTGGGAAACTTTTATTTAAATTGCAAGTACAAACCTGTTGATCCTCGTTTGAAATCCAGGATTTCAATGACATTGAACAACAGTTTGTCAGCTCAAGGAAATCAAAGCAAACAAATACACAGTTAGCAAGGTGTGTAGGGATAATAATAATAATAATAATAATAATAATAACAACAACAACAACATCCTTTATTAGGCATAGCTGGGATTATTATACTCCACACACCACTTTTTGTCAATCCATAGCAGCTATGAAACATTACTTTTATGGGAAACATTACTAAGTAGGAAAATGTAGGAAACCTACACAGAGATTGTTATTTACAATGCTTCTCCATAGGTCTCCATGGTCTCCAAGTGAAATCTCTACCATAAACAAGATCTGTATTGAAATTAATATACAACACCAACCATACAAATAAACATGTTGCTATTAGAATGGCCTATGTGTGTTTAAGAAGCCTTCTAACTTACCCATTGTGGTGCCCTGGGAATGACCAATATAAAATAATTTCTCCTGCCCGGTTTTGTTAAGGATAAAATTTATGAAAGCTGGAAGGTCATATTTAGCCATTTCATCTTGACTGCAAAGGAAAAGAAATAACAGACTATGTTTTACAGACTTGAATATGCAGTGAGATCTACATTGTGGAAGCCAATGTTCTCCTGACTACTTCTATAAACATTATGAAACATAGTAATTATGATTAAGCAATAACTCATCCTCCTTAGAAATTTCCACTGGCACTGCTCACTATTAGTCTGTGCCACATTATGAGTTGTTCAGTGCAAACTAAAAAAGCTCACTACATAGTTAAGAGCAAATATCGGCACCTAGAGAGCCAAATAAGGCAAACCTGTAGAACACCCGTGCACAGAATAGGGGCTGCCATCAGAGTGCCAGCTAGGCAGCTAGGCAGTATAAAAATGCAACACAAACAGATTAGAAGAGGGAAATGAGTCCATCTGTTGTTGACACTTTTCTTCATGAAAAAACATATAGCACGACTCTAATGCAGGAAGAAAAAAGAGGGGGGAAACCATCTTTTTTTTAAAAAAATGGGAGTTTCAGGAGGAAAAATGTTTTTCCTGTGGGCAGCCAATGGCTCTGCTTCCCCTCCCCCCAGGTCTGAGCAGCTTCAAATTCTGGCCCAGTAACTGTACTGGGAATTCGCAGGACCCACAGTGGGTTCGTCCACACCCAATCTAATTACACCCAAAGTGCAGCTAATCTACTAATATCTGTGGAGTTCACCCAAGGCCATATTTCATCCTCTGGTGCTTGAGTTACCCCAACGGTGTGGGTCATATTGTTGTTGGCAACCGCCTGTGTCACGAGATAATGGAAGGGTGTGAGTTGTGGGGTGAAGTCAAGCCATTAAAGAGTTAGGATGCCTGCTGTGGCTGTAGAATCCGATACAGATATATTGTGGCAGCTGAGGCAAATGAAGGCATCTGGATGTGTTGTTGCAAGTGCACCATGGTGCTCCTTCTTTCTGCTCTCCTCCTCTGCTGTGGATGTATGACCTGAATGACTGTCTCCAGGCACTACAGCCATCTGCAAGGGATTCCCACACAGCAGTGTTAGCATCGCCAGCCTTCATGCCAGATTTGCAGACAACTTTGTAACACAGAGTTGGTCTTCCAATGGGCCTGGTGCCTGAAGCCAGCTCTTCATACAGCACATCTTTTGGGAATCCGGCCAACTTCCATTCTTGATCAAAGCATGTAATTCCCCAAATGAATAATATATGCAATTTGTTTAAAGAAACAACTACCAATTATATAGTATATTTGGAAATGTGTGTGTATATATATACACACACACATTTCTACTCCTTCATATTTTGCATTATCAGGGCACTGTTCAATGTTGAAACAGAAGAGAAAGAGCATGGCAGATTAATCATCCAAAACCGAAGACTAGGAACCAGAAACATATAATGAAGTTTAGAAAGCTCCCTCTACCTGAATCGCCAGAATTCTTCTTGCTCCACAGTATAATTAATGTGTTTCATGGACCAAGTGGTCCCTCTACTGTTTCCTAGCCAAACATCATAACCAGCATCAGCCAGTACGAAGCCCAGGCTGTTGTTGTCCAGATTTGCCACCCAGTTACTGCCAGAGCAAAACATGCCATGTTGCAGAAACACTACGTGCTTTGGATCTGAAACAGAAGTGTTTTAAGTATAGTCATAAGAAGTAACTTCTGTGTCTTTTTCCAAACAAGACAGTGATCCATCAGAACCTTGAACGGCATTGTTGTCATTCCATATTGCAAGTAGCAGCCAGTGAGGTGGTGCAGGTAGGGCACTGTTGCTCTCGTGGCTTCCCAACAAACTGGGTTTCTGGTGCTTACGGAGAGGGAGAGGGAAGGAAGCTGTGCATATTGGCACAGCCAATCCAATTCTCCCATCTCTGCATGCCATACCAAGACAAGCTCCCCCAACTTTGCACCTCCCCTCTTCCTCTCAATGAGCTCCAGTGAAGTGAAGTGTTGGGAAATCAGGAGAGCAATGGTACCCCACACATGCCATTTCACTGGAAGCTACTGCATATCACCCACTATAAACTTGGGGCACAGAGCATGCATGGCCAGCAATTTCACATGTCTGGAATAAATCACTCCTGAATGTAATATGAAAAATTAGAGGTCCCTCCCTCCAAAGAAATATTTTATTGTTTTTACTTATTTGTAAAAGACGTAAAAGTCTTTTACATTCCAGCAACCTGCCATAGAAGCACCAAATGTCTATTTAATTGCATTTAACTTTTAAGTCATTTCAGTTTTTATTTTTTTATTTTTAAAAATATACATTTATACAACACTCTCTATTTTTATTTGTAACAAAAAAGAAAATGATAGCAACTGAAGCAAAGATACATTGTATACCTCACACTACACATGACACTACAATTTATGAAAAAAGGAAAAAAGAAAGAAAAGAAAGAAAATGAAAAAAATAAAAATAAAATAAAAAAGAAGAAAAGGTAGTTGAGGTTTTACAAAGACTTCCAAACATTCTCATTGTACATTATCTGTTAAATACACTTTTACCGCACAGTTACTTATTTCTTTTATTTTTTAATCATATTTCTATGTAAATTGTCAATTAGCTTTATATACTACAAGGCTCAGTCTAAGTCTGCCAAGACATTACCCTTTATACAAGATCCTACAAACAAGAAGGAAAAAGAAATTCAGAACTGAAGGAGAAGAAATCATAATAATGAAAGAAGTCCCACTACGTTTACTAAGAAAAAGAGACAAATACCACTTTCTGACTAGAGCCCTAAAAGTGAAATCAATATTTTGTCAGGATTCAACCTCAAATAGTGTTTTTTATCTGTTAATAGTTCATATTTTATTCTCGGTTTCTCCCCGTTCCATATGAATCTCGCCATATCTCTTGAACTAATGCCCAACTACAGACCAATATCTTTACTAAATTGTGACTATAAACTTTTTGCTGGAATAATTGCAAATAGATTAAAAGAGATATTAAAAGAAATAATACACCCCAATCAAGCGGGTTTCTTACCAGGGAGACAAATATTGAGTAACACCAGGAATATTGTAGATATTTTGGAATATTTAGAATTTAAAACTGATAAAAAAGCAGCACTTTCCTGCTGGATGCGTAAAAAGCATTTGATAACGTCTCCTGGCATTTTATGAAAAAACAACTAGAAATATTGGGAGTAGAAGGGCAAATGGGAAAGGCAATAGAAGAGATATGCCAACAACAAAAAGCACGGTTAATTATAAATGGAAATATGACTGAAGAATTTCCAATTACAAAGGGGACAAGACAGGGTTGCCCCCTTTCACCCCTGTTATTTATATTAGCTTTGGAAGTTTTGTTGCAAAATCTTAGAAAAGATAAAAGGAATTACAATTGGGAAAAAATCATATAGTTAGAGCATTCGTGGATGACTTGATAATAACAACACAAAACCCAAAAGAATGTATCCCAGAAGCACTAGAAGTAATTAAAGCATACGGAAAAGTGGCAGGTCTGAAGGTAAACTACCAAAAAACTAAGATATTAACTAAAAATCTAAATATGGAGGGGGGAGAGAAATACAACAGCTGACAGGATTAGCGATTAAAGGCAAGGTAAAATACCTAGGGATCTGGATATCAACAAAGGGTATTAAACTTTATGAAGATAGCTACACCAAAGTATGGAAAGAGGTTAAGGAAAATATGGAAAACTGGACAAGATTACAACTCTCTCTATGGGGCAGAATCTCGGTAGTTAAGATGAATATACTTCTCAAAATGATATTTTTATTTCAAACAATTCCGATACTGGGAGGGATGAAGTGTTTTCAGGAATGGAAAAGAGATATGGCAAGATTCATATGGAACGGGAAGAAACCGAGAATAAAATACGAACTATTAACAGATAAAAAACACTATTTGAGGTTGAATCCTGACAAGACAGAAGTACTGTTTTTGGGGGACAGGAGACAGGCAGGTGTGGAGGATTCCCTGGTCCTGAATGGGGTAACTGTGCCCCTGAAGGACCAGGTGCACAGCCTGGGAGTCATTTTGGACTCACAGCTGTCCATGGAGGCACAGGTCAATTCTGCATCCAGGGCAGCTTTCTACCAGCTCCATCTGGTACGCAGGCTGAGACCCTATCTGCCTGCGGACTGCCTCGCCAGAGTGGTGCATGCTCTGGTTATCTCCCGCTTGGACTACTGCAATGCACTCTACGTGGGGCTACCTTTGAAGGTGACCCGGAAACTACAACTAATCCAGAATGTGGCAGCTAGACTGGTGACTGGGAGCGGCCACTGAGACCACATAACACAGGTCTTGAAAGACCTACATTGGCTCCCAGTACGTTTCGGAGCACAATTCAAAGTGTTGGTGCTGACCTTTAAAGCCCTAAACAGCCTCGGTCCAGTATATCTGAAGGAGCGTCTCCACCCCCATCGTTCAGCCCGGACACTGAGGTCCAGCACCGAGGGCCTTCTGGCGGTTCCCTCACTGCGAGAAGCCAAGTTACAGGGAACCAGGCAGAGGGCCTTCTTGGTAGTAGCGCCCTCCCTGTGGAACGCCCTCCCACCAGATGTTGAGGAGAACAACAACTACCAGACTTTTAGAGGACATCTGAAGGCAGCCCTGTTTAGGGAAGCTTTTAATGTTTGATGTATTACAGTATTTTAATATTTTTTTGGAAGCCTCCCAAAGTGGCTGGGGAAGCCCAGCCAGATGGGCATGGTATAAATAATAAATTATTATTATTATTACTACTATTTTGAAACTAAATCAACTCCCACGAAAAACTAAATTAAATAAAAAATATCACAACCAATTCATGACTTGCAGTCAACATGGACTGTGAACCACTTACTCTAGCTTCCCTTTCTCCCTGCCACCATACTTTTCCATTTCTCTAATAGCTCAGGAAAAGAGTAAAATATGCTTGACCTCATCAATTTATACGGCCCATCTCTTTCAAATTTATAGGAAAAATAGAACAAGGACACACTCAGAAATCATAAGAATAGTCACACATTACCAAACAAATGCACTATGTGTTCTTGCAAACTTTTGCAAAGCAAGGAATTGTCATATTTGCAAACTTTTGCAAAGCAAGGAATTGTCATATTATAATTATAATGAAAATTCCCCACACTATTGAACATTTGTATATATGCACACACACAAATTATAACTCCAAACACAAACTCACCCTTGTTTGACTGATTTCTTTTCCCATGAGGAATTCTGTTAATACTCAGGATATACCCATCATCTGTCACCACTTCATATTCCTCACTGGGATATCCTCTGAAAGAAATAATTTCGCTCTGCAAGACCGAGAGAGTTTGGTTGAGAAGGTTATAAAGTGACTAAAAAATGCCTAAACACTTATTTTCACAGAAAACAATTGGTAACTAGAGTACGCAGATAGGTGAAAAGCCAGTTAAAGTAGTAAGATTGTGAATGTGTCAAACACAATCAGTTGTTTGCCAGTTCAAAAGAAATCTAAGAATTGATTTCCTGCCTCCCTCTGGCGTAATTAGAAATGAAGGGAGTCTTCTGTTGCTAAGGGTCTTGGGGTACCACTTAAATATTTTTCTTCTTGCAGTTGAGCAATTATAAGGAACTCTGCAAGATGCTAAAGTTGCCACTGTTGGAGCAACTAAATGAAGCTCACAGAGCATTGGCGTTCCATGAAGCACAAGCTGGGAACTACTTTAGGCTGCTTATTCTTTTAAAGAAAACATTGTAAGCTATGCTGAGCAATGATGCATTGGCAAGACAAAGTATGTATTCAAAATAAAAGAATAATAAATACTTTCTTGCCCTCTAAAATCCCAGCAGCCCATTAAAAAAATGAACTTCAGTTATATGGAGTATAGCACCATTAAGCACCACTTATTACCAAAGATTCCTTGAGGTAAGAAGACAGGAAAGAAAAGGTTAATGGCTTACAATATTCATAGTAGCTTCTGGATTTACTTTTCTTCTTTTAAAAAATATTTCTGATGTAAGGAGGACTAGGACAAGGCCTGCCCCCAATATGAAGAGCCACATCCTTGACTTGCCTGAAAACAAATCCATATTCCAGCACAGATATATGACTCCTGCTCCACAGAGCTAGATTGAAGCAACTGTCGATGAGATGCACTTCATTATATTCCACAGGAAGAAATTACAGGTTGCTTAAATAGCATGCCACTGTTTGTCAGTTACAAGCAATGCCTACCTGGTGAGAAGAAAAAAATTTAATGTAATGATGAGATGGAATTTTCCCTTGCTCAACTTCCAACCTACTCAGAAGTCATTTCCACTGAGTTCACGCAAGTGAGCCTTGATAAACCTGCTTAATCTCAGGATCATGCTTTTGAGCCCTATACTGGGCAAAAAGATTCCTGGGTTTTACGAGATGTACTCCATGGTCCCTTCCAACTCAACAGTTGTACGAATCTTACGAAACTCTTTCCTTGGATCTATGCTCTCTTTTCATTTGCCATCGCAATTCATCTGCTGACCTGATGAGTAAAAAGCAAACAGAAAAACCACACCAAAGTCTCCCAAGTAAGCAGAGCACTCAGGGAGTAGGAGAAGAGATCCTCTTGTGGATTGGAAACTGCTAAGAAACAGGAAATCTTAATTTCATATACTGTATAAGCTCCTGGGGTCTGTCCTGACAGTGATTGAGATCATGGGGATAGTAGATCGCTTGCTAAAGATGTTGACCCAGTGTGTGGCTGCTTTGAAGGGGGAAAAGGTGGATTTCATGCTGGGGATCATTAGGAAAGGGGCTGTAGATAAAGCTCCCAATATCATAATGGCATGAGGACCCAAGAACCCATTGAGGTGCTAGACCAGTATTTGGAGACAGTGACAGGCAGGATGTGGATCAGTTTTTAAAAAACTGAATTCTGAAAGAACATAAGTGCTGCGTGTTTCAAGTTCTCCAGTCTGGAAAGTGTGAAGATGGACTGTTCAAGATGGAGTTGCAGTCTCCTGAAAGGAATAGACTTATTGTTTAGTGATTATCCTGGATTATTTCAATCTGTGCTACATAGGCTGCCCCTGAAGATGATTCAGAAACCTCAACTTTACAAAAGGAAGCAGTCAGGATATTGGCTAAGATTGCGTATACAACCTGTTTTAAAACACATGGGTACAGACATCTGGACCCAATTCAAGGTGCCAACATTAGTGTTTAAAGCACAGAATGAATTAGGCCCCAGAATATCTGAAATATCATGTCTTTCCCTACATATCCTTGCAAATATTAATCTCAGCAGATGGGGCCTGCTTGGTAGCAGAGGTTCGGGGTGGTGAGTGCCTAGCAGAGGACAATCTCTCTGGCAGCTTCTATTCCTCACAAAAGTGCATCTGCCATCTTACTTGTATAGTTTGCATCATATGGTGAAGACATGTCTTTTTGCCCTGGCCTTTGACATCTGAGATATACATTTTCTTTTAAAGTGCTCAGGTTAAAGGTTTGGTGTGCATAAAATGTGATGTTTGTATGCATGGAAGTTAACTTATGTACCAGTGTGTATTTGGAAAGCAGAGAAGTTTGCAATTCAGGAGATGGTCCATTCTAGGTGAAAGTGAAAGCCTCGTGGGGTGGGTTTTTTCCCCCATTTCCCCCCAGAGGGTTTAGGCTACCTAATGGCTCATTACAAGCAGGTCCCTCATCAGCAGAAAATTTAAACCTGAAAAGTCAGCATTCTTGTATTGTGGGAAACTGGCAGAAAAATTGCCAGCTCAGCATGTTGGGAGAAGGGTTTGTGAGCATCCATCTATCTTGAGGGACAATGTAACAGGATATGCAAAACCCGTAGTTAGAAAGATCCTAGATTGGGAAGTTCCTATTGCCTTTTGAATCTAACAATGTTGCCAGTTTCTGCTTAACTCCAAATATCTCTCTGAAACAAGCTATTATATTAAGCAAGTTGATGCTATCCGCTGTCACCAGATAGAGCTGGCCTTCCCATCCTTCCCCTCCTCTTGTCCCCATCCTTCCCCTCCTCTTGTCTTGATGGCCTTCTTCCCCCTGGTGTAACTACACCTTTATTCCCTGCCATTATAAGCACTAAACACAAATTTAAACAATAATTTCTTTTTCTGTCGACCAGGGGTCGCAATTTCAGAAATTAAATTTGCAAGCTGTAATTTAACTAGATTCCATCAGATGGCATGCAAGATCACTTCTTTGACTCCAGATCCTTTGAGCATATATATGTAAACTTAAGATTTTGTTTTATTTGCTTCAGTGTGTATCAGTTTACACTTGCTTGGATTGAAATGCCTTTACCATTTCACTGCCTCTTTGAAGAGATCATTTTGAATCCATTTATTCCTACTCTTTTCTTCCTGTTTCTTAACAGTTATTAACCCACAAGTTGACCTCTCCTCCTACTCTAATACGCTTACCGGGGAGCCTTTGGCATGGTGTGATTTACTCACTAGGTCAGAAGATGAATTGCAATGGAGATTAAAAAATGTGCATAGATTTAAGGGAAGAGTTTCATAAACTAAGTAGTTAGAATGATTTAAAAATCAAACCACAGACCAAACCATTTTTAAATGCTATTTTATTCATGGATTATGAAGAATTCTCACTTTTATGGTCCCCATTTTCAGCTGTGAATTTCATCTCTGTGCAGCAGTTGGAAAAATGCACTTCAGTTCATCAATGCAAGAAAAAAACAACCCAGGTACAATCATTTGAACAGAGTTCATGATGCAAATATATAGATTTGTGAAGTTACAAAAAGTGGCTTCCCATAAGTTAGTTCTGCAATATAAGTAAAAAAACAAACAAACCCTATTCACACCATTTCAGTCTTGTGACCATTACTCTAATATAGTTAATACCTTAAGATGTGCAGATGTGCAGAAAAAGGATCACCTCACATCATTGTGACATCAGGTGATTGAAAGATGGAGGAGATAAGATTCCAGCCTGTGGATCAGATCCATTTCCCACCACTGCTCTAATTTCTTCTTCTTCTTCTTCTTCTTCTTCTTCTTCTTCTTCTTCTTCTTCTTCTTCTGCTTCATACCCGGTCCATCTGGCTGAGTTTCCCAGCCCCTCTGGGCGGCTTCCAACAGAATATTAAAAATACAATAAAACATCAAACATTAAAAACTTCCCTGAACACGGCTGCCTTCAGATGTCTTCTAAAAGTCAGATAGTTGTTTATTTCCTTGACATCTGATGGGAGGGCAATCCAAAGGGCTGGTGCCACTGTCAAGAAGGCCCTCTGTCTGGTTCCCTGTAACCTCACTTTTCGCAGTGAGGGAACTGCCAAAAGGCCCTCGGCGCTGGACCTCAGTGTCCGGGCTGAACAATGAGGGTGGAGACGCTCCTTCAGGTATACTGGGCCAAGGCCATTTAGGGCTTTAAAGGTCAACACCAACACAACACCAACACTTTGACTTGTGCTCAGAAACATACTGGTAGCCAATGTAGGTCTTTCAGGACCGGTGTTATATGGTCTCGGTGGCCACTCCCACTCACCAGTCTAGCTGCCGCATTCTGGATTGCTTATAGTTTCTGGGTCACCTTCAAAGGTAGCCCCACGTAGAGTGCATTGCATTAGTCCAAGCGGGAGATAACTAGAGCATGCACCACTCTGGTGAGACAGTCTGTGGGGAGATAGGATCTCATCCTGCATACTGGATGGAGCTAGTAGACAGCTGCCTTGGACACAGAATTGACCTGCGCCTCCATGCACAGCTGTGAGTCCAAAATGACTCCCAGGCTTCACTGAAGCAGGACCTGGAGGAATTTTACCCTTATGCTTTTCATATAATCAGTTATCCATATAATCAGTTATCAGTTATCCATATATATATATATATAACCAGATATTTCTATGATGATTTTATATAAACCATGTTTGAATCGTGAAAGCTTCTGCTTAGCTTATAGCAAACTACTTAGAGCTGAAAGGTCCTAAGTGAACTCTGCCCTAGTACCCTCCCTTGTTCTCTTTGATGTCTCACTGAACAAAAGGGGGGGAAGCAATAAATCTGATGTGCTGGCACTTCCCCCCCTGTACCAGACAGGGTCCTGAGCAGCTAAACAGGATGATGCTAACTGATGCTAACCCCAGTATGTCCCAGTATAGCAGATGGTCGTGTAGGAGCACAACAGCAGAAGTTCTCTTTTTGCCTTAAGTTTCTGTTTCTTGCCATAAATCTGGGGGAAAGGTTAAAACTGCATGTTCAGACTGTAAAAGCAGAAGTTGGGAGGGAAGTCTTTACATGATCAGGGAGCAAAGCTTGAATGCGCTCATTTGTTTATTTTTGCTGCCGTTTGTGATTGTGTCCGATTATGTCATGATCTATGATGTATGCAATCAGGTATAAAGCCTCTGGGCGCTAGAGCCCAGTCTTTTGGAAAGGATTCCACTGGGTCAATTATTGCTCAGCAATAAACATCACTTTCTTTTTCTCCACTGCTGCGTCTGTCAATTCTTGGACACTATTTGAGTTGGTCACTGGTACCTTAAAATCCTTGATACACACATCTGGTCCTTCAGGGGCACAGTTACCCCATTCAGGACCAGGGAGTCCTCCACACCAGCCTGCCCCATGTCCCCTGAAAACAGTACATCTGTCTTGTCAGGATTCAACCTCAATCTGTTAGCCGCCATCCATCCTCCAACTGCCTCCAGGCACTCACACAGGACCTTCACAGCCTCCTACGCTGACTGGCAGCAGTTCTCCAGGGTTTCCAAAGTGTCTCTTTCCTGTGCCTCCCTGGACATACTACAGGCAGAACATGGAACCTCCTTGGAGTGAAGCAAGTGCTCTACTACTGAGCTAAGGGCCACCGAGGACAGTAGTCTAATACATGCTCAGAACTTGCAGTCCAACAAGTAGGAACGGATATCAATGCAGGTATTGAAACTCATTTCCAATTGTGTTTCATCTGAAGGTGCAAGCTTTTAAGTCATCAGGTTGCTTTCAGATTTCAGCTTTATTGTTCTGGGATACTCTGAATCTAGAGTGGGTAGCATTCAATTTAGTCATGGTAATTAATGATAACTTTGTAACATGGTAATTAATGATAACATGGTAACTTTGTAAAACTTAGTTCAATACCATCCAAATCATGTTTTTTTGAAGCTTCATTAAAATAGTTCATCAAGTGCAGGTATGCCTTTAAAGAACAAAGTACAAGTTGCAAACATGTAGAGCTGTGAAGTTACAAAAAGTGGCTTCCCATAAGTTAGTTCTGCAGAACAAGTAAAGGAAAACTATTCACAACATTTCAGTCTTGAAAATATTACTCTAATAAAGTTAACGCCCGAAGATGTACACAGGTTCAGACATTGCTAGAACAAAGATATTAGCAGAGATTGGCACTCTTTGGAAAGCCTCGCTATAAGCCGATTGCTGGAATTGGCATATTGCTACACACGGAGTTTTGCAAGCCATGACAATCAGCTGGATCACCTCACAGGATTGTGACGTCAGGTGATTGACAGTTGGGGAAGATAAGGCCCGAGCCTCCTGATCACATCCACTTCCCCACCACTGCTCTGCACTGACTGGCAGATGTTCTCCAGGGCTTCACAATGGGCTCTTTCCTGATCCCACCTGGAGATACTATAGGCAGAACATGGAGCCTCCTAGGTGTGAAGCAGGTGTTCTACCATGGAAGGCAGCATTCTAATACATGCACAAAACCTGCATTCCAACAAGTAGGGACTGATATCAGTGCATATTTCAAAAATTATTTCCAATTGTGCTTAGTCTCAAGGTGCCAGTCTTTCAGTAACTGTGACATGTCAGGTTGCTTTTAGGATGCAGATTTAGTGTTTTTGAACACTTGAATGTAGAGCTGGTCTTCCTAACTGTGTTATGGCCAGTGGGGTGGCATTCAATTTAGTCATGGTAATTAATTTCAATACTTCTCTGAGCAAAATTTAGTTCAATCCAAGATCATGTTTCAGAAAAATTTCATTAAAATAGTTTGCACATCATCAATACAATACCACAGGTGCTAGCAAGGAACTTATCTCCACTCTACCCTGCATGATATTTGGGAAGATATACCTTCCAATATACATTACTGTGCAAAATTAGGGGCAAGTCATTTCCCTTCTCCATGACTACTATTTGTGATGAGAAGTCCACTTATGTTTCGATGCCTCCATTAAAGGCACTTCCGGGTCTACAGGCAGACTACTCGCTCTGAGCATCCTGATTGCTGTGAGGAAGCGGGAAGGGTTCTCAGGCAAAGCACCTCCTCAAAAAAGTCCGAAGGAAAAGTTTGGGTTCCAAAGGGTCCAGCAGTGTCAAAGGACGCTCTCTAGGAGCTCCCAAAACTTCCAAGGGAGCCAGGGGAGATCCAAGATTGAGCACAGACACACAGCGCGATCGAGACCCACAGCAAACTGCCTTAAGGGCCTCCAAAACCTCCCCCCCTCCAGCTGTGAGTATTTATCTGCATGGAAAAAATCTGCAGGGACTAAATTAAGTATGAGAAAAATACTGGCTAATGGTTATTTTTAACAAGCATTCCAGGCAATGAGCTGAGTTTAATCTGTGATTTGCCTAAAGCACTGGATGCAGAATTTTTAGACTTTATAAATATTTTCTAACAAGAGAGCCAAACTGGAAAGAATTCTAAATATTGTAGAGGGAAAGAGAAGAAAGCGGGATGTTGATATTGTGTGTGTTTTTAATATATATTCTAAGGACTATTTTTTATTTCCTTTGCTCCTTTTTTACAATTTAAAAGACACTGACACTGCGGGATTGAATTGAATTTTGTCTGTTTTCTGCTTTTTTTGCCATCAAGATAGATGGTTAATTTATCTTTATTATTATTTATTTGGATCTGACGGGGACTAGATATAAACTGGAGCAGGTGTAATTTACTTTTATTTATATATGGATTAAGAGGTGGGCTTTTGGAAGAAACTGAAAAAAAGGGAAAAGGAGATTTAGTTTGAAAGACCCCAGAATTAACATAAATAAATGGATAATTTCAGGGGCCTTTGAAGCGGCTGAAGAAAGAGTCACACAGCTGAGAGACATGGTTTTTTGTGAATGAAAAAGGAGACTTGTAAAACCTCTGTTTGAGTTTAGAAGGGGCAAAATTGGGTCTAAACGCTTCCTTTTTTATTTTATCCACTTTTTTGTAGCTTGGGAAGCTTTGTGAATAAGTTGTAGTGAAAGAGGGAAAACAGGAAATACCTCCACTAAAGATGCATGGGTTTAGATAATTATATGTGGTGCATAAATGTTATTTCCTGAGGGATTTCTGTACTTTGCATAGACAGCTTAGTAATAGTGTTTGCATTTATAAACATAGGGATTTCTTTCCATGGTGAATTTTTCAAAGTAGTAGCAGTTTCACTCATCATCACAGACTCATAGTGCTGGTTTCTTGGAGGACTATTTCAGGATCCCAAACTCACTCATAATTCTGCATAAACTCAATTATCTCTTCATACAAGCGCTGTGGGGCATCAAGGCCCAAGAAGAAATCCATGTGTTCCCAGTCAGGAATAAACTTGTGGTAAAATAAGTTTGGGGCCTGAGGCAGCAACCAGGCAACATCCTTTGGGGTTGAAAGCAAGTCGTTTCCACTGCTCCAGAGAGCTGTTGGAATAGTCATTTGTTTAATTTCATAGGAAGGTGCTGTTTCCTAAAAGAGAGGGGGAAATAACTGTTTAAAAAATAGTTTGTAGCTTAGGACTCTGCAAAAACTTCCTGATCAAAACAAACACACATATAAGGGGAATATAAATTGAGCAGTTAATGTGCATAACAACTAGACAATTGTGCAGATTTACAAGGCATCATAGAGAATGTGCACATAATCCATGAAGAGGAAATTGTGCACATTTCCTGGTTAATATATATAAAGGCTCCAGCAGGCCTAGGGGAATGTGCATAGATTGAGTGACCTTTGTACATTGTCTGGCCATTATGCATAATCTCCAAACACTGCCAAATTCCACCATAATTGCTCCCTCTAAACCTCCTTGCTCAAACTTCAACTCTCCACATGCCTTGACAGTCAGTGCAAGGGCTCCTAGGATTGCTTGGCATTGTTTTGTGCCTCTTTTTTTTACTTTCTGGGCTCTTTTATGGCCATTTTTGCATTTTTCTAGTGATGTCCAGGTTTGACGCAATGTGTGTGTGCACAGTCACGAGTCAATGAAAAGTGCTTAAATTGGTCATTGCCTGTATTTGGAATTTAATCACAGTGGTACCTTGGTTTACGAACTTAATCCATTCCAGAAGTCCATTTTTAAACCAAGGCGTGCTTTCCCATAGCAGTGGGGGACTCAATTTACAAATGGAACACACTCAACAGGAAGCGGAACATGTTCTTATTCCAAGGCAAAGTTCACAAACCAAAACACCTACTTCCGGGTTTGCAGCGTTCTTAATCCAAGTTGTTCACAAACTAAGCTGTTCTTAAACACTGTACATTCTTTTTATAAAAATAAATTAAAGTGAGAGACTGAACTTATACATAAATGATGCTGCATAACAAAATAGTCCACTGGAGAAGCATAGAACACCAAAATGCATTTTGCATTTCACTTATCCAGAAAGTCTGATTGAAGGACATTAAGAACATCTTATGCAGGCATTTAAATTATCTAAAGAATATGATGGAAGAAGTATAAAAACACCTCATGCACTGTACAAAAAGCTTCATTTTATTCAGATTACTACATAGTTTTTCACATGGTGTGGTTATATTCTTTTGATATATGTTCAGTTTATGGAATTAAATATAGATTTTGCTAACATATTTATGGGCATCACAACCATTATGTTTTCTGTATGTACATATATACAGCCTGGTTATAAACTTCATTTAAGTTTATAACTCTTGACATTCTTGTTTTACATTGGAACTTCATATTATCCACCATGTGTTATACGAATAGCAGCTTTTCCCACCAGTAGCTATGGCCAAGCCTTACCAGTATCTAACCTCATATAAGCAGAGAGAGAGAGAGAAAGAAATGCAAATAATGAGAAATTCTTACCTGATTGTGGTGAGCCATGTTTTCTTCCTTGCTTCCCCAGTCAAAGCCTTTGAACTTCCTAGTCTTCTTACACTGAAAAAGAGGTTACCACATTTTGAAAAATCAAATGGGAATATGATGGTGGTGATGATGACAATGATGATGATAATAATAATAATAATAATAATAATAATAATAATAATAATTCTATACCACCCTTCATCCAAGGAACACAGTTCAGTTTACAATACAAAAGCACAAAAACACATAACATAAAAACAAGGGAACAAACACACACACACACACACGGTTTAAAAGGCCATCAGTGATGTAATTAGCCAAAAGCCTGGGAGAAGAGGGAAGTTTTTGCCTGGTGCCTAAAGGTAAGTAATGAGCCGCCTAGGAGAAAGCATTCAACAAGTGTGGATTCATCACAAAAAAGGCCTGTTCTCATGTCGCCATCCTCCAGACTTTTTGTGGACGGGGCACATGAAGAAGGGTCTCAGATGATGGTTTCAGGGTCTGGGTCCGTTCCTATGGGGAGAGGCAATCCTTGAGTATAGTGGTACTGAGTCACTTCAAGGCCTTATAGGTCAAAACCAGTACCATGAATTAGATCCAGAAACCGACTGGCAGCCATTGCAGTTGGGCCAGGATTGGTGTTATCTGCCCAAACTGTCTTGCCCCAGTGTGCAAACTGGCTGCTGAATTCTCTACCCACTGAAGTTTCTGAACTGTCTTCAAAGGCATCCCCAGGTGTAACATGTTGCAGGATTGTAACCTATAGGTTACCATCATCATCATCTTTTAATTTGTATACCGTCTTTCTATCTTACAATACTCAAAGCAGTTTACAAGCTGAAGAAACAAAGAATGTATACATTCTAATGCAATCTAATAATGCAGTCTAATACATTCTAATTATACAATCTAATGCAATACAAAAATGTGATAATAAAACATAACTTTAACATACGCAACCTAAGTCAAATAAAGTAATATCCAATATTCATTAGAATAGTATAGAATAATATTAAATATCAGCATATAATAATTAAACAGAAATCCACCCTTAACAATTACAATAAATAATTTCTAAACTATAATCAATAAAACAACAGCAAGCCATAGTGCATAAAATAATACAATACAAGTTGAGAAGCAGAGATTGGAGGGTGGGGCAAGGCAGGTGAAAGAAGGCCTTGCCTGATGAAGTCTCTCCCGTCACAGTTCTTCCTCCAGGCACTGCTTCCTTATGAGGACTTCCAGGGCTGGGGGGTGGGGCAAGGCAGATGGAAGAAGACCAGAGCATAGACAACTGAAGTTAGGCTATCCCTGCCCAGATAGGGGCACAGCTGGGCCATCAGTTGAAGCTAATGGAAGACACTCCTCACCACCAAAACTACCGGAGCCTCATGTGATAGCAAAGGATCCAGAAGTACCCCTAAGTGATGTACTTGCTCCTTCAGTGGGAATATATCCCATGCGGGATAAAATTGAACCTTAAGGAACCCCACATTGAAGGATCCACAGGACCAAATAGCACTTCCCAAGCATCACCATGCAAGTAGGACCAGTGCTGCTTAGCCCCAACTCACAGAGCCGCTCCAAAAAGACACCATGGTCAATGGTATCAAAAGTCATTGAGAGGTCCAGGAGAATTAATAGGGACACATTTCCCCTGTCTAGCTCCAACAGAAGTCATCATATCAGGCAACCAAAGCAGCTTCTGTGCCAAAACTGGGCCTAAACCCCAACTGAAGTGGATCTAGAATATCCCCGGGGCATAAACAGGAATTAGTGAATGAATCAATAGTCATGCTGTAACTCAGGCTATGCAATAATGTTTAATCTCCTCCCTTTAGGGAGCAGAACAATGTTGTAAACATCCAAAGAAAGATATGCAAAGCCATCGAAAAGCCACTGGTATCATTTCAGCTTTTGCAGTTTTTCTATTTTTTTTTTCTAAAATATTTATTAAAGTTTAAACATTGCAAAAAAACAGAAGCAAAACAAAAGAAAAATGTGAGCAATAAACAATTACAAAACCTCAAAAACAAAAATAAATACAGAAATACAAAACATCAACAATACAAAAAGGAAAAAAAAAAGAAAACAAAAGCATTAAAAAGAAAAACCCAAAAAAGAACAAACAAACATACAAAAGAACCACATATTTTCATATCCTTATCTTTCATTTGCTTATTTCCTCGACTTCCTCACACCTCCTTTTTTGTATTCTAGTTCAATTAAATATTCCAGCAAGTCCTTTCCCTCTTTCACAAATTTAGTTCCATGGTTTAACTTAACGCAATTTTAGACTTAAATTTACCTCTTTACCCAATGTCAATCTATTCATACTTGATTCTTTATAATATTTCTACTAAAGTCATATAACTTCTTTCCAGCATCTTTCTAACATTCATTAATTTTGGAATATTTCTGTAAATAAGCTTTGAATTTTTTCCAATCTTCTTCCACCGACTCTTCTCCCTGGTCTCGGATTCTGCCAGTCATTTCCGCCAATTCCATGTAGTTCATCAGCTTCATCTGCCATTCTTCCCTGGTAGGTAAGTCTTGTGTCTTCCAGTGCTTTGCAATGAGTATTCTTGCTGCTGTTGTAGCATACATGAAAAAAACTCTGTCCTTCTTTGGCACCAATTGGCCCACCATGCCCAGGAGAAAGGCCTCTAGTTTCTTTAAGAAGGTATATTTAAATACCTTTTTCATTTCATTATAGATCATCTCCCAGAATGCCTTAATCTTTGGGCATGTCCACCAGAGGTGAAAGAAAGTACCTTCAGTTTCATTGCATTTCCAACATTTGTTATCAGGCAAATGATAAATTTTTGCAAGCTTGACTGGTGTTATGTACCACCTGTAAATCATTTTCATTAAATTCTCTTTTAAGGCATTGCATGCCGTAAACTTCATACCAGTGGTCCATAACTGTTCCCAGTCAGCCATCATAATATTATGTCCAACATCCTGTGCCCATTTAATCATAGCAGATTTCACCATTTCATCCTGAGTATTCCATTTCAATAGCAAGTTATACATTCTTGACAAATTTTTAACTTTAGGGTCTAACAATTCTGTTTCCAGCTTTGATTTTTCCACTTGAAAACCTAGTTTTTTGTCCTGATTATATGCCTCCATTATTTGATAATAATGGAGCCAATCTCGCACTCTGTTTTTTAATTTTTCAAAAATCTGTAATTTTAATCTGTCACCCTCTTGTTCCAAGATTTCCCAATACTTCGGCCACTTGGCCTCCATATTGAGTTTTTTCTGGGCCTTTGCCTCCATAGGTGACAGCCATCTTGGGGTTTTATTTTCTAACAAATCCTTATATCTTATCCAGACATTAAACAGTGCTTTTCTTACAATATGGTTTTTGAACGCTTTGTGTGCTTTGACCTTATCATACCACAAATATGCATGCCAACCAAATACATTGTTGAAACCTTCCAAATCCAAAACGTCCATATTTTCAAGAAGCATCCATTCTCTCAGCCAACAAAAGGCGGCTGATTCATAATAAAGTTTTAAGTCTGGCAGGGCAAATCCACCTCTTTCTTTAGCATCAGTTAAAATCTTAAATTTTATACGGGGCTTCTTGCCCTGCCAGACAAATCTGGAAATATCTCTCTGCCACTTCTTGAAACAGTCCATTTTGTCCAAAATTTGCAGTGATTGGAACAGAAATAACATTCTTGGCAATACATTCATTTTTATCACAGCAATTCGGCCTAGCAGCGATAACTTCAAATTTGACCATATTTCTAAATCTTTTTTTCACTTCAGTCCAACATTTTTCATAGTTATCCTTAAATAAATTCACATTCTTAGCAGTCATATTAACCCCTAAATATTTCACTTTCTTAACCAATGTCAGACCTGTCTCTCTCTGAAACTTCTCTCTCTCAATCACGTTCAGATTTTTCTCCAGGACTTTAGTTTTCATCTTATTCAACTTAAAACCTGCTACCTAACCAAATTCTTTTTTTTTTTTAAATCATATTTATTAAAGTTTCCAAAAATATAAAAATACAAAGAAAAAGACAAAAGAAAAAAGATATTTAAAAACCTTACTTTCATTCCCTACTTTCTGGGACTCCCCCCCCCCAATTGTATTCCCCTTTCCTTAATTTGGTTCTACAAGCTCTCACTCCCAATTTAAAGCTTAATTTGTTTAACCCACTATCCAAATTGAATTGTACAAATCTTACCACCGTCCCACATTCATTAACAGAAAAAGAAAAAGATTTTCCCCAAGATCCACCCCAGTTCCTTCCACAAATTCCCCTTTTTTTTTAAACACGTCCGATCAAAGTAGAATAACATACGTAAGTTATGTAAAGAAATAGAAAATAAGAGATATAGAAAAATTCAAAAGATGGTTACACAGCCTTTGGATTTCAAATCTCCCCCCTTCCCGGTTTGAATTCCCCATGTCCATCAGTCTATACATTATCAGCTTGGAAGTCTCATTTCATGACCAGATTTCTCCCCAATTCCATCTTGCCGGTTTTCTTTTAATTTATTAATTTAAATAATATTTAACTTCAAATGTCCAATCTAACAAAGGCCTTTAATTTCCTTGATCTTTACCACTCCTCCCGTTGTTCTTTCCGTGTCGTAATCAGTCCTTTATTCTTCTTATTCCTCACTTTCTCAGGTTTCTTGTCCTGTTCAGCTGCTAAAACTTTCTAATTCAGAAATCTAGTGTCTCTGCAGAGGTTTGTTATTCAGGAACAAAAACTTACGTCCAGTCCCTTCCTTTCTTCAATAAAAAATTCCATTGTCTTCCTCTGTAGACAAAATACTCTTTCAGTTTTGCAGCTTTCCCAGAAGATAACAAGTCCTGTACGAATCCCAGGGTATTTTCCCACTTACGACCGTTCTTGTAGTATCCCGAAACCCCTCTAGGGGGGTTGTAATAACTTTGTATCCTCTAATCCAAAAGTCAAATTGTTGCTTATTTTCCAACAGTTTATATCCATATTATAACAAATTGTAACAAAATTAACCAGCAAGGTCCTCACAACAAAGTCCTCTTTATATTCTCCAGCTTTGACAGCCACTTTGACAGCTGTCAAAGTCTCCGTCTCTCTTCACCAGGCTCCACGAATCGCCCCGGTTCCCAGGGGGGGGGTTGCATTTTTCTTCTCACCCTCCACTCTTCTCCTCCAGCACATTTCTTATAATTTCCCATCGTGAAATTAATGATTTTTATCAGAGATATACTTCCCTTTGGACCTTGGTTACCCAGTCCTTGTTTTGGAATGCTTACAATAGGGGGATTGACTTCCTTTTAAATCGCCCCGCTCGTGCCAAATCCAAAATTTTGAACCCGGTTTCCCAATTACTCACGGGTTGTTGTTAATAGTCCAAATTTTCAATGGAAGAAGTCAGCGCTCTCCGTCGAATGGCATGCGGCTGCGCTCGGCAGGGAAAGCAGTGGACTCAAGCACCACGCCACTCCCGGCACCCGATCCGAAGCCTTTAAAAAGGCTCCTTCACGAGTCGGGAGGGCGCTAATGGTGCAAGCCGAGTCACCCATGTCCACGGACTCCGTGCCCGTGGTTTTTAAGGGTCCCCGCGTCGCCGGCGCGGTAGGACCCAGCCCCTGCCGAGCAGACTCCCTCCGGAGCTCGGAGGGAGTCCGCCATTCGGCGATGGCGCTAACCCGGAAGTCCTACCTAACCAAATTCTTGAATCAATTCTAGTACTCTTTTCGTGCTTGATTCTGGCTCCTGTAAAGTCAGTACAAAGTCATCTGCAAATGCTTTCAGTTTGTACTGTTTAGCTCCCACTTGTATACCTTTAACCAATTGGTCCCTTCTAATCATATTTAACAGAACCTCCAGGACCGAAATAAAAAGCAATGGAGAGATTGGGCAACCCTGTCGTGTTCCTTTCTCAATCTTAAATTCTTCCGTCACTACGTTATTCACTATTAATTTAGCCCTTTGTTCTGACTAAATTGCACCTATACCATTTCCAAAACTTTTACCAACCCCCATTCTTAAAAATGTTCAAAAATGTTTTTTCCAAAGGGATTATTTTGTGTGAACAAACATAGGGAATTTTTCCCAAGGTGAATTTTTTTTTTTTTTTTTTTTTAAAAAAAAAAAATTGTAGTAGTTATAGTTGTTGTCGTTGTCATCATCATCATAGACTGATGGTGATGGTTTCTTGGAGGACTATTTCAGGATCCCAAACTCACTCATAATTCTGCATAAACTCCTGGAGGGTAAAGAACCCCCTGGGAAGAGAAGGAACCTTTTTTTCTGAAGCCAAGATGATATGGACTAGAATTGACCAAATATGGATAACTAGAGGAATGGCACCAAAGATAAAGAAGGTAGAAATCTGCCCAAAAACTTGTTCCGACCATAATGCTGTAAGGATGGAGATGAAACAAACAACAACCGGATCCTTTAGATGGAGGATGAATGACACCTTATTTAGAGATGAAGAAGTTTACAAAAAGGCCCAAAAGACTTTGAGAGATTATTTTGAAATAAATATGAATACCAATGTAGAAAAAGAGTAATCTGGGACGCAAGCAAAGCTGTGATGAGAGGGTTTTGATACAACAGAATGCAATAAAGAAGAGAAGTCAAAATGAAAAGAAAGATAAAATCTTGGAAAAAATAAAAGAAGGAGAGAAGAAATTGAGAGCAAAACCAAAGTCCCAGGAGATTTTGAGAGAAATAAAATTATATCAAGTACAATATATGGAAATGATGAATCAGGAAATAGAATGGAAAATCAAACAAATGAGACAAAAAACATTTGAATCAGCTAATAAATGTGGAAAACTGTTGGCCTGGCAAATGAAAAAAAGACAAAAATTAAATACTATTATAAATTTAGAAGTGGAAGGAAAGAGTATACATAATCCAAATGAGATTAGAAATTGCTTCCAGAAGTACTTTAAACAATTATACACACAAGGGCCACAGAAGGAAATGGACATAGACCAATTTTTGAAGACAAATGGCCTACAAAAATCTCTCAAGAAAGTAAATTAATGCTGAACTATAAAATATCTGAACAGGAAGTAGAAGGTGCCATACAAAATATGCAATTGGGCAAATCTCCAGGACCGGACGGGCTGACTTCCAGATACTATAGATCTTTGAAAGAGTGGTTACTGCAACCTTTGAAGGAAGTCTGCAATGAAATACTGGAGGGGAAAAGGGCACCAGAATCGTGGAAAGAGGCGTACATCACACTTATACCGAAAACAGAGACTGAAAAGACTCAGCTTAAGAACTATCGCCCTATATCGTTACTTAATGTGGATTACAAAATTTTTGCAGACATTTTGGCCAAGAGATTGAAAAAATATTGATGAAAGAGATTCATAAAGACCAAGCGGGCTTTCTCCGGGAAGACATCTGTCTGATAACTTGAGGAATATAATTGATATTTTGGAAAAATTAGAAGTGAATATAAACACCAAAGCAGTATTGATATTTGTTGACGCGGAGAAAGCTTTTGATAATATCTCTTGGAGTTTTATGAAGAAGAATCTGCATGGGATGGGGGTAGGCCAAGGTTTTGAAAATGGTATAGGTGCAATATACTCTGAACAAAAGGCTAAATTAATTGTAAATAATGTGGTTACGGAAGAATTTAAGATAGAAAAAGGGACACGACAGGGGTGCCCAATTTCCCCACTGCTTTTTATATCGGTCCTGGAGGTTTTGCTAAATATGATTAGAAAGGACCGGTTGGTTAAGGGCATACAGGTCGGAGCTAAACAGTACAAATTGAGAGCATTTGCAGATGACCTAGTATTGACGTTACAGGAGCCAGAATCTAGTACTAAAAGAGTTTTAGAATTAATTCAGGAATTTGGTCAGGTGGCAGGTTTTAAATTGAACAAGTTAAAAACTAAGGTTTTAGAGAAAACTTAACACCGATTGAAAGAGAGAGGTTTCAGAATGAGACAGGATTGAATGTGGTAAAGAAAGTGAAATACTTGGGGATTAATATGACAGCCAAAAATGGGAACTTATTTAAAGATAATTACGTAAAATGTTGGACGGAAGTGAAAAAGATTTAGAAATTTGGTCAAATTTGAAACTCTCGTTGCTGGGCCGTATTGCTGTGATAAAGATGAATGTATTGCCTAGAATGTTGTTTTTGTTTCAGACATTACAAATTGTAGATAAGATGGACTGTTTCAAGAAGTGGCAGAGAGATATTTCTAGATTTGTCTGGCAGGGCAAGAAGCCCAGAATAAAATTTAAGATATTAACTGACGCCAAGGAAAGAGGTGGATTTGCCCTGCCAGACCTTAAACTTTATTATGAATCAGCAGCTTTTTGCTGGCTGAAAGAATGGCTACTTCTTGAAAACACAGACATTTTGGATTTAGAAGGTTTTAACAATGTATTTGGATGGCATGCATATTTATGGTATGATAAGGTCAAAGCACACAAAGCATTCAAAAATCATATTGTTAGGAAAGCATTGTTTAATGTCTGGATAAGATACAAAGACTTATTGGAAAATAAAACCCCAAGGTGGCTGTCACCAATGGAAGCAAAAGCTCTGAAAAGGCTCAATATGGAGGCCAAATGGCCGACATATTGGGAAATTTTGGAGCAAGAAGGAGATAAATTGAGACTGCAGAGTTTTGAAAAATTAAAAATAAAGTGAGAGATTGGCTCCACTACTATCAGATAATGGAGGCATATAACTTGGATAAGAAAATAGGCTTCCAAGTGGAAAAGTCAAAATTAGAAACAGAATTGTTAGAACCCAAAACTAAAAATTTGTCAAGAATGTATAACTTGCTGTTGAAATGGAATACTCAGGATGAAACGGTGAAATCTGCTATGATTAAATGGGCACAAGATGTTGGACATAACATTATGTTCGCTGACTGGGAACAGTTATGGACCACAGGTATGAAGTTTACGGCATGTAATGCCTTAAGAGAGAATATTATGAAAATGATATACAGGTGGTACATGACCCCAGTCAAGCTTGCAAAAATTTATCATTTGCCCGATAATAAATGTTGGAAATGTAAAGAAACTGAAGGTACATTCTTTCACCTTTGGTGGACGTGCCCAAAGATTAAGGCTTTCTGGGAAATGATATATAATGAACTGAAAAAGGTATTTAAATATACCTTTCTGAAGAAACCAGAGGCCTTTCTCTTGGGCATTGTCGGCCAACTGGTGCCAAAGAAGGACAGAACCTTTTTCATGTATGCTACAACAGCAGCAAGAATACTTATTGCAAAGTATTGGAAGACACAAGATCTACCCACTTTGGAAGAATGGCAAATGAAGGTGATTGACTACATGGAATTGGAAATGACTGGCAGAATCCGAGACCAGGGAGAAGAGTCGGTGAAAGAAGACTGGAAAAATTTAAGCACTATTCACAGAAATATTGTAAAATTAAGGAACTTTAGAAGGATGTTGGATAGAAATTAAGAGGTTTTTAGCTGTAATGCTTTAAGAGACATGAAAAAAAAGGTTAACAATTGGGTAAAAGATTAATGGTAAGGATTTGCTGAACCAACAAACTGAATTGGAATACAAAGAAGGGAGGTATGAGGAGGTCTGGGGAAATAAGAGTAAGGAAGATAGGTTATGGAACATTATTGTGTTTTTAACTGTTTTATTTTGTATGTTTTTTCTTACTTTTTACTTTTTTGCTGTAATCTATACTTTTTTCTTTGTTTTCTGTATTTTTGTGAAACTTTAATAAATATCATTTAAAAAAACAACAACATAATTCTGCATAAACTCAATTATCTCTTCATACAAGCGCTGTGGGGCATCAAGGCCCAAGAAGAAATCTGTGTGTTGCCAGTCAGGAATCATCTTGTGGTAAACTAAGTTTGAGACCTGAGGCAACCACCGGGCAATATTCTTTGGGGTTGAAACCCAGTCGTTCCCACCATTCCAGAGAGCTATTGGAGCAGTCATTTTTTTAATATCATAGGAAGATGCTGTTTCCTAAAAGAGAGGGGGAAATAACAGGTTAAAAAATAGTTTGTAAGTTAGGACTTTGCAGAAACTTCATGATCAAAGCAAACACACACACACATTATGGGGAATATAAGTTGAGCTGTTAATGTGCATAACAACTGGACGTTGTGCAGATTTGCAAGGCATCATAGAGAATGTGCACATCATCCATGAAGAGGAAATTGTGCACTTTCCTGGTTAATATACATAGTCTCCAACCGGCTTTGGACAATTCCTTGAAATCACTTGAAATTGTGAACACATTCCTTCCATAGGTTGCACCAGCATCCATTTACAGTTTCGGGCTTGATGGCATCCACTGCCTGCTCAATGCAAAATGATGCAAAATAAAAAAATTCCTTCCAGTTGGCCCTTAGAGACCAACTAAGTTAGTTATGGGTATGAGCTTTCGTGTGCATGCACACTTCTTCAGATACACTGAAACAGAAGTCACCAGACTGTTATATACAGTGAGAAGGTGGGGAGGGGTATTACTCAGAAGGGTGGTGGGAATGGGTGATTGGCTGATAGGTGTGGTAAACCAGTTGATGACTGTTAATGACTGCAGTTAGTCTTACAGGAAAAAGCAAGGGATGAGATGGCCAAAAATAGCTTTATCATGTATGAGATAAGAATCCAATGTCTCTATTCAGACCAGGTCTCTCCGTGGTTTTAAGTTTGGTAACGAGTTATAATTCAGCAACTTCTCTTTCCAGTCTATTTCTGAAATTCTTTGTAATATGACAGCTACTTTGAGATCTTGTATAGAATGTCCTGGGAGATTGAAGTGTTCTCCTATTGGTTTCTCTGCCTTGTGATTCCTGATGTCAGATTTATGTCCATTTACCCTTTGGTGTAGGGTTTGGTCTGTTTGTCCAATATAGAGAGCTGAAGGGCACTGTTGGCATTTGATAGCATACACAATGTTAGAAGATGAGCAATTACATAGTCCTGAGATGGTATGTTTGATGTTGTTGGGGCCAGTAATGGTGTTGTCCGGGTGCAAAGTTGGCATCTGGGTTTATTGCAGGCTCTGGTACCAGTGTCCATGTTAAGTCTTGTTGCTGTATTATTATGGGTGAGAAGTTGTTTAAGATTGGGTGGCTGTCTGTAAGCAATCAAAGGTCTTCTTCCCAGAGCTTGAGAAAGAGAACGATCATTATCTAGGAGAGGTTATAGATCTCTGAGGATGCGTTGAACTGTTTTAACTTGGGAGCTGTATGTGATTACTAGTAGTGTTCTGTTATTTTCTTTTTTGCGTCTGTCTTGCATCAAGTTTTTCTATGGGTCTGCCTCTGCTGATCTGTTGTTTAACTTCATCAGGCAGATATTCTAGTTCTAAAAAGGTTTGCTGTAGATCTCTTGGGTGAGAATCTCTGTTTGTAGAGTTGGAACAGATGTGGCTGTGATGTAGGGCCTGGCTATATACAATGGATTGTTTGGGATGTTTGGGATGGTAGCTAGAAGCATGTAGATATGTTTGTTGGTCAGCTGATTTATAGTATAAGGTGGTATCTATACACCCATCTTGTATTTTTATAGTAGTGTCCAAAAAATGTATTTATTGCATAGATTGGTTCATAGTTATGTTGATGGTGGGGTGAAAGCCATTGAATGTCTGGTGGAAGGTGTCCAGGGTCTGTTGACCATGTGTCCAGATAATAAAAATATCGTCAATGTATTGCAGGTACAAGAGAGGTTTGAGTGGGTAGGAGGTTAGGAAACGTTGTTCCAAATCTGCCATGAAGATGTTGACATACTGTGGGGCCCATTGCTGTGCCACTGATCTGGAGGAACAGGTCATCACCAAATTTGAAGTGGTTGTGGGTAAGGACAAAATGGCAGAGTTTGGTAGCAGAGTCCACTGTGATTTTATCTGAAATAGTGTTCCTTATGGCTTGCAAACCATCATTGTGTGGGATGTTGGTATAAAGAGATCCCACATCCATAGTGGCTAGTATAGTATTGTTAGGAAGATTATTCAAAAATTGTATTTTCCTCAGAAAATCTGTGGTGTCATGTACGTAGCTGGGAGCACTGTTGGCATATGGTTTCAGAAAAGAGTCCATATAACCGGAAACACCCACTGTAATAGTGCCAATACCTGAGATGATGGGGTGTCCTGGATTTCCTGGTTTGTGTATTTTAGGTAGAAGATAGAAAGTTCCTGGTCTAGGTTCCACTGGTGTGTTAGTCCAATTTTATGTAAAAGGCGGTACTGGAAAGTTGTCTGTGAGCCTCCTGGATATAATCAGTTTTGTTCATGGTGATGACAGCTCCACCCTTTAATCATAATGTCCGCCTCTTTAATCATAATGTCTGGGTTGTTCCTGAGATTATCTATGGCTCTCCTTTCAGCATGGTTAAGATTTTGTTGTAAGCAATGGTGTTTTCTGGTCACATCCATTTGGATTCTGTGGCAGAAGGAATTGATGTGCAGATCTAGTGTGGTATTGCATTCATCAGGAGGGGTCCATGTGGAGTCCCTTTTTGTGTAGCATTTATTCGGTGGTAGCTGGTGGTCAATGTTCTGTTCATTAATGTGTTGGGAGGGTGGTGGTTGTTCCCCAGTAGGCTGAGAGATGTTGTGTTGTGGAGATGTTGTTTGTTCTACTTTGTCTTGACCTTGTGTGTGTTGAAAGTACTCCTTCAGGCGTAAACAGCGGAAAAATTCTTCCAAGTCTCTGCAGAACTGAATCATGTGTGGGGATTTGGCAGGGCAGAATGATAGTCCGTGTGAAAGGGCTGATTCCTCAGCTGGGCTGAGTGTTTGCTGAGAGAGATTGACAATATTGTTGATCTTGTTATTTTGATTAGTAGCCTATAGGTTGGGAAGGTTAGATAGTTTTTTGTTTTTCTGTTTTTTCAGTCATTCTAGTTGAGAGTGGTAAATGGTTTGTTTTTTTCATTGTGGAACTCTTGCCAAGCTGGGTGATTCCTGACAGAGTTGTCCAGTGCAGAGAGTTCCTCCTTTATAAGCTTCTGTTTAGAGTACAGAACACCAATCAGATGTTTGAGCAGCTTCTTGGAGAAAGCAGATCAGTATCCATTGTGTTAATCCTTCACAGCTTTAAATCAAAGGGCTAACTGCTCTGCTTTGGCAATGTAGATCTGCTCAGGCATCTTCTTCCAGAACAGGCCCATCTTGTCTGTGTTTGCACCATAACACTCACTTTTTTCCTCCTAAAAAGTAAGGGGAAATGTCTGTGCATGTTATGGAGGGAATGCCTACGGGTGGCATGCCTACGGATTTTCCTCCTCTAAAAACTACGTGCGTGTTTTGATCGGGTGCGTGTTATAGAGCGAAAAATACGGTAATAGGGACACATTTCCCCTGTCTAGATCCAACAGAAGTCATCATATCAGGCAACCAAAGCAGCTTCTCTGTCAAAACTGGGCCTAAACCTCAACTGAAGTGGATCTAAAAAATCCACTTCTTTCAAGACTGCCTGGATCTGGGCGTGATCTTCTTCTTCTCTTGGCGATCACTCGTAGCCGAGTAAGATTGTCTTCCATGAAAACGGTTTTAACAATGACTCCGTAAGTGACTGTGGAGGCCAATTCTGGATCCACAAGTCCTTCCACAGTGGGGACATTGGTTTCCGGATGGGAGTTGATCACGGTGTGGATTTGCCAAGTGTGCCTTCCTCTTAGCCCATTTCTTCCTTGCATCCTGAGTTCGAGTGTCTTCAAAGCCCATGACACATTTGGTAAAGGCTGTTCTCCACTTGGAACACTCACAGGCAAGTGTTTCCCAATTGTTGGTGCTTATACTACATTTTTAAAAAATTGCCTTGAGACAGTCTTTAAACCTCTTTTGTTGACCACCAGCATTACGCTTTCCATTTTTAAGTTTGGAATAGAGTAGTTGCTTTGGAAGACGATAATCAAGCATCTGCACAACATGACCAGTCCAACAAAGTTGATGTTGAAGAATCATTGCTTCAACACTGGTGATCTTTGCTTCTTCCAGTACACTGGTATTAATTTTCCTGTCTTCCCAACTGATGTGTAAAAATTTTTGGAGACACCGTTGATGGAATCTTTTGAGGAGTTGGAGATGCCATTTATAAGTAGTCCATGTTTCACAAACATACAGTAAGGTTGGTACTACAAAACCTTTGTAAACAAGCATTTTGGTTTCTCTGCGAATGTCCCAGTCTTCAAACACTCTGCGCTTCAATCTGGAGAAAGTCGCACTCGCAGAGCTCAGGCGATGCTGGATTTCGGCATCAGTGTCAGCCCTTGTGGAAAGATAACTTCCCAGGTAGAAGAAGTGATCAACATTTTCCAACATTGCACCACTGAGTTGGATTTGTGGTGCTGCAGAGGGGTTATTTTGTACTTGGTGCAGCACTTTGGTTTTTTGGATGTTCAGTGATAGGCCAAGTTTTTCATAACCTTCTGCGAAGATATTTAGGATGGTTTGGAGGTCATCCTCTGAGCGTGCGCACACTACGTTGTCATTAGCATACTGAAGCTCCATGACTTTGCTTTCAGCCTGCTCATTAAAGAGCTTCCATCTGTTCAACAGATGATTTCTACTCCAGTGGGGAGTTTCCCTTTGACAAAGTGTAGAATCATGGCAATGAAAATAATGAATAGAGTTGGGACAATAACACAACCTTGTTTAACACCTGATCCCATTGTTAATGGTTCACTTTGAGAGCCATTGGTATCTGCGATTGTTGCTGTCATATTATCATGGAGGAGCTGAATGATGTTCACAAATTTATCTGGGCAGCCAATTTTCAGAAGGACAGTTCACAGAGTATTATGATTTACAGTGTTAAAAGCCTTAGTCAGGTCAATAAACGCCATATACAGGGGTTGGTTTTGCTCTCTGCATTTTTCTTCAAGCTGTCAAGTGGTGAAAATCATGTCCACTGTCCCCCTAGAAGGCCGAAAACCATTGGGAATACTCAAAGGCTGACCTGCAATCTCTGAAAGGCTATCTGTAGATTCCTCTAGGCTGGGAGATAAGCTTTTG